CCTCCCTGCCCTGAAGTTCCCTTTGTGCCTTAAACTCAATTAACCCGAGTTTCCGCTCCCAAAGACACACGTGAGGGGACTGGCGTGTGGTCTGTTGCTGCACGTGCAGCACAGTCCCACACCCACAGCCATGTGTGTGGACTTCACACGATCACGCAACAAGAAAAACAGGACATGGTAGCCCTGCAGACAGGCTCCCCCTGAGTCAGTGCCACGGAAGGGTGAAGGGACAGCATTCCTGCTTGTTTTTGCCTCCAGTTACCCGATGCCGGGCCAACACTGAATTCTGTCACTGTGTCGCGTCAAGGAGGATCGTACTGCGGAGTCCTCAGGCGGCGTCAGTCCATGTGGGCTTATAGCAAACAGAAAGCACCGGGTAGAGTCCCTGCACACAGCATACCTTTCCCAGGCTGCACTGCGGGGCCTGTGCTATATTCTTTCTCTGCCTTTTGGGGGCAGAGCACTCTTTCGAGTTAATGGACCAGGCTGAGTGCCTTCGGGGACCGTGGGGAGCGCTCCCGCCTGTCCTGCTACCACGCACTCAGGCCTCTTTCATGGCTCCCGGCTTCCTGGGGGACTTTCCCAGGACGCTGGTGATTTGCTGCTGAGGAATTTACTGCCTGCCCTTGGCAGCAAATGAAAGTGGGTGTTAATTTCTCAGAGTGCTGCCAGCCCCGAGAAGGAAACCCACAGTCTGGTGTCCTGCACAGCAGGCGCGGGTCACAAGGGGAGAGAAGCCAGCAGCCAGGCAGGACATGCCCCCCACCGCCTGCCCCCACCTCCTGGTGCATCCTGGAAGGGCCTGCAGCCTGGAGGGAGCTGAGTTATGCAGCTGCAGTACCAGGCCCTCCAGCCCAGCTTCCTTCGGGTTCCCACAATGCTATTGAAGTGCTTATTTTCCTCCTGAAGAGACACAAACAGATGCAAACTTCTGTAAACACTTTAGAAATGAATTCAGCGAGTTTGGCCTCTCAGCAGTGCTCAATGGCTGACAGAAAAATGTCTAATTAGTGCAAGTGGAAATAATAGGGCCACTTGGACCCCTTCCATCTCCTCCAAGTTTACTTTCCAAGGAGCTCAAAGGGCCTTTGTCTGGCAGGTCACCCTCTCTCAGGCTTTTGTGTGCCGATCTATTACGAACAGGAGGGGGAATGGATGAGGCCACGCTAGAGACTCGGCGTGTTCATGAGGGGCAGAGTGGGCTTTGCAGCCTATTCACAGGTGCAGCCGGGCGGGTCCCCTATGGCCTCAGCCCAGAGCCACGTGCACAGGACAGGGTTCCTCCACCCGCGTCACCTCAGTAACCACACTCCTCAATGGGGGTGAAGAGAAAAAAGATATTTTTAAAAACTAGAGGTTTAGCCATTTTCTGAGATAAGCCTTAGAGGTGGTTCGTGTGTGACTATTATTTACTTCTTATTCTGTTGAAAATCCCACGGACTGTAACTTAGGAGACTGTTTCTGTGTGTCGTGGTTTTGTCATACACAACCGTGGGAATGCGTGGATCCACTTTCTCCCCTATTTTACCCAAGTTTTCCCTGTTGTTTACTCAGCACCCATGGTATGCCAGGCGCCGCGCTGAGCATCTGACCCACATCTTCTCCAGGCCTGAAAGAGCACAGCACATTGAAACGGGGGCTCTGTGCCCTGTTGGGGGGACCCCAAAATGGTGCCACTTCTGTGGAAAACAGCATAGCGTTTCCTCTGCTACGTGATCCAGCAACCCCACCCCTGGGCACTTATCCAAAAGAATTGAAAGCAGGGTCTTCAAGAGATATTTGCCACATTCATCACAATAACCAGGAGCTTCAAGCAACCCAAATGTCTGTCTGTGGATGAATGGATCCACAAAATGTGGCCACACATACAGTGGAATAATATTCAGCCTCCAAAGGAAGGAAATTCTATCCCTGCTACAGCATGGATGAACCTGGAGGGCATTAAGCTCAGTGAAATAAGCCAGCCACAAAAAAAAAGGCAAATAATACACAATTTCCTTTATATGAGTAGTCAAATTCATAAAAACCAGAAAGTAAAATGGTGGTTTTCAGGGGTTGGAGAAGGAAAAGGGGGGTCTTTAATGGGTTTAGAGTTTGTATTTGCTGGATGAAGCAGTTCTGGAGGTCTGATTCAAACAAGATGAATATACTTAACACCACTGAAATGCATGCTTAAAAATGGGCCCTGGCTGGTGTAGCTCAGTGCATTGAGCACGGGCCTGCGAACCAGAGGATCACGGTTTGATTCCCAGTCAGGGCATATGCCTGGGTTGCAGGCCAGTTCCCAGCAGGGGCCAGTTCCCAGCAGGGGATGTACAAGAGGCAACCATACATTGATATTTCTCCCCCTCTCTCCTTCCCTTCCCCTCTAAAGATTAAAAAAATAAATAAATCTTTTTTAAAATGGTGAATATGGTGCATTTTATGTTCTGTGTTTTGACCTCGATTTAAAAAAGAAGGCAAAATGTTGAGACGAGCTCCTTCGTACCCTGACCCTTTCCACTTTGTAACTTTGGAAAGTCACATAACCTCCCATCCTCAGGTTCCCCATCTTACTTGGATTTTTTCAGTTACAATGAAATTAAATGAGGTAATAGGGAACACAGCAATGGCAGAAGCCACCAGTTCTGCAGAAAGCGGCCGAGGCTGCAGACCAGAGGTGGGGCTTCTGTGCACCCAGCACAGAGAGGCCTCCACCAATCGGCTTTGGCAAACAAGGCGGGCAGACACCAAACACCCATTTCTTTTCCATCTTTGAATTTATATTCTATGAATGTCAAATGAATGTTCTCCTTTAAAACTTGTGTTCTTCAGCCCTGGCCTGTGTGGCTCAGTCAGTTGGGCTTCCCTCTGCAAACTGAAGGGTCTCCACTTGGGTTTGTGGTACATGCACGGTCGCAGGTTTGGTGCCCAGTCAGGGAACGTGCAAGAGGCAAACACACATCGATGTTTCTCTCCCTCTCTTTCTCCCTCCCTTCCCCCCTCTCTAAAATCAATCAGCCTGTCTTTGGGTGAGGACAAAAAAAAAAAACAAACTTGTGTTCTTCAGATTGATGGTTTATTTGACACACCCCAATAGAAGTTTTGAGCACTTCAGTTTTAGTGGGGTTTTTTTTTTAGTGGGAAGGTATAGAGGCTCACTCGAGCAAACTCGTACAATGAAGCTTCTTTTATTATGAAGCTGTGTTACTACAAAAACACACATGGGACTGAAAAGAGGCCTGTTGCTCGGGGAAGTGTGCTAGTGGTACGGTGGGTTGGTGTTCAGTCATTATTCTTGGGTCTTCACTCTGGTGCTGCCCACAGAAGGGTCCCAGCTAAACCCTACTTCCTATTTTTTTCCGTCCTATGACTGGGAAATTCTTTCCATGTTTCTTAGTTCAGATTAATAAGTTCATTTTGAACTTTTTTTGAAGCCAGTTCAGAAAGCCATGGAGCCAGGTACAGGCGGGTACTCATAGTTTAGCCTTGAGCTGGTGGTAGGGTGGGGAGGTGGGGTCAAGGTCAGGTAGGAAAATACATGGCTGCATCAGAGGCAGGGCTTTGGGCACAGCGGTTTCCCTCAGGAGGTTGTGGTCTATTGGGCCTGGGAATGACAGGTCCTTGGGCGGCTCTGGTAAATACCATTTCCCTTCACCTGCTGGATTCTGGGGGCAGAAAGAGGGGTTATTTATTTAACAAAAGACTTAAGCAGACACAAGATTAATATTACCTCTAGTTCTGGTAAAGGCTAAATTGGAAGATATAACTCTGCATTAGACCACAGGGGGTCTGCTCGCAAGAACCCCAGAATTACATGGACTTCCCCATTCAGGCACAGGAATTACTAGGCCAAGCAGGACAGCTCACACAGGGTGGCTTTCCAGTCAGACAGGACGCACAAGAGCAGAGAGAAATCTGTTTCCTTCAGTCTGCTTGTTCCCAAGAAAAAGAACAGCCCAGGTCCCGCTCCCAAATGTGTCAGTTGGGTCGGGCAGCCACTTCCCCAAGGTCACAGAGCAGAGACAGGAAATACGCCGGGAAACAAAGGGCACTTGTCATGTTTACCTTGTGTCATTTGGAAATACGAAGTCTGTCAAGAAGGTATGAAGCCATGTAATATGAAAAACAGAGGCATTTACTGAAGAAGATACAAGAAACATTGTACATAGGACAATGATGCCTCAGTCCCCTTCAAAGTAAGCAACTTGGGGCCTCACATGGTTCTTCCAGTTGCCATCAGCTACCCTGTCACATTTTCCTGAACGTCATCAACGATCCGAAATCTCTTCACTTTCAAAAGTGTTTTTAGTTTGTGGAAAAGCCAGAAGTCACAGGGCACCAAATCTGGGCTATAGGGGGCTGAATCACCTGGGTGATTTGAAGTTTCACCAAAAAACTCTGCAGGAGACATGATGCATAAGCAGGCATGATGTTGTGATGAAGCTGCCAATCACCAATTGCCCACAGCTGCGGCCTTCTGAGTCATTCCAATAGTTCCTACGGATGAATGTTTGAGCTTAAACATGCAGATTTGTTGCTCTACTTACTCAGTCACTTTGAATGCGATGGCCACACAGTACACATGCTCACTCGATGGCATCTACCACCGGCACTGACTACTACAGTGAAGTCATTATTCACACATGTGCACATTCCAGTCCACTCTCCTTGGCTGCCTGGTCACATCAATGTCGCACAAACTGTTCTCATTATGTTAACAATGGCTGGACTTTTCCCAGACAGACCTTGAGTGTGCACTTATCATCTGTACAATCTTAGGGATGGAGGAGGAAATAGAAGGAAAGGAGTATTGTTTATCCCACGCTGAACTGGACTTTTCCTTACTTTCTTCCTTTGACTCAGTCACTTCATAGTTTCTTTTCCTGCTCTAGGCTTTGTTGCTGTCCCTGTTAGGTAGAAAACACGCAGAGGACTAGGCTTGGTCCCAGGACCACTGTCTTCTCTGCTGGTTGGGCACCTTGTCTCACCAGTTCACTGTGTCCCTACTCGACCTCCAGGTGTCCCTGAAGGCCTCCATCCTCGCCCGGGACTACGCTACTGCGGCGGCCATACTGTTCGTGAGCGACCGGTTCCTGTACGGGCTCGACGCGTCCCGCCAAGTCCTGCAGGTGGCCAAGGGGCTGCACAAGCTGTGGCCCGCCACGCCAATGGCCCCGCAGCTGGTCATTCGCCAGGCCCGAGTATCAGTCAACGCAGGTAGGCGCACCCTGCTCCTCCTGCCCGGGCCGCCCCCGCGGCTCCGCGCCTCCTTGTTCTGCCGACCGCAGTCCGCCAAGGCCTTCATCCCCAGCACAAAGAGTTGGCATAAAGGGCCTCAGAGCCAGCGCCGCAGAGAAGATTGTGAAAGGGTGTGAAAAGTACTAATTGGAGCTTTTGTCTTCTAACAAATCCGTCCTGCTGCTTTCAAACAGGGAATCTGAATGCTGTGCTTCTGCCCAAGAGCCTTTAAAAAGCAGATTAGAGTTCCGCTTTCACTTAGCTGTCCCGTCTCCTTTTGGCGGGCTCTTGACAGACACAGAGGTAATCCGCCGGTTTCCATCACTCCACTCGCAGCACCCGCACTGCACCTGATTTGGCTGGAAACACGCTCCTTCCGGCAGTCGCAGCGCGCTCAGCAGAAACCGAGGCTGCGCGCCGTGCGGAGGGCGGGGCGGGGCCGGGGGCGGGGCCTGCAGCGACCCGGAGTCCACTTCCGCTTACTCCGCCCACGTCAACCCGAGGTGGGAACGCGTGGCCCACCGCTCTGGTTTCCGGGAGGGAGAGGTTGAAGGCCACGTTGGAAGCTGCCGCTCGCAGGAGCAGGACTGGCTCGTTTTCGCAAAGGGTTGCAGCCGCTGCTGTGGAGTTGATGACTCTGGTCTGTGGGAGGTTAAACATCTTTACCTCATTTCCTAGGATGAGGAATTGTGCCGACTGCGCTCACGGGACGATTGGGGACTCCGGAGAGGGACCGGGACCGAGGTGTCAGGAAAGGGAGGGGCGGAAATGGGCTTTTCAGACCCGAGGCCATTCGCTCGCTTTTTTTTAAATTTATTTTTTGTATTTTTTCCATCACCATTTGTCCCCCATCCCCTCTCCCACCTTCGCCCCTCCCCCCTGCAGTCACAGCCCACGTGTCTCCTTTTTTCTTTTTTGGCGTTCCTTCCACACCGCCCACCCCCCGCCATAGTTTTGACCCTGCTCTGGATCTAGAGACTCTCTGCCACTCGTTGTTAATGCAGTGTGTTCGTTAGATTCCACTTGTGAGTAGGCCCTGCGGGTCCTGCCCCACCCCAGCCAGCGGAGCCCAGGTCCTTTCCTGTCCTTGCAGCTGGTCCTGAAGTGTGCCCACATCCTACTGTTAACTTTTCTAGAGGGAATGCAGGGATGGAGTTGACCTTAGGAGAAATTCCTTCCTCTGAATGCCCCTGATCTGGGACGTTTTATACTGTTTGGGTCTAAGGGAACGCTGACCACTAACATTCCTCCTTATGGCAGCAGGTGGCGGTGACAGAGCCAACATAGCACCTTTGCTGTGGGTGGTGTTGCTGTGCTGTGACGTGGAAACTGGGGGTGCGTGGCAAGCAGGCTCTGCTCCATGTGGCCCGACTGAAACGGTGCAAAGACCTGGAGCACGAACTGGCCTGCAGGTCCCAGGGACAGCAAGGAGGCTGCTGTGACCAAGGCGGGTAGACTGAGGGTCTCTGGTGATGAGGCCTTAGAAGTCCCAGGGGACAGGCCACAGGGGCCTGCAGGCACCTGGGGGAGGGGTGGATAAGACAATAACTGCATTTCCTGCTCACAGAGAGACAGCCATCCTGGGTTAGGCACCTCCTAGGTGGTGGGAGAGCCCTGTCTGTGGGCCATGCTCCTGCACTGAGACATTTGCTTTCCCTCTCAAGCCACAGTCTCTGCACGTGACTGGCCCCTTCCTGTGGATGCTTCTGGTCACCACTTCAGACTTCCCACCTTACCCCTTCTTGGGGCTTCGTCTGTCTTTTCCCTTTCGTAGATGATGAAGTTACAGGTTTCTAGATTTTGGAACAATGTTTCCAAGAGGAGCCCTGCGCTAGTGTGTCCTTGATCTTAGAGCGTGCCCCATGAGTGGTGTGTAAAGCTGTGCTCAGAGCTGACTGTGTGGCATTGGGCTGCTTCTTTTCAGGAAAACTTCTGAAAGGGGAGTATATCCTGAGCAGTCTGATCAGCAATGATGGAGCGACAGGTAAAGTGGGTTCACGTCCTCAGAGCAGTCTTTGCCCTCGGGGACTCCAGGGGTCTGGGGTAGGGAGCCCGTATTGCTGGGGGTTAGCCGTTCCACTCCACCTGCCACCGATAAAGGAAGGAGCTTTGGCCAAGCTACACCCTTCCCTGGCCGCCAGTCTCTCTAATTAAACACAAAATGTTTATCTCCCAGCCTCATGACAAAGAAGGTTCCCTAATGGACGATACCCACTGAAGCAGGTAACTCCATGGGCCTCGGAAAGAACTGAGGAGACAGAGCATTTGAATGGCTGGGAAAATAAACTTTGCTACCTAAGAACTCTAATAAAAAACATTTCAATAGTTAATCACACATGAACGGAAGCAAGTGGTAATGGTTGGGTAACAGATCACTTAAGCCTCCCAACATCTTGTCTGAATTTCTGCTCAAGAAGTTTCCCAATAAGCTGAATACAATTTCCAGTAGAGTTTAAGTTCAGTGTGCTTCAGTATAAGGTCCCTAGCACCTTAAAACCCACAGGCATTTCCAGCCTTAAAACCCGAAGGCAGGTTGGAATACAAATACTGACCACAAGTCCCTCATTGTGGCCATCATCACTAACATGCAATGTGCACACTTCTCACCTTCTACACCTCACACATGCACACACAGAGGCACATGTGTGTAAACACATGCACGGGCATGCACACACTGGAATGAAAAGCTAGGGCAAAAACACAGAGGGTGGCATGACAGAGAATAACGAGAAGGGAGAGCCAGGACCCTGGTGGTCCCGCCCAGCCTGCCTTCCCCATCTTGCCTGAGTCTGCACAGGCTGCCATTCACTCACCAGTGAACCCCAGCCTGCTCTTGTCACAATAAACACCCAGCCACTCACCACATTCCTCACCCGAGTCAAGTGGAGCAGCGTGGTGCCTGCCCGGCTCTCCTGAAAGGCACACAGTGTGGGTGCTGGAGCTGTTCCTACTCTCCCGTGTGTAGTCTGGGCAGATGGGACCGACAGCTCACACACTCAGGGATGCTAGGGCCACACTGATGGGGACAGCCCGAGAGGCCACAGCGCTGAGGCTGAGACCTGAGCAAGCAGGAGTGGTTTGCTCTGGAGCCAGAGGGAAGTGGTCCCAGCAAAGAATATGGCCTCTGTGAGAAGGGACACAGTGGGGCCAGGGCGACAGAGGGAGGAGTTAGTCCCTGGACCTTAATAAGCAGAAACTGGAACCTCGCACTGTGTGAGAGGAGACTGCTGCTTGAATCTCTATCGTGTGCTCACAAAGACTTCAGTGAAAAGAGTTTTATTTCACCACAGTATTCCTGCATAAATTCAAGACCAGCAATGCATTTCTCTTTCCCTCATTTATCACAGGCATCTGGCAGTACGGAAACGAAAGTGACCGGGTCCTGGTGCAGTCCGTGTGCCTGCAGATCCGAGGGCAGATCCTGCAGAAGCTAGGTGCGCCCTGCCCGCCCGCCTGCACCTGCAACATCCAGCCGCCTCCCTCCATGTCTTCGTGTGAGAGAGGAGGACGTTTAGGGCCCCAGGAGTGTGATGAATGCTCATGAAGCAGATGTTCTATGTTGGGTTCTAAAATTTACAGTTGTACCTTTCAAGTATCAACATAGGGTTCTCACGTGATTTCTGGTGTCTGACCCTTGGTCCCCTGATGTAGTGACACCATCCCCATCCAATCCTCGAAGGTACTTATGAGTTTTCAAGCAGAGTTTACAGAACTGCAATTACACTTTAAAATGCAGCCACTGAAGTGTTTGAAAACAGAGGCAGGTAATTGTTCTTGTAAATATTGGAGGTGACTTTTTTGCATTCACACACGTGACATGTGTGATGCACAGTGATTCTTACTCTCCCTGTTGCCCATGTTAAACACACTGGAAAGCAGATTATTGTCTGCCATCAACTGGACCCAGCCTGGAATTTTCTGACGGGCACTAATGAATCTCCCTTCTATAGTTTTCAAGGCATGTTCTGCCATGAGAGCAGACTCTAGCAGTTACCCCTGTGCCCCCTTTTCCAGGGATGTGGTCTGAAGCAGCGGAGTTAATGTGGGCCTCGATCGCAGGGTACCTGACGCTTCCTCAGCCGGATAAGAAGGTTGGTTGTGAACTTTTCTCTTCTGCACATTTTTGTCCTGGGCGGTTATCTCCTGTGGCACAGTTCACCTCACTGCCTGTCGGTTGCGTTGATCCTGTTCTGTTGGCTGCACGTGAGCACAGGATTGGGCCTGGGCCACCTGCTTCTGTGCTGCTTTGTTCTCACTCACACTGAACTCCTGGCCTATAGTTAGTGTTTCTTTCTTTATTTTTTTAAATATATTTTATTGATTATGCTGTTACAGTTGTCCCACTTCCCCCCTTTATTCCCCTCATCTCACCTGCATCCCCCCCCTTTAGTTCATGTCCATGGGTCATAGATGTAAGCTCCTTGGCTTCTGCATTTTCTATACTATTCTTAACCTTCCCCTGTCTATTTTCTGCCTACCATTTATGCTACTTATTCTCTGTCCTTCCCCCCCCACACTCCCTTGCTGATAATCCTCCATGTAATCTCCATTTCTGTGATTCTCTTACTGTTCTAGTTGTTTGCTTAGTTGGTTTTTGGTTTTGTTTTTATTTAGGTTCAGTTGTTAATCACTGTGAGTTTGTTGTCATTTTACTGTTTATATTTTTATCTTCTTTTCCTTAGATAAATCCCTTTAACATTTCATATAATACGGGCTTGGTGATGATGAACACCTTGAACTTGACCTTATCTGGGAAGCACTTTATCTGCCCTTCCATTCTAAATGAAAGCTTTGCTGAATAGAGCAATCTTGGATGCAGGTCCTTGCCTTTCATGACTTGGAATACTTCTTTCCAGCCCCTTCTTGCCTTTAAGGTCTCTTTTGAGAAATCAGTTGACAGTCTGATGGGAACTCCTTTGTAGGTGACTGTCCCCTTATCTCTTGCTGCTTCTAGGATTCTCTCCTTCATTTTAATCTTGGGTAATATAATTATGATGTGGCTTGGTATGTTCCTCCTTGGGTCCACCTTCTTTGGGACTCTCTGAGCTTCCGGGACTTCCTGGAGGTCTATTTCCTTTGCCAGATTGGGGAAGTTCTCCTTTATTATTTGTTCCAATAAGTTTTCCACTTGTTGCTCTTCCTCTTCTCCTTCTGGTACCCGTATGATTTAGATGTTGGGATATTTAAAGATGTCCTGGAGGTTTCTAGGCCTCTTTTGAATTCTTATTTCTTCATTCCATTCCAGCTGAATGACTCTTTCTTCCTTCTGGTCCACACTGTTGATTTGAGTCCCTGTTTCTTTCCTGTTACTGTTGGTTCCCTATGCATTTTCCTTTATTTCACTTAACATGGCCTTCATTTTTTCATCTAATTTGTGACCATCTTCCACCAATTCTGTGAGCATCCTGATCACCAGTGTTTTGAACTGTGCATCTGATAGGTTGCCTATCTCTTCATCACTTAGTTATATTTTTTCTCGAGCTTTGATCTGTTTTTTCATTCAGGCCTTTTTTTTTTGGTCTCAAATCACCTGTTACATAGTAAGGGGTGGAGCCTTAGGTGTTCACCAGGGTGGGGCAACCCACATTGCTGGGTTGTGATGCTGTCTGTGGGGGAGGGGTTCGAGAAGGAACGGTGCTGCTTGCTGTGCTCTCTCCCCACTTTCAGTCACTTCCCCTGCTACCCACAGTCAAATCGTGCCTTTCTGGTGCTGACTGCTGGGTGCATGGGTTTGTGTACATTCTGAGACACTGTGGGTCTCTCCGACAAACTCTCCTGTGAGGATGGGAGTTTCTCCTGCTGCTTCCTAAACCCCCACAGGTGTTTTCAGTCAGAGGCTTGGAGGCTTTATTTCCCTACACTGGACCCTGGGTTCTGTGGTCTGTCTCGCTCCCCTGTTGTTCCTCCTGGTGTATCTGCATGTGAATGTGGGGCCACCTGGTGTACCAGCCACTGCCATGTCAGCCCCAGTCCTCCAGCTATTGCCTTACCGAGAGCCCTCTCAGCCCAGGTGCCCATCTCCACCCCTCCTACCAGTCTGGATGAATATTTCTTCTTTAACTACTTGGTTGGCAGACTTCCATACAGTTCAATTTTCTGTCAGTTCTGGTTGTTTTTTTGTTTTTAAATTTGCTGTTATCCTCCTTTTGGTTGCATGAGGAGGCACAGTGTGTCTACCTGTGCCTCCATCTTGGCCGGAAGTCCTAGTGTTTCTATTTTGATTTGTAACCATCCACTTACATAGTTATTTCTACTGAGCCACTCGTTGTCTGCTTCATTATACATTTAGCCTTTGCATGGCTCCATACCCCAGCTGACCGTGCCCAGGTGCTTGCACATAAAATCATTTCTTTGAATGAAGTGGGCAAAGACATCACTTAATTATTTACACCATGTCTTCATTCAAGAAAAGATGCAGGATCTGCTTTCCTGCCGGACGGTTTATTCTGTGTCAGTCTGAGTATGTTCTCCCATTTGCAGCGGCATTGGGTTGCTGCATCCCCCGAGCTGCTGACAGCCTGCCCCATGGAGAGAGCTGGCCAGGCAATCTGTTTGAGCCCTGCTGGAAAGAGCTGCATTTGCATGGTGTCCGCATCTTCAGGGTGGGACAGTGTCCTTGTGTTACAAGAACAACAATCTCACAAAGCCCTGGTCCATAGGGAGGGCTGATTTCCTGCTTGTCAGATCACAAGCAGTGACTCATCGTGAATTCCCATCTGTCTGTCTGTCTGTCTGTCTGTCTGCCTACCTGCCTACCTTTCCCTACAGGGCATCTCCACGTCATTAGGGATTCTGGCAGACCTCTTTGTGTCCATGAGCAAGCAAGAGTACGAGAAGTTTAAAAACAGTCCATGGATGAACTTGGTAAGTATCACTTGCCAAACCAGTGCAGACAGTCAGCCTCCTCCTCCATGCTAGAGTCTGGGAACACAGTGTCTCCCCTCATGGGTGACATCCACACTGCTGGGGATGGTTCCAGCGTGTCTTGGGGGCTGTGTTGCCCCAGCACCTGGCTCGGCCCCAGACATGCGGAGGTCACTCAGTGACAGGCAAGGAGGTCCCAAATGATCACAGAATTCAGTTTCTGCACCTGGGCCACCTCAGTGACAAAGGAAAGGTGTTTTTTTTTTTAAGTTTTTAAACATTTTTAAAGTTTTATCATCAGCTACTCAGATCAGAGCATCAGTCACTTGTTGAGGCCCCCTAGCCCTACTAATAATGATTCCTACTATTTATACATTGCTTTACAATCCAGAAAGCATGTCTGTGTATATGATCCACATGAAGTCCTTTGGGCAACAGGCGTCACCCCCATTTTAGAGAGAGATAAGCGGAGGTCTAGAGATACTGGGTTAGGTGTGCGATGGGCAGCTTCTAAGGAAGCTGCCTGGGGCAGAACCAGGCCCTCCAGCTGCCAGGGTCTCTCTCGGTGGGAGGACGTTGGCCTGTTCTCCTGCACTGTGCAGAAGCTAAGGTTTTCACATGATCTCCAAGGTTGCCATTTTTGTGAAGTGCCAAGTGACAGCAGTGGCCACACTCAGTGCCAGGAGCTTGAGGACACACCCATGCAGTTCGCTGGCCATGTCTGGAACCTTAGCTATTGCTTTTGCTGCCGGACAAACAAAGGGAAGACTCCATCCCTCGTTCACTGAAGCTGTCCCCCAGACCTCCCCAGCCCCACCCACATGCATTGCCCTCATATAGGGTGTTGGGTCCCCTCCCTGCAGCAGAAGTCGAGCTCCTAGCAGGCTCACCACCTGCATGTCTTTGTCTAGAACAGTGCCTGACACCAAGGTGCTCATGCACATTTCTAAACTGAATGGAGAGACCTAATTGTTGTGAAACTATAGATCAAAGGTTTCTCTGCCAAGAACAATTCAGAGACCAGCCGTTAATCTGGCTGCAGAACACGCGGGGTCCCTCCAGAGTGGACAGTGCGGATGGTGCTGCCAGGGTGCCAGGCCGGCCCTCTCTGGGATGTGGATGGTGCAAGGGAGGGACAGTCACTCTTCTGTGGCCCAATTCTCAAGAGAATTCTCTGAGACGGGCTGGGGGAGGCAGGGCACCCATGAGACTTGGCTTCATAGCCTTCCTGTTGCTGTGGCCCCTGCTCTCTCCCAGGGCCTCCTGAGGGACTCGGACCACCGCCTGTTGTTGGCCGCTGAAGCCTGCAAGCTAGCGGCCGCCCTCAGTCCTTACACACCACTCTTTGTGCTCACAGCCATGGTAAGTGGGGCACTGGGGGGAGTCATGGTCAGATCACAGGATCAGAGGTCCTGTGTGGAGGTTTCATGGGCAGAGTGGGGACATCCTGGTGGGACCTCGCTAGTTCCTCCAGAGGAGTGGAGGCCATCTTCTCCAGAGCACTGTCCCCAGCACTTTGCAGTCACCAAGGGGCCTTTTCAGAACGCACAGCCCTGGGTTCCCCACTTGATCCTGTGAATGCAACGTTCTGGGATTGGTCCCCAGAGACCTTTAGTGTTGAAACACTGCCCAGGTGACTCAAATGCACAGGAGGCTTTGGGGCCACCAGTCCATTGTTCTATTACTGAAGGAACCACGTGTTTCCCTACAGCAGCCTCATTTGCATAGAGAAACTTACCACGTCCCACTCTTACACTCCGTCCACATCATCACTGATGCAAAGCACTGGAGGCTGCAGGAGAGTGTAGTCCTGCCAGCCCCTCCTCCTCTGTCACCAAAAAACCCTGCACTCCCTGTTCGATTCTGTGTTTTTCCTAGCATATCCATGTCACACGCTTGTCGTCCTACGCTACCATGTTTGTTTCTTCATAGTATTCTAATGACTGTTCTCTGGGAATTCCACGGTTTTCCTGTTTTATCTCCAGTGCTCAGGTCCATGTCTGATTTTGCATGTGTTGTTTTCTCAGAACATCCGTGGCACGTGCTTGCTGTCCTACACTGGTTCTAATGACTGTCCCCCGGGCACAAGAACTGCGCATCTGAGGGAAGCCGGAGAGGCCTTCGAGATCGGCCTCCTCACCCAGAGACGCGACGAGGCAGCGACAGGAAGGCAGGGGCTCCACAGCCTCCTCAGAGCGGCGTTCGGCCTGGCCACGGTGCACTGCCGGCTCCACGGGGAGACTGGGCCGGGCCAGGTGGCCCGGCAGCTCTGTCTCGAGGCCATGGGGAAGCTGTACGCATTCAGTGTCTCTGCTGGGGATCAGGAGCGAGCTGTTCTTGCCCGGGAAGTCATATGTGCTGTCAGCCAGGTGAAGGACCATTTGCAGGTTCAAAGCTTTGCAACCTCAGAAGACGGGGCTTACGTCCCAGCGGGTTTTGAGTGTGGGCTGCACAAGCCTATCCTGTACGGGCAAGTGGATTTCCAGAAAATTCTTGAAACCTATTCACAGCACCATACTTCCGTATGTGAAGTATTTAAAAGCACTTGTAAAAACAACAAAAACAAACAGAAAGATGCCAGCCCCGGAGTCTGCATCACTGCACTTAAAACAGACACAAAAAGCATAGAAACCGTGAGTACGGAAGACGGGCTGTGTCTCCAGGCAGGCGGGAGAATGTCCTGCTCCCAGGTGGCTCAGAATGGCTGGGAGGCACCCAGGAGGGTGGGAAGGAGAGGCTGGGCCCATTCAGATGCCTTCCGAGTCCCCCTGGACCCAGACGTGGGGATTGAGATGGAGTCACCAGGCCACCGCAGCGGCAGGGAAGCTACTTTGGCTGACAGCCAGAGCTCCTGCTCCTGGAGCGAGTTATCCAGGTGCAGCGCTTCCAGCAGCTGGGAAGAGGTGAGTGACCAAGGAGACAAGAGCCCGACCAGAGGACGGCCTAGTGGAGAGCATCTGGCGGACACTCAGGGTCCTGCAGCTGTTGTGGGAGCGCAAGGGAGTGACGAGGGAAGCACAGCCCTGTGTTCACTGGCTTCAGAGCTTCGTGACCTCTCTTTCCCAGGGTCCAAGGGAAATGGTTCAGAGTCCTGTCTACCTCACATGCCCTTGGCCACTGCCCCCCCTCCTGGTGCCAGGGCCACACTCATAGCCTTCAGCTCAGGGAAGCTGGAGTGCAGTCTGGAAGAAATGCAGAAAGTCGGAACTACAGGCTCCAGAGATACTTCTGCTCATCCCAGACCCTCATCTGGGTCTACTTCTTGGTCTCCTGATCCTGATTGGCCCAAGAACATGGCCGCCCCTCCTTCAGTCCAAGGAGAGACCTTTGAAATAATGGATGACCTTCCAGAAACCAGCTGTGATGCCAGAGACCGGTCTGGAGGAGACAAGGGAGACCTCACACATGGCACTGGCACTGCATTGAAAGGGAGCCCCACCGAGGTGGACCCAGAAGAGGAGACAGCAGATGGCACAGAGGACGTGCCCCAGGGCTCCCACGGAGGCACGGGCGATTCTCTGGGCAGAAGTGCCATGATGGCGTGTCACTCTGTCACTCCTCTCTGGCCTCGTCAGAACCCAGACGGGGGACAAAGCAGGGGCTCAGCCCCAGAGCCGGACGTGGACCCCGATGCGTCCACGGTGGACGAGCAGGGCCAGCTCCTCGACCTGGTGGTGCAGCATGACCATCCCGGGCTGTGTGCCCCGAGGCAGCCCTGTGTCCCCAGAAGCTGTGAGGGCTGTGCCACCACCGAGGAAGGGGACGCACCTGAAGATGTGCTCAACTGCAGCCACAACTCCAGCTCATCTTCGGCGAGCTGGTGGAACTCTCCCGTGTTCTCCAGCGGGTCCTCAGAGGGGGGCAGCCCCTGGTCCTACCTGAATTCCAGCGGGAGCTCTTTCGTTTCCTTGGCAGGGTCAGTGAGGCAGGAGACCCTTGAGGCTCGCACCCTGGAGCCTGATGACCTTGAAAGGCTGCTGGCAGGCGTGACGCACGAGTGGCTGTTCCAGAGGCTGGAGCACACAGGGGTGTTCAAGCCCAGCCGGCTGCACCGGGCGTACGGTGAGTGTGGCAACCTCGGACAGGTGCAGCCGGAAGGCACCTCCGTGCTGGTGGCCTTGGAGGAGCTGGTGTTCATCCCTTAAAGTGTAGGGAGGTGGAGACCCTGTCATGCTGGAAGGGTGTGGAGAAAGGTGCCCTGCAGGCCACCCTGGCTTGGCTGGGCGGCTCCCGAGGTTCCAGGACTCGGGCCACCTGTGTTTGGAGGTTTGCTAGAAGGACACACAAGGCAGTCTGGAGATGGGAATCGTGGCAGACTCGGGGACAGTCAGGCTCTGGGGCAGCTCTGGGAGCCATTTCCTCGCAGCGCCCGTCCATCCATTCTCACTGATGGGCAGCAGTTCCGCAGCTCCACACTGCTTCCAGGAGACAGAGTCTGCCTAGTGGAGCATCGGCCTTGCGGTTTTACCCTGTGCACTGAGAGGTGTCTGCCCCGCGAGGGGACTGGTCGAATGTCCTCCTGCCACACCAGCACTGGCTTTCCACCCGAGGAGCAGCCCAAGGTTCTCTCCTGCAATGGGTCTGGGGTGCAGCCGCCTGCGAGGCACACGTCCAGGGCAGCTTAGGAAGGGGAGAGGCTCCGGGAAGGAAACAAGACTGAGGTCTTCTCCTAGCCCAGAGGGGTCCATCGTAATGCCCAAGATACTGAGGAATTGTTGAAAAAAATGTTTAAATGCTGCGAAGTGCACTTCAGAAGAAGCCGTGCAGCTGGCTAAGCGCTGGGTTCTCAGTCGGGCACCGCCCGTCTGACTCCTCAGGCTGGGGATCCAGGCATCAGTATTTTTTTCCTAGTTTTATTGAGAGGTAATATACATCACTGTGTAAGTTTGAGGCGTGTGGCATGAAGGTTTGATTACGAGTGAAATTATTCCAGTAGGTTCACTAACATCCATCTTCTCACATAAATACAATAGAAATGAAAGGAAGAAAAAACGGAAAAGATTCTTATGGTGAAAACCCTCAGGATTTCCTCTCCAAACAACACTCACAGGTCTCTAACCGCAGCGCCAGCGGCGGTCGGCTGGCTGTTGGCTGCATTCTGTGGACACAGCGTCCACGTCTTACCCTGGAGTCTGGCCTCCTTCCTCCAAAGCCTGCCCCGCCTCCACCTCTGGTGACCACAACTTCGATCTCCCTTTTTCTTTTTATTCCACATGACAGTAACATCCTGCCCTACCCTAGAATGTAGCATTTCTTCCTCGAGGTTCATGTTGATGTTTAAAAGAGCTGCTTCTTGCTCACCCACTTTCTCCGTTCTTCAAGGCAGAGTTTTTTATTCTATCTTCCTTTCTCAGTTGAGTTTACATCTTTGTACAATTGCTACAATTTTTCAAGTAATTCCTGGACTTTCCCAACTTAAAACAGGGAGAGAAAAAAAAGGGCCGGGAGAGGTGCAGGGCCTGCGCCCGGACCGTCTGTTTCCAAGCCCTCAGTCTTCTCTCTTCCTACAAAAACCCCGCCTTTTTCTTAAAGTTGCCGTCACAAATGAGATTCTGTGGCTCATAGGCTATTCCGCATTTTACTCTAAAGCTTCTCTTGCTTATTGTACTTTGCTACCTTTTTATTAGTCATCACAGACGAGGCTGACATTTGAGAAACGGACAAAGAAGTTGAAGGTTTCAGATACGCTGGATGAGGACCTGTGTTACTTCAACTTTGTCCATCAGTTGTGATATCGTTTGGAAAATACCCATTTTCCTCATTTTTTTTTTACAGATGCTCTTTTGTTGAAATATTCTAAGAAATCTGAATTGTGGACGGCCCAGGAGACTGCGGTGTACCTGGGGGACTACCTGAACGTGAAGAAGAAGGGCAGACAAAGAAACGCTTTCTGGGTCCATCATCTTCACCAGGAGGAAACGCTGGGGAGGTACTGCTTGAAAGCATCAGAGCCACTCCTGTAAAAAGGGCTGATTTTCCTCTCCACTAACTGCTGTTGCCCCCTTACCGCTGTTCTGCTTTCTGGTCAACCACAGTCTGAAAATTCCAGAAACAAATAACTCATAAGTTTTAAACATGTGCCATTTGGGTGACACCATACACTGTCCCCTCCGTCCCTCCCGGGACACGAATCATCCCTTTGTCCAGCATGTCCCCACCCACTGGTCACGTAGCAGTGTCTCTGTTGTAGCTCAGCTGTTGAGGTATCGCAGTACCTGAGTCCCAGTCCCCTGATTTCATGCCACATTCGCTGCCTTATTACAGTGCATTCACCATTAGTTACTGTCGCTACTCTCTTACTGTGCCTGACTTAATAAATTAATCCTTGTCATGTGTATAGAGAGAATGTAGTAGATGTAGGAATCAGTACCATTTTCAGTTTCAGGCATCTACCTGTGGGATATACCCCCCACAGATAAAGAGGAACTGCTTTAATAATTTATGAGATTTTGAAAAGGCTGAGAAAGCTGGCCAGAATATATGTTTTCAGCTTCCTACTCCTCCCTCATCCTCATTAACTTATTGGTAAAAGTTTCCACGGACTGACCGACGTTCTGTCAGCTGTCTTGCCCAGCCCTACGTGACTCAGACCCAGTATGGAAACGTTATCACCCTGTGGGAAAGACAGGAAAGGTGGAGCATCTGCCCACTGGCAGGAGAGAGAATGTGCTAGCAGGAGCCTGCTTAAACTATGAAAGCCACACTTCTTGTATATAAACAAGCCTGCAAACAAGGCAGGAGAATCCTTTGAGGCCTGAGATGCATCACATCCAGGTAGATACATGGCTGGGAGCCCAGAGTCACCTGTACGTGGGTGGGCTGACGGGCTACAGGGCAGAGCTGCCCAGTGAGGGGACCCATGTCAGAGATGGAGCGAGCAGGGAACCGGAATGGCTGCATCCTCCAGGAAACACGCACCAAGGTGGTTTTGTTTGTAGATATGTTGGGAAGGAGTACAAGGACCCAAAGAAGCTGTGGCTCCATTTCTCCGACGTGGAGCGACAGATGACTGCCCAGCACTACGTGACTGAATTTAACAAGAGACTTTATGAACAGAAGATCCCAACGCAGATATTCTATATCCCGTCTGCAGTGCTGCTGGTAAGAGCGAAGAGACCGGGTTCTTGGGAGAATGGGCCCATAAACATAGGTTAGATTTCTCTCTCAGCCTACCATTCATTTTCCTCCACCATCATTCCCGTGAAAATCAGCTCAGTCACCAGCCTCCTCTACCTGCTTCATCCACATAGACAGGTAAATGAGGCAGGGCCGTCCATCCCCTGAGTGGGCCGGTCACATGGGAATCCCTGTGGATTCCGTGTCTGGCCCCACACGGTCAGATCAGCCCTCAGCAGACCTTCCTTGGTCTCCTCTGCTTCCGGAGACTGCTCCTGACAGCCTGTCCCCTCAACATCACTCAAGACCCCAATTCATACCTGTTGGCCCCCAACCCTGTGCCACAGCTTCAACACTGTAGCGAGAAAACATGATTACTAGGTTTTCACTCTCCAGTTAACCTGTTACGAAGGTTTTGTTCCAACCCTGTTTTCCTCTCATTTCTGCCTGCGACTCACAGCTCTGTCTGCTGGGACCTCCAAGGCTAATTAATCTCTTCACAAAGATGCCTCTCCGAGTATATTAGGGCAACGGCCCCACCAACTTCTTTCCTCTTTGGATTGAGCAGACCCTGCTTCTCCAAAGATCCTCATTCATGCCTAAAGGATTTTTTTCTTTACTTTGTGACATTTCAGACCTATTTAGGCCCATTTTTACTACAGTGACAAACTGTCTTCTGTTTTGCACTGTCTTTATGTCGAGTACTATGCCAGGCATTTAACAGACACCAACTCTCACTTCTGGAGCAAGTCTGCAAAGTCGGATGCACACAGAAGTGCTCACACTGAGAGAGCAGCCTGGGACCCCACTCGTGATCTGGCCGTGCCCCTGCAAGCCTGCCCCAGAGGGATCGCACATCACAGCCCACGTGTGACGTGTGCATTTTAATGCAAGAGTAATAATTTTAGGTTCTGTTGTATGCTATACCATGTTAAGCACTTGACATGCAAATAAAGAAACCAAAATCTAGGAATAACAAACCTCCTAAGTGGCAAAGCTGAGGTTCAGAGTGGTGTCTACTTGTCCCCAAAGCCCGTGCCTTCACTGTTAGGTCACACGGGCCCCCATTTCTATTTTTCAGATTTTAGAGGGCAAGAGGATACAAGGATGTGTCAGTGTGGAACCTTACATTCTGGGAGAGTTTGTAAAATTATCAAATAACACCAAGGTGGTGAAAACAGAATACAAAGCCACAGAGTATGGCCTGGCTTATGGACATTTTTCTTATGAGTTTTCTAATCACAGAGAAGTTGTGGTAGATTTACAAGGTATGTGAAACTGGGGGTTAATTTTTATATTTAGAATTATTTATTTGTAAATACGAGGTTTTGTCACTAGCTCTACCAATCACTAACAGACTATTCAGTGAATATTTAGAAGTAATCGATTTGACTCTATGTAGCAAATGATGCCTGAGAAAACATCTATAGCATATGTCTCTAAGATGTCAATTGCTGTAAAGATTGGGCTCACGTTCTGTTGAGCTAAATTCTGGAGCAAACCCATGGCAGATTTTTAAATTTTGCCTGGTGAACTTGAGTTGACTAGGTTTCTTCATGGTGAATGTTTCAATGTGTGAAAATCTTCTGGCTCTTGCCTTGCTCCCACCTTCTGCCTTCGTTACAGGGATGATATCGGGATCGTTAGGGAACCAAGAGCTGTGTGTCCTTGAATCTGACTTCTTCTACATTTCCTGCATTACTATTTTAGTTTCCTTTCTGTTCATCTGGTGTGTTATTTATCAGAATCATTAGCCAGCACTCTGCACTTTGTTTAAATGATAAAAGAGGTTACTTCTAATTATTTCTGGTAGTGATTCGATGACATTCTCCCGGATCTCCTTTGTCCCCTGCACGTCATTTGGCATGACTTCCTGTCCCACTGTGACTTACACTTACGTAGACCAGCCTCCCTTCACGGACACTCAGCTGGACAGGCACCGACAGCTGACAGCCTGTGCGTTGCAGTCGCCTGGCGTCTGAACCAGAGTTTCGTTCGCTATGTGCACTCAGTAAATGTTTGTTAAGCAAATTAATATACAAATTCATGAATAAGGCACTAAAGAAATGTGGGAGTTATGAGAAAACCATTCAATATTGTGATTTTTTGTAATTATGTAAGTATATTTTATTACTCTGTAATTCCTTGAAAATCGGTAGTTTGAGTGCGTCATATATGACAAATTCAATTACCCAATATTCAGTTCTTCTTTTTTTTTAAAGAGAAAGTTGTTTTGTTTTTTAAGATTTTATTTATTTATAGAGAGGAAGGGAAGGAGAGAAGGAGAGAAACATCACTGTGTGGTTGCCTCTCGTGAGTCCCCTGCCAGGAACTGGCCTGCAACCCAGGCATGTGCCCCGACTGGGAATCGAAATGTGGTTCGCAGGCCTGCGCTCAATCCACTGAGCTATGCCAGCCAGGGCCAGTTCTTCCTTCTTAAAAACAGTAATTGGACCTTGTAATACAAAATCCCTCAGCAGAAATGCATTCAATGTAGAACACAGGGTGACTGCGTCTTAAGTGTCTGAGTCCGCACAGTTTTCCCAAAAGGCTTTGCCAACGTGCACAGCAGACCTGGCTCTCAGGCTTGCTTCTTCCCCCTCCAGGCTGGGTGACTGGTGACGGAAAGGGGCTCATCTACTTGACAGACCCCCAGATCCACTCTGCAGATCCGAAAGGTGTCGCTGCCAACTTTGGAAGACGGGGCATTTCTTACTTCTTCACCCACCAGCATGTGGACTGCAATGAGATCTGCCATCGTCTGTCTCTGACCAGGCCATCCGCTGAGAGCCCAGACCAGCCTTGGGCAGCGTGGGTTCAGGGCTGATGGCCGTGGGCCGAGGTCTCTCCTGCAGGTACATGGGGCTCAGCACGGCCTGGTCCTGGAGGGCCGGGTCTGGGCTGTGACTGGTGAGGGAAGCGGATGAGTGTCGGTGTCAGGCCCACATTTAATGACAGTGCGAGGCCCTGTGGAGGCTCCCTGCTCTGACACAATTACCATTCATCCCGTACAGTCCTTTCCCTCAAAGCATGTGTCTAATCCCTTCTTGGGATTTGCTTCTTGAAGAACCCGTACTAACAAGTTTATTAAAGAAATGGGGAAAATTACCTTATTAACAAAATAAAGGGAGGAAATCATGTTATAGTATCAAAAGATACAGAAAAAGTGACTTAAAATTGAAACTCAGTTCATGGTTATAAGCTCTTTGCAAACAGGGCATAAAGCAATGATAGAATTGGGGAATCTCCATCTTGCATTAATGAAATGGACCTGGGCCAGGTGACTGTGCAGGGCACACTGTCCCCGGGCTGGGGGGGACTCATGCTGGAGGTGCTCATGATAGAGGCTGCTCCCTCCTTGGTCCGTCTGTCCCCTGAAAGTGGGACCAGAAACCAGTGACAAAGTAGCATCTGGGGACCAGCAGGGATTTTCTATGCAAGTTGGGTATTTGGTACAATCAGGGAAGTGATGTCTTTAACGTTTCCAGTTTCCTTCTCTGGTCTTTCATATTTCTTTCCGATAGCAAAATTGATACTGGGAAATTTTCAAGTGATTTTTTTTACAAGAACTCCATGATCACTTTTCTAAATTAAACTAAATAATGACTTTGTATTTTATTTTTCTGCCTGTGGAGTTGTGAGATGACAGTATTTAAAAAGCTAAGTTCCAGGGGCGCAGTTAGACAGGAGGAGACTGGTTGTGTTCCTTGGATGTCGGAGTCGGGCGCTGCTCTCGTGGGAGGCGAAGCTCATTGTCAGCCGTCACCACACACACAGACTCATCCACGCAGACTCCTCGCGCAGTCTAGGTGTGAAGTGGGGTGGGGGTGGGGAGAGAAAAACAAATCTCTTTGTTACGGTGCATAAGCGGCTGCGTGAGCAAGCTTCGCAGCTGTGCCAGGAGCTCGAGCTTTCAGCACATAAAGCCAGTGTGAATAATCCTTTCTCAGAGCAGTGGCTTTGTCAGGTGAACTTGAACCGCGTCGGATCTGCCCATTCCCACCACACTCGGCCTGTCCCCCCGGGGCCTTCGCCATCTTGGCTGTTGTTTAAAGAGAACGAGCAATCCATCATTGGCCCAGGGAGCCACTTTCTCATGGAAAAGTCAGAGCAGCCTGTGACAGGGCACTGCCCCAGCCTTCTGCAGATTAAATGGCGCTTGGCGACTCCCGTGCTCCCAGAAGATTAAGTGGGTTACCTTGTTCAGCCCAGACAAAGGGCTCTCCTCCCAGGCAGGGAGCCTTACAGAAGCTGGGAAGGTGGGAAACAGAATTTTACAAGAAAACTGACCCAGGATGTTACTTTCTATCTACCTATCTCCTCTGCAGACCACGGCACAAAGCAGGACCCACCCACCCGGGAGGTGCAAGGTCATCCCCAGGTGTGGCCGCCCCTTCCTGGTCTGGCTGCCCCCACAGGTGACGGATGCAGTGATACACTTCCTGAGGGACGCGGGGGGGTCCTGCCACTACAGTATCAGGTTACTAACATTGTTACCGTGGTGTGGTCCACACAGGAATAAACTCCTGGGTGAATCTCCTACAGAAATGAGCTCCCAGTGCAAGTCGGAAGTATAGCCTTTAACTTACCAAGCCAAGGCAAATGTTTTATCATATTACAGAAAATAGTATTTTTTAAATCATTGAAAGGGCAGTTTTTAGAACTGATTTTCAAAAGCATGAAAAAATACAATCACAGTGTTTAATTTTATATTAAATAAGTACATTAATTAAAATTAACATAAGAAAAATATCTAATTAAATATTTTTTAAAACTTAATGTTAAAGTTCAGATTGTATTTTGCCATTTAGACACTGGGAATGATACAGGCAACAGAAAGAATCTCGATTCCTTTCAGGTTCTGGTGGACTTGAGGCAGTGCTGTTATCAGAAATGTCTTCATTATTTATATTTGGTGCATATTTTGACACTCCAAATTCTCTCTTTAAGTACAGGCCATTTTCTAGTGAAAGGGTTAGAATCAAAGAGTGCTCTGTTTTGTTACCTTTAACTGAGTTTTCAAACACGCCCTCTCTCACTGCCTGTGTGTTCCATAAATGTCACATCCTGGCACAGGGCAGCTGTGGGTCGTGTGCATGTTCCCCGTGAAGTATGACACCAGAGTTAGCCTCTCCTTCCTATACAAATCACCAAAACACCAAGGGACCATAGAAACACTTTTGTTAGATATTTGACATTGTCTTTTCCAAATAACAGAAGGACCCACAGCAACTGGCTCTCAGTAGTGAACCTTCCCTCTGGGCAGGGTGTCTGCAGTGTCCCCTTGGGCCGGACTGAGGTCCCTGAGCCACCTGCACCAGTGGCATGGGACCCAGGGACAGGAGCCTCTGGCCAGCTGCACTCTTCCCGGCCTCCAGGGCACGTATGTGCCAGAGCCGGGCTGGCCAGGCCAGCACACAGCCTCCGAGCCTGTGGCCTGCTTGCGCAACACAGAAACACGAGGAAGACCCTGCAATGCATGTAAATGCTCAGAGCGATGGGGCCCAGGGGCCTTTGCAAACACTCAAAGCCACAGATTGTTCCAACAAAGGAAATTTGAAATGTCAAAGTCCTAGGCCTCCCAGACGGAGCCGGGTATTAGGGAGAGGACCACAGCCCTGTGCAACTCACAACCTCCCGCCAAACTGGTCCGCTCGTCCCTCTTGTCACCTCATACCCCTGAGTCCTCATGGCACGGCCTCTGCACCATCTAAACTGAACAAGGACACACACGCAGCAAGCATCATCCCCAAGCCTCTCAAGATGATAGGATCTCATATCAAGGTGGATTAAACTGGCTTCTCTGAAAGTGCATGGCCAAGTATCAGCTTCACTACGTTCCACTCTGGGTTACCAGAGGGACACAGACGGGGGGGGGGGGGGGGACAAGTGCACCCTGCACGGGCCAGCAGCCTCTTGTTGTTGGTCGTGGCCACACAGCAGCTGAATGCAGCTCCAACTTGCCCTCGGTGTCAAGAGAAGGCCAGTCTTTGTCACCAATAACTTTAAGAATTAGATAAAGTACGAATCAGTAGGAATTAAGTGCTGGGTCATGTGGTGGACATCAACTGTTTCACTTCCCTGGCAGTGTTTGAAGAGGCAGGAAAAATGCTGTGCTCCGAACACCTGCGACCCAGATCAGATCTCAGATGCTAAAAGATGAACTAAAAAGGACCTTGAGGAAAATTAATGTTTTATAATTTTAAAAACCAACCCAGCTATCAAGAAAATACTGTTTTCAGGAAGGATTTCGTAGTCTGGTACAGCTGACTCATACACCTGCTGGAAGAGAAGAGACTGCTAAGGTGTGCATATTTATTGGACTGTTTCCTTTGAAAAAATTATCTATTCCCTTCTGAAAACGGGTTCCTTTTGTCCCTGCAAAATAACCCTAGAGTTATTTTTTCTTTCAACCCTAATGATATGTTTATGAAAAGAGGTTAGGTTCAGAAAACCACCAGCACCTAAATCTAAATGCAACAGTGTGGCCTTTAAGGAAATACACCCACTTTTTTTTGGGGGGGGGAACCTTTTAAAAATCCAGACCGAGTTGCTGCTTCTCAGCTGTAAAGGTCCCTGTCCACAACTTTAAGTAGAACTGACCCTTGTTGTCCCTCTCAGCTGTGGAACAGAGGGAACAAATGAGAACACACACCCACCTTTCCACCCTAGGCCTGTAGACACAGAGGCTCGCCCACAGACACACACACGCGCTCGTGCACAGACACGTGCACACACACGCACGTGCATGCACTCAGTCACACACAGAGGCTTCCTTACACTGTCACAAAGGAAGCACTTACCGTGCTTCCTTACAGTGTCACACTGTCACCGTCACTCGGTAATTACTTGTTTACGTGTCTGCCTCTCCATTAGCTTGGGAGCATGTGACAGCGGGGACCAAGTTCAGTGTGTCAGCCCCCGGGCCAGCCCAGCCCCCGGCCGTCAGTAAGGCCTTGTTGAATGAGAGAATGGAATCATTAAAACTCACAAGATGAATTGAGAGTGCAGTTTTATGATTGGCCCATTGTGCACCACGCTTGGTGTGATAGTGTTTCGCATCGCGCCCTGCACCCTGCACGTGCTCCATGCGTGTCTGCAGGCCGTGTGAATGAATGATGGCAGGTGAAAAACCTCTTAATTAGATCCAGAGGCTCCTCTTTATTTGTAGAACCAAATAAGGAAGGCGTTCTCAGACACTGGAAAGAGCTATGCCGACGTCTTTGTTTTCCAGAAGACTCATCTGAATGGTAATGAGTGTGGAAAATGGATTAGCTCCTGGGTGGACAGGTTTTTTGCTTGTTTGTTTGTTTGTTTGTTTGTTTGTTTTGTGTGGAGAAAAAGTGAAAATGCTCAAGTGCTTTACCATTTACTGATAGCCAGTCCTTTGTTTCCTATGATTTTTATCTTAGTGCTTATTTAGTTAACACAATTAAACTATTTTTGGTTCACAAATTAAAATTGGTAAAAAAAAAAACAAAAACCCACTAAACTGTCCCCAGTGTTGTGTTGATGTTGAATTTGATCGTTATTTTATGTATCAGTCAATGTGATAACTCTGGAGAGAGTGACCCCCTTCGGCCCTGCAGTGACAAGGACAGGTCTTCCCTGCAGCACGTTCTCTTCCTGTGCCGGAATGCTTCCGCGGTCTGATTCTTAAAGAAGATTGGTAAGTGTCGCTCACCTACGTTATATGCATTATCTCATAGTCTGCTTCACGTAAAGCACAAACTATTTTAAAAATAAGGCACAGAGCAGGCCTATGATTGGTCGAGCCTCAGAAACCAGGTATTCTAAGTGCAATAAAAAGGCTGTTTTTCAAGTGTCACGAACTACAGAGTGCAACTCCTCTTTTGGCCAGACCGGGGGAGCATTACTGAGATTACAGGCCCTTAAGCTTCCTGTAACCAAATGCTGCTTTCACTTCCTGTTTTTTCTTATTCTTGGAATCATTCTTTTTTTAAAGATTTTATTTATCTGTAGAGAGAGGGGAAGGGAGGGAGAGACAGAGGGAGAGAAACATTGATATGCAAGAAAAATGACGATTGGTTGCCTCTCGCACACTCCCAACCAGGGACCTGGACAGCAACCCAGGGCTGTGCCCTGACCAGGAATTGAACTGGCGACCTTTTGGTTTGTGGGAACAATGGCCAACTCACTGAGCCACAGCAGTCAGGGCTCAGAATCATTCTTTTATACTGCTACCCAAGGGTTAAAAGAAGACTAATAGTATCACCCTAAAAGAATTAGAGGCGAGGAAACTGCAGAATAGTCTGAAGATGGCAAAGGCGAGTTGAGAGTTTGAAGGAAAGAAGCCATTTCCATAACATGTAACATAACATAATATAACATAACATTCAAGGTGAAGCAGCAAGTGATGTAGAATATCTAGCTAAGATGATTCATGAAGGTGGCTGCACTAAACAGGATTTTCAGTGCAGGCAAAACAGTCCTGCATTGGGAGAAGATGCCATCTAGGACCTTTGCAGCCAGAGAGGAGAGGTGCCGGCTCCACAGCATCAGGGACAGGCTGGCTCTCCTGTGAGGGCTGAATGCAGCTGTGACTTCAGGCTGAAGCCAGTGCCCACTTACCATCTGGGTCCTGCGGCCCTTGGGAATGGTGCTCTGTCTACTTGCCTGTGCTCTGTAAGTGGACAGTGAAGCCTGGATAGACGCAGCTGTGTAGACACACCTGTCTACAGCTGGATAGACACACCTGTGGTAGGTAGACGCAGCTGTCTACCACACAGCTCACTGAATGTTTTAAGTCCACCGCTGAAGACTACGGCTCAGAAGAAAAGTTTCCTTTCAAAATACAGCTGCTCTCTGACAAGTACCTGGTCACCCAAAAGCTCTGATGGACAATGAGATTAATGTTGGTTTCATGCCTGTTTAACATAATATCTATTCTGCAGTCCATGGATCAAGGAGTAATTTTGACTTTCAAGTCCTATTTAAAAAAATACATTTTGTAAGGCTATAGCTGCCACAGATAATGACTCATTTGATAGATCTGGGCAAAGTCCATTGAAAAATTCACCATTCCAGATGTCATTGAGAACATTCATGATTTGTGTTAAGAAGTCATCATAGCAACTATTTTTTTAATTTATTGGTTTTAGAGAGAGAGAGAGAGAGAAGACAGAGAGAAAAACATTGCCACATTGCTCTACCCATTTACACATTCATTGGTTGACTTGTGCATGTGCCCTGAGCAGGAATCGAACCCACCAGCTTGGTGTGTATCAGGATGATGCTCCAACCAGCTGACCTGCCCATCCAGGGCCAACAGAGCGACTTAACAGGAGTTTGGGTGAAGGTGATTCCAACCCTCATGAATGGCTTAGAGGGGTTCAAGACTTCAGTAAGGAAGTAACTGCAGCAAGAGAACCAGAATTAGAAGTGGAGCCCGAAGATGGGACTGAATCACTACAACCTCAGGATAAAGCTTGAACAGATGAGGAGTTGCTTCTTGTGGATGAGCCAGGGGAGTGGCTTCTTGAGATAGAATCTACTTCTTGTGAAGATGCTGTGAAACTTGTTGAAATGACAACAAAGGATTTAGACTATTCCCCAAACTTAACTGATGAAGCAGCTGTTGGGTTTGAGACCACCAACTCCAATTCTGAAAGGAGCTCAACTGCGGGTAAAATGCTATCAAATGGCACCCTGCCACTGCAGGAGGGTCTTTCTGAGAGTAAGGATCGACCAACAGAGCAAAGGCCATTGTTGTCCTATTTCAGAAACTGCCGCAGCCGTCCCAGCTGCCAGCAGCCACCCTGGTCATTGAGCAGCCACCAACATGGAGGCCGACCCTCCACCAGCAAAAAGACAAAAACTCACAGAAGGCATAGAGGACGATTGGCATTTTTAGCAATAAAGTATTTTTAAATTAGATCACATACATTGTATTTTAGCCATAGTGCTATTGTACACTGAATAGACGGTAGTACAGTGTAAACAACTTTTATAATGCTCTGGGAAATCAAAATTCATGTGACTTGCTTTATTGTAGTATCTGCTCTGCTGTGGGGTCCGTCTGGAAGTGAACCCGCAGCCCCTCTGAGTTGTGCCTGTATCGAGTCAGTATGTCGAGCATCTGAAACTCATACGTATTATATATCAATTATACATCAGTAAAGAAGAGTTCAGAATGGCTAAAGGACTTATTCAGATTTCCACAGACAGATGCTACGTTTTTCCTCCCCACACAGTTTTTTATCAAACCATCAGCTACCTGTGTGGTACAGGCAACAGGGTCTTCAGTCAAACATTGACTTTTGTGAGAAGTAAAATTTTTCTCCACTTGCCAGAAGGCTGGGACTCCTGTTCTGTTCCACAGGGTTCAGTGACCCAGTGTTGCAGCCGTCAGCCTTTGAGAAAAAGGCATCTCTCTGGCCGATGCCAGGGGCCCTCTGCTCCCAGGGGCCAGCATGACTCCCGAGCACCGTGCTGTGCTGGGTGCCCTGCCAGCCGCCACACTCCACGACCTCAGCGCCCCTTGGGCGAGCCAGGCGTCCTGCTAACCGGAGCTGATGTTCAAACAGCCGCTCCACCCCAGCTCCGCCCCCTTGGCTAGGGTCCCGCTTCTCTGCTCAGGGCACAGATGCAGCTTTGAGCCTATGCGACCAGGCAGCTATTAGCAGCCAACCCAGGGAGGAAAACTAATGAAGGGAGCAAGTAATAAAAGGCAGCTCAGGACAGCCGGACTAACTTGCTCCGAGCAGTAATTAACTTTTTTTTCTTTTCTTTCTTTTTTTTTTTTTTTGGCTCATGAAGGTAAATATGCCATCGGCACTGGTCCAGTCTAACTCTTCTTTATTAAAAAGGATAGAGCAGAGCTATTCATGGGGAGCTGAGACTTAATCTGTTTTTCCCTCAAAGAAGGACCATTTTAAATCACTTGCGTGATGTGTAGATAGACTGGGGGTACCCAGATCGGGGGCTCCTGACACTGGAGGCAGATGAGGGGACGGGAGTCTCTGAATCACAGAGTCATCCTCTGCCTCAAAGCAGCTTATAATGTTTTTTAAAGGTTTAAAAAATCTTTTGTAAAAGTTTGCTTTTCCTCCCCATCTAGAATTATGAGCTTCTGTTCAGCACGGCACTGAGTGAAAAACGAGACCAGATTCAAGTGCCCCGCGTGCTGCACATGTCGGGTGACTGTTGTCACGGGCGAGGCACGGCTTCAGCTTCCAGCCCCCGTGTTTACTTGATGTTAATCCTCATCCGAGGACACGTCCATTGGTCTTAGAGCAGGAAGAAGGGAGAGAGGGAACTAAAGAGAGAGACATCGCTCAGCCGTGCCGTGCCCTGAGCCGGGTGGAACCCACGACCTGGACACGAGCCCTTACTGGCAGTCTGACCTGCGACCTTCTGGTGCACAGGACAGTGTCCCAACCAACTGAGCCACTCAGCCAGGGCCCAGCTTCCACTTTCAAAGACGCAGTTATAAAAGGTGACTAAATGTTTGGTTTTTCCACCTATTTTTGACATAGAGAAAAATGGGCACACGAACACTTCATGCTTTAAAAAATAACACCACCTGTTACTACAGAAGGTATGCAAGGCCCTCAGACTCACAGCGACAGAGGCTGGCGGTGCCCAGGGCTTGGGGAGGGGAATGGGTTTCAGGGGTGCAGAGTCCCAGGTTTTTCGAGTGAAAAGTTCTGGAGACTGTCTGCCCGGCGCTGTGGGTACACTTAGCACTACTGAACTACACACTAAAAAACGATTACAATGATTACCTGAGAAATCACGCTTAGGATGGCTTTAGACTTCAAGGCATTAAAGTTTTCTTATGTAGCCAATGAATACAAATAAAAAGGGTGTTTATAACAGAATCTTCTAACTTTTCAGAGGTGAAGCACCAAGTTTTGGTTGGCTATAAGACTTTTTCTGCTACAAATAAGTTATGTAGTCCTCAGATAAAGACAGACCATATTGAGTGCAGTCTTATGCACTGACAATCATCAAATCTTAGTGGCTTTTACCATATTTTTTGGAATATAAAGTGCACCCCCCAAATCTGGGGGGAAAGGCGGTGCATCTTATAGTCCGAATGTAGCTTTACATTTACATTGGTGAAATATTATGTTATTTATGTTATTAAATATTTTACCACATTTTTTTCTTCAAAAATTTTTTTCTATTTTCCTCCTCTAAAACTTAGGTTCATGTTGTGGTAATTCCCAAGGTTTTCTCCCTCAGGCAGCACCCACTGGGTGTCTCACGGGACCACTGCTCTTCACGTGGCCACTCAGAAGCCCAAGCAGCTTCGCTGCCAGGGGCCTGCGGAGTCCCCTGGGAGGGCGCCTCAGACGCTGGCAGAGAGGGCGGGACAGTCCACGACAGGCAGTGCAGTGAAGTTAAGTGACAGGCTTTGAGTGAGAGCGGCAGAGACGTGCAGGAACAGCAGGAAGCACGTTGACTGGAACATGCATGTGTGTTGCCCTGTGCACGCAGGGGCACCATCAGCACAAGTCCGGTTCTGCTCTCACGGCAAGGCCAGGCGGCAGGGCAGCCGCCTGAGGCTGCCAACGTTACAGATTCTGGGAAACACAGTGAGGGTCCCATGTGGTGGGACCAGGGCCACCTTGTTTAGTTCTGCTCACAGACTCCCAATCCCTTCCAACGGGCTGGCACCATTTCTAAAATTCAAAAGTGTGCCATGAATAAAACAGTTGTGACGCTATCTGCTTATGACGCCTCCTTGTCCCAGATCTCGTAATACCCCTGGTTTTGCTGGGGTAGGAAAAGAGGGTTACTGAAAAAATCGAACCTTGCTCCCCTTTGCGGGAAGAGACAGGAGCAGCAGTTCCAGGAAGCCCATGACCGACAGGCCCCATCGGGACCGGCTCCTGCCTGCTGTCTAGTGTGCCATCATCACCTCACCTGCTGCGCTAAAGGTCCGAGAGACTCAGAACAGCCGGACGGCAGGGTGCACGCCCTGGCCAGCCCTTCAGCAGCCCACCGAACTTCTGCAGCCCAGAACCACTGAGCTCTGAAAATGCTCTGGGAAGCCTAGAAAACCTTCCCCACCACGGGACAGCAGTGTCAGCTGAGATTCCTGACCAGTGCCACTCAAGTAGAACTGAAAGCCTTTTAGAGTTATTTGCTCACAAAAAACCCCAAAACATGAAACTCATTTTCACTGTGCCCTTTGTGGAACGTCCCAGACTGAGGCTGTGGTCGGATGGACATGGGGGTCTGCAGACAAGGCCAGGAGTGTCCAGTGATCGTCCCGCTGGAGAGCTGCTGGGCACAGGCCTGGTGTGTGTGGGAGTGAACTAACCTCCTGAGATGCAAGAAAAACGTGGACTTGAACCCAAGACTCCAGAGCTGCTCTCTCACCCTGCGGGATAAATCGTACTTTCTCCCATGTCTACTTCTAAGCAGCTGCTCTGGGACTTTGAGGGTCAGGAAAAGTATTTTAGTTTACACAGTTCTGATTGAAGAAAACATGTTGACCGTTCTGGACACTGTGATATGAAAGGAGTATTAATGTATCAATTCAATACTTGCTTAAGTTCATGATTAGACTTCCCTCCCCATAGTTTCACAAGTGTTTTTTATTAAAGATTTTATTTTATTTCTAGGAAGAGGGGAAGGGAGGAAGAGACAAACATCACTGTGTGGTTGCCTCTCGCATGCCCCCTACTGGAGACCTGGCCAGCAACCCAGGCATGTGCCCTGACTAGGAATCGGACTGGCGACCCTTTGGTTTGCAGGCTGGTGCTCAGTCCACTGAGCCACAGCAGCCAGGGCAGTTTCACAGGTGTTTAAGTCCTACCTCATTTGATTTCTTTTCCAAAATTACCTGGAAACTAAGGCAGGAAAATAAATTAATTATGTCCTCACAATGAATCCATCTTCTCGCATTGGCTTGCATGTGGTGTTTCAGTAGAAGTAAAAGGTTGGGAAAAAATGCAAAATCAAATCACCGGCAGAGGTATCTCAGGAGTCCTCATTTTAAAACCATTTCAACGCAGAGCAAGATTGCGTCTTGTGGGGAGAAAGTGATGACAGTGTCAGGTCCGCCTGTCACCCCCCCCCACACACACACACTGGTCTGGCTCCTCTGCTGCTCTCCATCAGGGAGGCAGGGACCACCCCTCCCACCCCACCTCCCACTCCAAGTCCCCGCAGAGCCCTGGCTCGGCAGAGAGGCCTTTATGGGGAAATACAATGCGCAGAGGGACTGCGAGCACGTCTGAAAAGGAAGATGACCTCTTTGTCACAAGGAATTAGGCTTTGTGGCCAGCTGCTGCCCTGGGAACTGGCACCAGGTCTCTGCCTGTTTGGAAGGTTCCTGCCTCCCTTCGCCATGGACTGCAGCCCTTTTCCTTAGTTGTTTTCTGTCCGGTGAGATGGGGCAGAGGTGTTGGCTCTTTGCACCCTTGTTTATTGGCTCCAGGTGGGCCCTCAGTCGGCCCACAAGCAACAGGACTGGAGCGGATGCACACCCAACCCTGGGTCCCCCAGAGGCCAGAGGGGCCCCTGCCCGGGGGACGTGTGTCCTTTGAAGTAACTTTCAGTTTTTGTCTCTGGGGCACAGTGCCCACCAGCGCACATGAACCCAGCCAAAGCGAGCACTGGGAAGTGTGTTTTCATGGGGAAGAACCTTGGGTCCCAAGTCGTTTCTATTTCTTAAGAAATTTTATTTTTGCCAGACGCTGGGTATGAAGAAAACCTAATGCTAACAGTTAACTGCCTTGAACAGTAAAATGAAAGATCAGTAAAAATAGATAATGAGCTGACCCCGTGTTTGGAAGGTCATCAGAGGAACCCGGTCAGTCTGCACTGCACTTCGGGGCCACCTCCTCTCCGTGTACCCATCTCCCTGGTGCTCAGGTCCCTGGCGCCTTTCCTGTCCCAGCCTTCACCCTTTCGTCGGGTCCCCCATCAGTGGCTCAGGCTGCGTAGTCCCTGTCTCGGTGGCGCGGCTATCGAGGCGGCTGTGTGGCTCCCGCGACGCCGGCACAGCGCGGACCAACAGTCACTGGCTGCGGCGCTCACCCTGTCACCCAGCCGGGAATAGGGGCCGGGCCACCGCCGCCCGGCCACGCAGTTGTCCTGTTCTGGTCCCAGACGAGGGGACCCCTGAAACCCCCCAAGTGCGGTGCCAGGACCAGACTTCCGGGGTGGAGCAGCCCCTGCCCTCCACGCGCCCAGGACGCGCACCGACCCTCGGGCAGCACTTACAGCCTGCGCCTGTCCCCCCCTCCGTTTGGGGGAAGTTTCTTAAGTTTAATGATTAAAGTGGGTCCTTAATAGGGGCGACAGCTGACCTCCCTGCAAATCCGCGCTGCCGCCGCGCTGCCCAGAGTGGTGATTGTGCAAACACCCACTTTTTGACAAAAACAAAGTGGAGGGGAGTGTTTATCACACTATGAGACTCACAGACCCCTTTCCGCGACCCGGAGCGCGGGAGCCGCGTGTCACTGGTCTCGCCCAGCCTCGCCGAGGCTCTGTTCACACATCTTCCTTCTTGGACCGGACGCCGGGACTGTCAGGCTCCGGAGCCCAGCGCCGGCGCGACCCGGGCTGCGGCCTCATCTAACCAGCGGGGGCGGACGGAGGCGCGGCCCCCAGCGCCAGGTGCGCGCATCCGAACCGACACCGGCCAGAGCCACCCGGCGGAGGGCGCGCGGCCATCGGGAGCCCGGGAGCCCGGGCCTCGCCGCCCCTTCCCCTCGCTGGTACCCCGACCCCGGGCGGGTGGACGGCACATCTGCGGAGGGAGAAGGGAGCCGAGCACTGGCCGGGCCCGCGGAACAGGAGCGCACGGCCGACGCCGCCGGGCGCCGCGAAGGCCCGGCCACCAGGGCGGCTACTCCTCGGCGGCCGCGTTAGAAGCGAGTGGTCAGCGAGCGGCCGGAGGTGGAGCGCGGGGAGCAGACGGACCCGGCTTGTCACCGCCAGGGGAAGAGGGAGTGACGCGGCCGGGAGGGAACAGGACACTGCGGGGTGCGGGTGGGGGAGAGGCGCGCGTGCGGCCGAAACATCATTCTTAGCCGCCGCTAAAAGGCGCGTCGTAAAGGTAAAGACACCAGTTTACTGTAAGGTGACGTCCGCTGTGGATGCGCCGGGACCGTCCGAGCGCAGGTGGCAGGTGGCAGGTGGCTGCGGCGCGTCTGGGGACCTACCTGTAAGCTCCGCTGGACGGCCGAGGTGGCTGAGGGACTTCTGTCGGCGGTGGGGAGTCCCTGGTGTCCCCTCCTGGATCCTCCGCGTCACCGTTCGCCTCGGGAGAGTCACTCCGCCTGGGGGGCTGCGGCCACAGACCCGGGCCAGGAACCGTTTTCCCCGCGAGTTTCCAACGGGCGCCCCCAGGGCCTCCTCACCCGGACAGCTGTTCAGCGTGAAACGCCGTTTCAAAACTCTCACACTACAGCTGCTTTGCTTGGTAGTTTGGCTTTTTAAATACCAGTAACGTAAGTGAAGGTGAGAGAAATACTTTCTCCTCCTATCAGATAATAATAAGACGACAATCTTTAAAGGAGAAGGCGTTTTCCAACAGGCCTCTCTTATGCCATGCCCGGCCATGAAAAGCAAACGAACCCTGGGGTGGTTCTTCCTTTGATTTAAAAAAGAAAAGTGGACTGATAGATTCAACACTTCGTATCTTCCACATGGATGGATAGGAGGAGTTTCAGAGAGACATCTCAGGAGAAATACTCGTGGCTTTGTGCAGAGTGGGGGGTTTGGCCCAAACCTTGAGAAGATATGAAATTTATGTGGCAGGGGAGGCTTAACAACCAACTTTTCTTTGCAGACGTGCTTTACTTTAGGCTGCGTTGTCATGGATACCCTCCCTCAAGGGGCTCCAACCTAAAATGTGGTCAGCCTAACTTGGTCATCCTTGACCCAAGGCCACGCAAAGGTCATTTATCTCTGCTTTGGAGATTGAGGTGAAAGATTTAGAATTATGTATCTTGGAGATTAGGAAAACATTTTCACTTTCTCTTTGAAGAAGTCTTGACTATGTAATTATTTTAACAAAGATGATTGGAAAGCTGAGCTGCTCTTTCAGCGCACTCCGAATATTTTCTTTTCTCTGGGAGTTTGCTTTTCAGACCAACAAGCTTGTTAAAATGGCTGAAAGCGAATCAGCTTTCAACAAGGACTGTAGAGTCAGTTACTCACAGGTGTGGAGGGCCCTTGGAAATCGTCACCACACCTCTGCAGCTGACAGGTGATGGCCCTTGAAACGCCAAGAGTTAAGTGTAAAAAAAATCTACACGCTCCACCAAATTTCACCTTCACTAATTTTTAAAGTCAGGGTTTCTGAACTTTGCAGCTTATCATGACTTATTTACCCCCCCTTTTAACTAGTCTTGTTTGCTTAGAAACTGATTTCTTAAAAACCAAGTTCTGTTTGTGCTGAGTTACACTCAGTGCTAGCATTTCAGATATGATTCAGCTCCTTGTGTTTTCTTGGACCATTAGTGTAACTCTAACGTACAAACATGGATGGAAACGCAGGTTGCTCTTCTTAGAATACAATTTACTCTTCTGAAAATCACACAAGCAGGAAAAAGTTATAATACTACAGACAATTATTATGAAAATTAGATATTTTATTTATACTTCAGCCACAAGAACAATTTTTCCCATTTTTTCAAGAGGTAAATACATACTAGAATAAACTCTGTAGAATATACAAAAAATACATACTTTTCCCATGAAAATTTTTTTTATAATAAATAGAGGGGAACACGTGTGTGGCTGATCCCCAAAGAGCTCCGTGTCTGCTTAGGTTTTCAGTCTGTTGATTTATTTTTAATCTCTTGAAAGAAAGGGGAGTTCCCTCCCCCCTAAAAGGTCGAGATAAATAATGCATGAAGCAACCCCCCTTCCCTTTTCCTCCACATTTTTGCTTTCGATAGAGAGTTCAGCCCAGATTTCCACGCTTGCATTCAATCAGTACAAAGCCTACAAATTATACAATGACTTCTAACCTGGCCCTCTAACAAAACAACCTTTTCCCTTATAAATCATAAGAGACAGATGGCAAAATGGAGAAGAAAAAGGAAAGAGAAGGATGGGACAATAGGTGTCGTGCCGAATCTGGGAAACGGAACGAAGTGCACGTCAGAGGAGGAAAGTCTGTTTGGCAGGTGAGGTTCCCACAGCCGGCGGGCGGCGCTGGGAACCCGGCAGATGCCAGGCCCCGCGGACCTGTGGGCAATATTACCACCAGCGACGTCATTCAGACGCTAAGACGCGTTTCTTTCTACTCGACATTAACATCTCTATGCAGAAGCCGAGGGGACGGGATGCAGGGACCCGTGGCGGCCCCCGAGACTCACTCCGACAGCGGAGTCTTGGGCTCTGCGGAGTGGGGGCGACGCCCACCACCTCTGCCTCCTCCCGGCGTCTCTTTAGCCCTGGAAGCGCTTTCCCCTCCCCCGCACTCGACCATCCTTTTGGCGACGGTCTGCATCTCGGCTTCGATAACTCAGAGCCCGTCTAAATAAAGGAAGCCCTGTGCCAGGGGACCGACAGGCGGCGGCGAAGCCGGACCTCTGCATCTGCTCTGGACTCCAGCCGGTTTCCAGGGCGCGGGAAGTGGGGCGGAGAGGGGCGCGGCGGGCAAGGCAGGCACAGCACGGAGCCAGGCCTGGCGCGCGGCGGGGACGCAGCCTAGGCGCACTCCCTGACCGCGGGGCGGCGAGGCGGGCAGCGGCGCTTGTCCTGCGGAGCCGGCTGCCAGCAGTCCCGATCCGACACCACGGGGCTGGAGGGGGAGAAGACGCAGTTGTAGGGGGAGGTGGAGGGCGCGGAGGAGGGTGGCGCGGGGCTGTCTGTGCCGCTCCACGTGGACGAGGGCGACGGGCTGTCCCCCACGCTGCCCAGGGCGCCGCCCGGGCTCAGGAGCGTGGCCTCCGGGCGCAGCGGGCCGGGCAGGCCCCCGCCGCAGTGGTCGGCCAGGCGCAGGGTCTCGGTGAGCGCCCAGATGTAGTTGTGCGCGAAGCGCAGGGTCTCGATCTTGGTGAGCTTGGCGTCCTCGGGGAAGGTGGGCAGCACCTCGCGCAGGGCGTCCAGCGCCGCGTTCAAGTTGTGCATGCGGTTGCGCTCGCGGTTGTTGGCCTTCAGCCGGCGGGTCTTCTTAATGCGCTGCGCGGTCTCGGCCGTCTTGGCGCCTCGGGAAGCTACTCGCGCTCTGGAAGGACGCCGCCGGCACTCGTGTCCCAGGCCCAACAGCCGCACCCCGGGCCCGGCCCCGCGCGGCCGACGCGCCCCTCCCGACGCGCCTCGCTCTTCGTCGCCCTCATCAGCACTGGATGGCTGTGGTGTCCGAGCTGCTGCCGGGGAGGCTGCGCCCAGCAGCACCAGCATGTCCGCTTCCTCCTTCACCGCCAAGGCCTCGGATTTCACGAACATCCTACCGAAAGGAGCGGGAGCTGGGGAGGGGGGTGGAAGCACACCAACGGGCGTCAACGCATAAGTGAAGGTATCCCGTGGGCGCGCGACGAGAGGAGCCCAGCTGGGAAGGAACCCCCCTGGCGCCCCGCGTGGGGAACCCGCGCCAGCCCACCGGTCCTGTGTCCTCCTTGGAAGGGGCGGAGGCTCCGCGCCAAAGATCTGCGCGACCCAAGAGCGCTCGGACGCGGTGGGACGTGGTGCTGGAACTGCCCTCTGAGTTAAACACTTACTCAGCTCGCTCTCCAAACGCGCGCGCTGCCGGGGCAGGACGCGTGCTCCTCCCGCGCGGGTCTCGTGCGTGTGCTCGCAGTGCGTGTCCGTCTGTCACTCAGCCCCGGGCCGGCGGCGCCCGGCACGCGACCCCCCGGCACTCCAGTTAAAGCGAAGCGGTTTGTGGTTCAGTGGCTGCGTGTCTGGCACACGACTCTCCTTAAAACCCCTTATATACCCCTCAGAAAACAATCGGGTCGCCCCCAGGCCCTCCTCCCCTCCCCACGCCTGCCCCTCCCCGCTGCTCCCTTTCACCGCTTTATCGCCATTCAATTCTCTCTCCGCCTCCTCCCGGGCCTGCCAACCTCGCTCCCCCGCGCCAACCCCCTCCCCGCCCCCCTCCCCCCTTTATCTGATCAGCAGAAAGTGGTTCCAAAGCTCCCGCTGGAGCTCCAGGCTGTGCTGGGAGCTCGGTGGCCGAGGCTGCCGGCCCGCGCCTCGCGATTGGTGGCTCGCGCTCGGCTGGAGCGTGCCGCTAATTTATTAATGAATGGAGGTCGCCAGACGCAGCTGGCCAATCCGCGCTCCCGGGACCGCGTGAGGGCCGAGAGCCACGCGCACGGAGCCCGCTTCCTTTCAGCAGCTCCGCGGGGGCCGGAGCTCGCGGGCGGCGGGACCCCCTCCCCCAGCCCGCAGATGTGGGTCCGACCCCCGGGAGAGCCGGGGGGGGGGGGGCCCTGGTGCCGCCCGGCCCCAGAGGGGCAGAGCCTCCCGGGAGCCGCACCAACAGTAAACGATTTTAAGCGCAGAACTCGGTTAAGGGAGGAGCGAGGTGTGGGAGGCGCGCTGTGGGCACCCGGGGACGAGTGCGCTCCGGTCCGCAGAGACCGACGCCGAGGCCGAAGGGCCGGACCAGGCAGGATGCCTGGAGGCACCGCCCCGAGGGACCTGGAGAGGGGCGCGGGGCTTTCTCAGGACACCGGACAGGAGGAGGCTCCGGGCCCGACGCGGCTCCTTTTGCAGGATGACCCCGACGCCCTCCTGCACGGAAGGCAGGCGCTGAGCCGCGGTGCTGCCGACTGGCCGTCCCGCCAGCTCGGGGGCTGCGCCGACATTTCCGTGACCCCTGCCAGCGCTGGGGGCGTTGTAGGGACAAGGGGCCCGTCCTCCCGATTCTCCCGGCCTTTCAATAGGAAAAAAAAAAAAAAAAAAAGCTCAAGGGCGACTGCGCTCTAGGGTAACTTGTTCTGAAGCGCTCGCCGGCCCCTCTCTGCTCCGCCCGCGCTCACGCGGGTCCTGTGGTCGACCTGGCTGACCTTTCCAGGGACCGAACGCCGAGCCGCCCGAGGAGTGTGCGGTGCCTGCGCGGGCCCGGGCTTCAGCTTGCAAGGCAGGCGGTCTCTTGAGATGCCGTCTATACACGCGGCTGAAGCCAGAGCACTTGGAACGTTAAGAGTTAAAAGGCGACAAAGATTGTCTGTGCGTCTCTTTCCTGTAGGGTTGGTAGGAATGGGACGCAGGTTGTGTTGCAGAAGGGACGAAAGTGGTTTTGACTTGTGTAGCGTTTGCTTCAGGGAGGTAGCAGCAGGGTTGGAAGGCACCGCGTGAAGCGTGAAAGTCAGGGAGACAGGCTGCCACCTGAAGTGGCTCTCCCGCCGCCAGACTTCCTTCCCCTTGAAATTACCTGAGAATTGCCACCATCTTCACTTCGATACTTGGTATTTGTTTTGCATCCCCCCCACCTTTTAAAACAAATCCCCTAAATTTAAAAGCATTATTTTCCCAGTTCCCTCTGAGTCCTTTCAGAACAGTTGGATTTCATTTGTTAGAGGTGCAGACATTTAAAAAGCAGAGACACATCCAGTCTCTCCAGGAGGCAGCGTCCACCTCCCGCCTTTGCTTGGGCTCATCCGCACCATGAACCTGCTGGATCAGAACCTCATAAGAGCCTTGAGTCAAGTGGGAGAGACAAGACAGGAGAGAAAGACACCAGGAGACACGTTAGCACTGGTCTGCAGGTGATGGTGATGCCAGACACATGAGCAAACCCTCCCGGGCCCTCGCTGGCTGGTTGGGTGGAGACGAGGGACACCTGGGAGCGGATGCCGGGTCCTCGAGGTGATTCCGAAGCGGTGAGAAGGCTGGGTTCGGAGGCCGTGATTGAAGTGCCGAAAGTAAACCCAGGAACCTCGCATCCCTGCATCTCACCGCAGCCAATGGAAAACAGGGGACCATACAGTTCGGTACCTCTTTACGCAGGTGTTTTACAATGCTGGTTTAGCCAGGAAGTGTTGGGTTGATTTTCTGGGAATGCAGCTCAGTGGAGACTTAAGGAAAAACCCAAGGAGCCTTGTGTAACCACCAGACTGCTTGGCGCTTGTGACACACACGAGGGGCTCCTTTAGTTGACTGTGCAGAATTTAGGGTCAGACCCCCAGTGCTGGTGTTCTCCTGAGACCTTACATCTTTATGATGCTCTGGAAGGGCCGGGCTTCCCTTTGCCGAAAGCCTTCTGTGCTGAGCACATGGACAGTGCGGTGAAGGGCACCTGCTGATGGTAAAGTGTGCGGGTCCACTGCTGTTTCCGATTCCAGAAATGTCCTTCAAAAGGAAAATGTATGTCAATAAACTGAAGGTTGTGTGTATACTCAAGGACTGACACAGACCGGTCTCCATGTAAACGTGTAGATATCATAGAGGTCATAGGGTTTTCCTTTCAAAGTAAGGACTTGTTTGGGCCCGTGCCATGTGGTGTGTGATGACTGTGCGGACGACGGGCCTTTTCAGAAGCAGCCTCAGGCTGAGCACCTTGAATGTGAGTCTGAGAGTGTTGGTTGTGTGTGTCGTAGTGACTTAAGAAAAGCATCCTATCTGGTAACACTTCTGGAAGTGGTAACACTTCTATGAAGACTATTTTTCAGAAGAAACAATGTCAAGAAAAATGTAACTACCTAGTGTGATCAAGAAGCCCATGATTCTCACCCAGTCCCAGAATTCTTTGTGTTCAGCGTTTTGCTAGGTTTTGCTGAAACAAAGCCATTTGGATTTGCAGTCAGACTTGCTCACGTGACCAATGCCAGTGTCCTTAGCTGGACTCTTCTAGTCCTCTTTTAACTTAAATGAATCCGAGAGGCACTTGTGTGGTCCACAAGATTGTCCGGACGCAGCCGGGCTGAAACGGGGGAGGGGAAGGCCGAGTGGCCTCGGCAAGGGTGGCGGCCAGGGCGGCTGTCCACCGCGTGAACTGTCCCGAAGGGTCAAACTGTTCATCCCCAGCCCCTTTCACTGAGTGATCCCACTTTAAGGGAACAAAAGCTCAAAGCGGGCGGTCATCGAGAACCGGGACACAATGATTTACACTCCGCCGGCCTCAGGAAGAGGGGGCTGATGGCGTGTGGGGACAGGCGAAGGCGGATCACAAAGTCTTTGTTGCTCTAAGAAGCTTGAACTCCTCCACGACCCAGCCTCGCGTGGAGGGTGGGCATTGCCACGGCCACCAGTGAATCCACACTTAGACCTCACAAATGGCCAGCGGACAGTGGCCCCAGCGCCAGGCTCAGCCGTTGCAGGAGGCGGGGTGCTTTTCCCCCAAAATACAATCCCCCACCCCCAGTGCGAGCCAGCCCCCCAGTTACAAACCACAGGACGCCCCTCTTGGGTCCGGGCACCGCGGCAGCGCTGCGGGGGGTGGGGATGGGGGAGGGGCGGCCTGCGGAGGTGCAAGGTGTCAGCCGGCGGGCGGTGGGGGCGGGGAGGCCGCAGTAGTGCCGGGCCTGCGCGGGGCTCTCTGTGGCCCTTGTTGTCCCTGCCCCCACTCGGTTTCTACCTTGTCCTCCGGTGACAGGCGTGATGGGGACAGAGTTCCCCCTCTGCCTGCGGAGGGGACACCGGCCGGGGAAGCTCAGAAGGGACGCCAGACTCTGGGACAAACACAAAGCACCACAGTCCTTCGCGTGGGGACCACGCCGCCACAGGGGCCGCTTTGTCGCTCATATCATTCAATCCCGCCCCAGAGACTGTCCCTCAGAGAAGCTCCGTTGGCGTCACCGGGGCAGCCACCTTCAGGCGCGTCCTCACCGAGGACTCTCCTTCCTGCACCTCGTGACCGCAAGACCAGCGCAGTGGCCACGTGGTGCGGTGGTGACACGTCCGTGTCACGTGGGGCTTGTTCAAGCGAGGCCCACGGGTCAGAGGGTGATTGATGCCCCACTGTCCCCCCCCCCCCCGGAAAAGTCCCCAAATGCGTTTTCTTCCGGAAACACCTGCAGTCCGGCCGACGCTGGCAGAAGTTAAAAGGGCAACGGCGCAGTGAGCACGCTGGGCGGTTCGCCGAAGACAGTTGCGTGACCTGCCCCTGCGGACAGGACCCGGGTCACTGGGACGCAGGCGCAGGTCCCGAGGAGCCCGGGCCACTCAGGGGCGGGAGCCCGCCTGCGACGACGGACGTCACACAGAAACCCGAGCGCCCTGTGGCGATGCACAGGGCGAGGCCCGCTTTCCTTTCAGGAAATTACTTCCAGAAGAACTTTCCGGCCCCCGAAACACACGAGGAACACACGAGGGCCACCGCACAGCGGACCCGACCCGGGCTTTCTGGCGCCCGCGCCACCTGCGCGGAGCAGCCCCCACGTCCGCGCGATGACGCACCAGCTGACGCCACACCCAGGAGCGCGATGACGCCATCGCCACACCGCGCACCGCACTCCGACGCGGTGGAGGACTTTACGCGCTCACGAGCCCCGCGGGGGTCTGGTTCCCCGGCGGGAGCGCGTCCCCGGGCAGCCGTCCCGGGGCGCGCTCACGCCCCATCCCTGGGTCCAGCCCCTTCCGCGCGGCTCCTCCGCAAACCCGGGCGCCCGCGCTTCCGACGGGAGACACCGAAGCATCAGTGATGCGCTCGGAGCGGAGCCGAAACTCGAGGACGGACCGGACGCCCCGCCAGTCCCGGTGGCAGCAAGGCCGGGAGCGGCCGGGCCTCGGACGCCCATCTCGGCAGGACGCACGCCTGTGCCGGGCCCCAGGCCCCAGATCCGGACGCCCCGACTCCGATTCCGCCGCGGGGCGCTGCCCTTCCTTCTCGGGCGACCGCGCTTTTCCAAGCGCCCAAGGTGAAGCCTCCACCTGGGAGCGCTCAGCTGCCCACGTGCACCGACTTCGAAATTTTCCTAACGGTTATTTAATGTTTGAAAACCATGGTAGGTACTTACTAGGACCCCGATTTGCAGACAGGATGCGTATCTGAGCGGTGGAGGGAACAGGGAACACGCACGTCCTGGAGAAATGAGTATCTATTTAGTGCTCACAACTTTTTGCCATGGACAGTGGTAAATTTTCTTCTTTGTGTTTTCCAAGTAAAAGGATGTGGAACATTGACAGTCAGAAATTATTATTTTAAAAAGCATCGCCCTTCTGTCTCTTGAAGTCTTCATCAAAGACGGGGAGATGGTTGGAGTGGGTGAGTTAAGGCACAGAACTTGTCCCGTTAAAACGGAGGCCCGGGAGTCCGTAACCTGAATAAAAACACTTGAAATGTTCCCTTTAACTACACATAATGTAGACATTGTTGCGTAGGACAGATGTTCAATGCTAGGTAGGCAAGCTGCCCAGTGGTGCCATTTGCCATGTTTTGGGTAAATCACACCTAATTTTCCCAGGGATGAGCTCATGTCATAGGGTTTTGATGGATTTCTAAAGACTTTTTACCCCCAGTGTCTCAAATAATATGTTCCCTTGTTTAATAACACTTGCTAGCAGGGCATTTTTGCATCTAATCTCTCTTAAATGTTTCCTTTTGACCTACCCTCGGTAGTGATTAAAAACAACCTCCCCTTTCACCGTGCTTCGAAATAGAGCATCTAAAGCTTCCATTTAGAACAGTCCTCAGGATCCAGAGAATATTCAGTTCCGAGTTTTGCTTTCCTCTGCTCTAGGCTTCTGGCTCTCCCTGCTGAGGGCCACCTACCCTGACGCTACCCTGACGCTACCCTGACGCACCGCAGGGGTGAGGCCGGACGCCCGACGACTACTCTGCATCTGGGCAGCACCGATCACAACAGTAAAACCACGTCCTTTTGGGTGGGCCAGTGTTCGTTCGGTTTTTCCGGACGATGGCTCTAGTAGCATTTAGCTGTCTTTAAATTCATTTGAAACACTTTTGTTAGATTGTATTGTGACAGCTGTCATATCAGTGTGCATTTTAAAAACTTATCAAAATTGGTGAATTTTTGTGCAGCCATTTTTATATTGAAGATGGAAGAAAATCCACAACATTTTTGCCATATTATGCTTTAATATTCCAAGAAAGGTAAAAAACATAACTGAAACACAAAAAAGATTTGTGCAGTGTGTGGAGAAGGTGCTATGACAGATTGAATGTGTCAGAAGTGGTTTGTGGAATTTTGTGCTGGAGATTTCTCTCTAAAGATGAGGCGTCTTTTGTTTTAGGGAAACACACACACAATCGCCCTGGACGGCTGTTCACGACACCCCACCTGATGCCCTGATTCTGTCTTCATGTGACTTCGCCACGCGGGGCCGGAGGCCCCATTATTATCCACTCACAGCCCTGGGCCCGTGATAGCAGTCACAGACCAGTGGGAGAGGCCATCTGAGGGGACACACACACATACTGGGTTGGCCAAAAAGTGTGTTTAATAAAAGACACATTTTTCACGTTCACCAATAACTTTATTAATTTTGATTATTTTTAGTATGCCAGCTATCCCCCGAATGGTAGAACGTTGATTGTCCTCAATTAATGTCTCGATTTGATCACTGTCGACTTCAGCTGCTCCACCCGACCGTGCAGCATCGTCCAGAGAGAAAGCTCCAGCACGAAACTTCGCAAACCACCTTTGACACGTTCGATCTGTCACAACACCTTCTGCGTACACGGCACAAATCTTTTTCTGCATTTCAGTTGTGTTTTTACCTTTCTTGGAATAACACAGTATAATATGCTGAAAATGTTGTGTATTTTCTTCCATCTTTAATATTAAAATGGCTAAAAAAATTCACCAGTTTTTTAAATGCAGATGTGACAGCTATCACCATAGGATCTAACGGAAGTGCTTCAACTGAAGTTAAAGAGAACTAGTTACCGCACAAAAAAAAAGCCCAAAGGAACTCTCTTGCCAACTCAATACATTCACACACAATCACACACAAACACAAATTGACTCCGATTTGCCCAATTAGAAAGAATGGTAAGGAAAATCCACAACGAGGATTAACAGAGTTTAAAAATACCAGCCTAACTAGTGTTGCAGGGTGAGGACCGCAGATGAGTCAGAGACGTGTGGGTTGTGTTTTTCCTTTATAATCAAGTCACACTGATAGAAACAAAAAACACAACAGGAATAAACATACGTTTCACTCATGACTAATTACACAGCAGGCATTTCAAATCAGTGTTGCGCTAATGTTTCTAGAACAATTATTTCATTTTCAGGGTCCAGTATCTGTCAAGTAAATCACCAATTTCCTTTTATTCTTATTTAATATAAAAGAATTGAGTTAGCACAAAGCTATTTCACAGCTGTCTTTAAACAGTCAAGGGCAGGCAGCCTTTGGGAGTTGCTTTGGAATCTCCAAATCAAACGGCCTTTTTGTTCGAATATTAAAGGACACTGAAACTTATGTTTTATTATGAAGTTTCAGGCTGGTCTTCATAATCTCAGACTTTAAATTGCAATTTCTCTCAAGTAACTCGAATATTGAAGTGTCTGTTCACAAGGACAGGGCTGGCTACAGAGATGAGCATTAACCGCATTATTTTAAAATCAATTTTCGATAATAAGAGAATCACCAGCTTAGCGTTTAGTACATTTTTGTTAACAATCAGTTTTTGTTGCAAAAAGTAGCAAACTGGAACTTCCAGCGGCAAACATAGACCTTCCAAGGAAAGCCCACCCTCCCAATTTGTTTCTCGAGTGAAGCATGTCACGGGGAAGGATAGAGGTTGTACAGTTAACAAACTGTTACGTGATGCGGTGACAAGGTAACTCATTGGGAACCGGGTGTCTGGGTCCTGAGGACTGTAGAGCTGGGGGTCTGAGACTCGTGCGCGGTTGTGCAGAGGAGCCTGCCGGTGGGACCAGCTTCCCCGCCCCCGCCCGGTGCTCGTTCTGGCAGGTTCGAGTTCTCAGACCCTTGGCTTCCTCATTTATAAACTGGAGAAAGGACCTGTCCTCACTAGGGATTAATGTAATGTTTTGAAAGAATCTTGAAAAAAACCTGACACACATACCCTGCAAAGCAGAAAGCTAACTGGTGGACAGATTAAAGCCTAGAAACGGCCTTGTACCTCGGGTGACGCATGAACAGACCTTTCCCACAGGGAAAACCTGGAGCACCACAGGGGACCCTGCTCCCACAGTACTGCTCTCTGAGACAGGCACCAGCGCTCTGGTGACACCGGCCTGTAACTTTGAGTGCCGTGTAAGATCACGAGGAATTTTACTGTTGTTTACTGAATGGGACACTCCTAAAAACTCAGTGCGTGTCTACCCTAACTTGAAATGTGAGAGGATAGACAGCAGGCACTGGCCTGGAACTTGCAGTTTCCACACCCAGTAGTGAGAGGGCCTCTTTCTGAAAACAGAAATACAAGCCGTGCCAGTGTTCAAGGTTCAGCTAGTACGGCTCTGCTTGGCACGCGTCACGAACCCGCCACGACCGCCGCCCCTCAGTGTCCCTTGACGGATCATACTTACCTCTGAGGAAGTCAGCAGCTCCCTGGCTTCCCTCAGCGCGTCTCTGAAGGGAGGAGTGAGCAGAGCAGTGTCCCCCTCGCCTGTGTGACTGTGCTGGAGACACGCCACTTGTGCTCACACAGCGCCCTAAGGGATGCGACAGAGACATGCCCTCACTCGACTCCGTGTCCCATCCATACTCTTCTTGGGAGAAAAGCCTGAGACCCAGCTCCAGCTGGCTGGGGACCGACCCCAAAGGAAGTGGCCCGCGGGGGTAGCGGGGGCAGCACTCAGGCCATGGCGCCTGCGCTGGCTGGTCGGACGCGTGAGACACATGGCGGGTGGGCGGGGGCAGCAGCACCTGGGCTGAAGTCGGTCAGTATTGGGGACGGGGTCAGAGGCTCTCGGAACAAGTTCTGTCTGTTGGTGTTACAGAGGTACACTTGTCAATTTTATTGCAAAGTAATTCAAGTAAGCCATTCTCCGCATCTTTTAAGTGAATATTGAGTGACTTGGATCGCAGATTTTGTCAATGGGTAAGGCCGGCACAAATAATCATCAAGCCTTGGCCATTTTCCCATGCAGGATAAGTCAATGCTCCCTTGTTAATAATGTCTCAAAACCACGACAAACTGTTTAACTCACTCACGAATAGAATGTAAGCATAGAAAAAAGAGGCAGTAAGTCACCAATGATTTTCTACATGCAGAATGTATTCTCTTTATAATAAAAAATTTTAAATCCATTATATACCATCTATACTAATAATTACTGGGCAAATAAATACATAAGAAAAGAGCTAGAAGAAAACAAAGCAAAGGTGGCCGCCCCTCTGTTCACGCTCAGTCACGCCCACAGCCCTCAGGCCTGGCCGCGGGCTCCGAGTCTCCAGGGTGGCTTTCCAGTGTTTTTCTTCTTTTTGTATTTGTTACAATTTTTATCGTGAATATGTCTCACTTACAAAATGACAGGGCACAAGATTTAAAACACTCTGATAGAGCGGTCACTCAGAAGGAATATCTTGGTGTAACTGCGTGGATGTTCTAGTGGGTGAGCTTTAGAAATCTTCACTTAATTTGAAATAACATTTAAAAAGCCACGAAGGCTTTCCCCCCGCCCCTTGTATAACTGTTCTTAGCAGAATTCTTAATTTTTACTAGTAAGATTTTTTTATTACATTCAGCATCTGCTTGTCTCAACGTAAGTAATGTATAGTCTTGAAGAGCAAATTTCACATGCATTTGTGTAATGCTGTTTAAATACCATGAAGCACTTTTTGATAACTAGGGTTTTGGGGTCATAAAAATGCGAAAAGTGTCCAGTGGGAAATGAACCTGAGTTTCTACGAGTACGAAGGCCCTGCGCCTTCTTGTGAACGAGAAGCACCTTCGGATCTGCCTTGCCCTCTCCTTCCCGTCTGCTTCTCTGCGGCTCGGTTTTCAGAGGAGCCTTTGAGGAGCTGGCTCAGCTGCGGTTCACACTGGCTCGCGTGCTGCAGGCCACCGTCCCTTCCTAAAAGGACACAAGCTGTGAGGCAATGACTGTCGCAGTGGGCCCCACACCAGCCCTCCCGTGGTCACTCCCCCGCGTGGCAGAGTCAGCGCTGCCCCACCCTGACCCACTCCATCCAAAGCCAGCGTTAGTTCAAAATGCTCAACCCCTGCGGCTCTTGGCTTTACCTTCACAGTGCTGGATCACACGGCCCCACAGCCGGTTTCTCCTCAGACAGGCCAGGTTCCCCACAATCAGTAAGTGCCTCCTCCCTCTGGTCAAGGCCACGTTCACCCTCCTTTCCGAGTCGATGAAGCCCACCTGTCTGGTCCGCACACAGGACAGGATGATGACCTCCCTCTCCGCTCCCTGGAAGGCGTCCACCGTGGACACCTGCACGGCCCGCAGGCTGGGCTGGTCCAAGGCCACGGCCCTGAGCAGGTGGCACAGCTGCGGGCGAGAGGACGGTCACACGCGCAGGGGCAGGAGGCACGAAGCCGGAGCCCTCACAGCGACCCTTTCAGTTTAACCAGAGTGGAAATGTCACTCGATTTCAGGGCTCACAAGGATGTGCCTAGTTTCTAAAATGACAAATAAGTAACTAGGTGACACTATAAATCATGAAACAGGGTGAATGGTGTTGATTTCTCCAATGCTGGGAAGCTTGCTTGGATACACTAACTTAGAATTAGTACACTAATAATGAAACATGAAAAACTCTAAAAGCATGAAAGAAAAATAACTGGTTACAAGTCATTGGCTCATATACACATTAATACCTGGTATCTATCTTGAATTTACTGATAAAATGAAATAACGAGACTGTTTTGGAAAACAGATTCAGTCCCACCTACCCCAAAACACAAAGCACACAGCACATTTTCCTCCCTCTAATTTGTTTATTTGCATTTTTGCCCCAACAGCTGTCAACTGAATTTAATTAAACCTTGTTAAGTTTACATTTAATTATACAGGAAAAAAAGCCAGACCAGACACATATTAAAATGTTTCTTCTGAATACATTAATTAGGGTCCCAAAAGTTTTTCAAGCACCGAACCAAACCATTACAAATACACCAAACCCTGTGATAGAAAACGATACTATTTAATACCCGACAAAGTCAGCGACACCATACACACCTTGCACACCTGCGCTCTGTACAGCGTTATCACCCCGATCGCGGAGCCCGCCACTCCTCCTGCAACCAGTGATCGAATCAGTGTCAGCGTGAAGGCAGCTTCTGCCACGTTGTGAAAGCTGTTACCTCCTTCAATCTGGAATGAAAAACAGATCCGAAATTACATTTCCTGGAAACCCCAAGAAGATCATACAAACAGCAGCCATTAAACCAGAACGCTAAGCGGAGCTGACTGGCAGCCGTGCGGCGTCAGGCACCTGCTCCTGGCCTTGCACGTTGTAGAAGCACAGGGTGGGGAGCCACCCCAGCAGCGGGCTCCGCTCGGTCTCCGCCACGCCGTCCCTGAGGGTCCCGCCGTAAAACAGGTCATTGGCCACAGCAGTGATCGCAGGGTGACATCGGTACTGGGTTCTCAGTACAACTGGTTCGTGGCCCTAAGATATTTTAATGTGGAAAAATAGGCACTTGAAACAGCATGATTTTCTTAAGGGAAAAAAGGATATATTTTAAAAGTTAAAAGTATTGCCATACTGTACTCTTAGTAAATGAATAAAATAGACTGTAAATCCATTTTTTTAAAAATACTCCCTGCAATTTTTTTTTAGCACAGCAGCACATGATTCATTTTTTTTTTTAAGATTTTATTTATTTATCTTTACAGGGGAAGGGAAGGAGAGAGGGAGAGAAGCATCAATGTATGGTTGCCTTTCGTGCGTCCCCTGCTAGGAACTGGCCTGCAGGGAACCGGCCTGCAACCCAGGCATGTGCCCTGACTGGGAATCAAACCGCGATTGTCTGGTTCGCAGGCCTGCGTTCAATTCACTGAGCTATACCAGCCAGGGCTAAATCCATTTTTTTAATTACTAAAAATACTGTTATCGTAAGTTACTATGACATCACATGCCGGACCTTGGACTCACTATCCAGTAACTGGGGTGGAGGAATCGCGCACCCTCCTGACTGTCCCACCTGGAATGAGTCCTCCCTTTGCCCAGAGTGTCCACCCTGTGGACACCGCCGTCAGTCCCTCAGCAGTCTCAGTTATCAGGTGGGCTGTCACAGTATCACAGGGCTTGTGTTCCTGTCACCCTGACTTTCTTAATAAGGGCTCCAAAGCGCAAGAGCAATGATGCTAGCAATTCAGCTGCGGTCCAGAGAAGTGTGTGTTGTGTGTGTGTGCGCGCGCGCGCAGGGAAAAAGCCCAGTCTACGTGGGGCTCCCATCCGCAGCGTCCGCTGGGGTCTGGGAATGTACCCCCCTCAGATAAGGGACAACTGTGATGTAACTGAGTACTAAAACATCCTACAATGGGGTAAACCTCAAAAACATGCTAAGTGAAAGAAGCCAGATGCAAGAGGTCACACGGGGGACAGCTGCAGGCTGCATGACGTGATGCACGAAGTGTCCCGAGGGGTCAGCCACACAGCCTGGGCGCAGGCGGGAGCTGCCCGCTGGTGTGGGGTCAATTCTGGGGGACGCGCTGGGGCACGAGGCAGAGGCGGGGGGCGGCTGCGGTGTCGTGGGCGCGGGGAACGCTACTCCTCACTCTGAGAAGGTTGACTCTATGTCCCAGGAACATCATCTCCATTAAACATATAGCAACAATTAATTTAAAAAATCTAACCGTGAAGTAGACAAGGGACATCGATAATAGATTATAGTTTTACTTTAGAGCAAAGGCAATATCCTTTCTATCCACTAGTAAAATATACAGGAAAGACATTTTATAAAGGCACTTAAATGACAGGATTCTACTCTGTGAGGGAGTGCTTTCTGAACACCTCCAGTCAAGCTGGCGGAAACACTTTCATTTTCCGTCGGCCTGCACCGAGTACACCCAGTCAGTGGTGGTTCTGTGAGCCCAGCAGCAGTACCATTAAGCACAGGCGGTCGAAGAGGGTCTGTTCCAATCCGTGTTCATGAGCTGCGTCAGACCCCTGAATGGTGGGAGGAAGCTGTTTGGGGTCTCCAACAAGAATCAGCTTTTCACACGCAAACCTGAAACAGAGGATTCCAAGTTAGCCCAAGCAACAGGAAACGCTCGCATTGACGTTTACAGTGCTATTTTCCTTCTTCTTTTTTAAATTTATTTTTAGGCAGAGGGGAAGGGTGGGAGAAAGAGAGGGAAACATCAATGTGTGGTTGCCTCTTGCGTACCCCCTGTGGGGACCTGGCCCACAACCCAGGCATGTGCCTTGACTGGGAATCGAACCAGTGATCTCGTGGCTTGCAGGCCAGCACTCAGTCCACTGAATCACATGAGCCAGGGCACAGCACTATTTTCTAAAATGCGCTTCAAAGACTTCAAACACCACCACCACTGAGAACAAGGCTTAATAGTGCCAATACATGAATTAAACAGCGGACCAGTAACGCAGTAAAGAAACCCTTCCTATGAACTTTATGGTTTTCCACATAAAGCCTCCTGTGTCCCCCACCTCTCCGTGGAACCCGTGTTCCGTGGAGCACATGTGAGAAACAACGGTTTTTAGGTATTTATAAATGTAGACTTTGAAGCTTTCTTAGAAGTCACTCAGCTTCAACTTTTGCTTTAGGATGAAGTACATTCAGCTCTCAGGGACTTACGTCTTGCAAACAGGAGTCTAAGATGGGAAAAATGCCCAAGTTTTATAGAAAAACTGCAATATCGTAATTTATAAGAAATATATACTCGGTCCTTGAGATAACCAAAATCTTTTTGTCACATATATTGGTCTTCACCCACAATTCCTGGCTCCCAGCCCTGGGAACCCTTGGAATATCCTGAGCGTGGAAGTGACCAAAGCCTTTTGTTCTGTGAATAAGGTGACTTTCTGCAAAGAACCTGAGGATGGGGCTGGTTGCCAGGGCAACCATGTGATTGAAGGGATGGAACTTTCAGTCTGACCCCCAGGGAGGGGCGAGGGGCTGGAGGGGACCAGTCACCAGTGGCTGGTGAGTTGATCACAGCTCGGTGATGAAGTCTCCACAGAAGCGTGAGGATTCAGAGCTTCCGGGGCGGTGAGCACGGGCAGACCCGGTCAGGTGGAGGCCAGAGAGGCTCGGAAGCGCCGTGCCCCTCCACACCGTGTCCGTCCTGTGCAGCTCACTCCACCTGGCTGCTCTCGACTTACGTCCTTTCCCAAGCAGCCCGAGACCCAGAGAATAATGTGTTTCTTTGAGTTCTGTGAGCCACTCAGGCTAACTAATGGAACCCAAGGCTGGGGTGGGGGGTTGTGGGAACCTCAGATTCATAGCCAGCTGGTCATAAGTCCAGGTGACAACTTAGACTTGTGATTGGCTTTGAGCTGGAGGGGTCCCTGGGACTTCTAGTGGGCACCTAGGTGGTCAGAAGCCCAGGGCTGTGGCTGGTGCCTGAAGTGGGGCAGGGTCTTGCGGGACTGAGGCCTTTCCCTGCGGGTCTGTGGCTGCCCCTGGGTCGCAGTGACAGAACTGAGCCCAGTTCCTGGACACCCTGCTGGTGTCAGAGAACCACTTGGTGGTGGGGAACCCCTCCCTGTACCATGTTGGAATTGGGCATGGGAACCCCCATTTCGAAAACCTATGTTCAAATCTTAGCTCTATTTATTATATTCTATGGAAATACATAAGCTTCACATTCTACCAGTAACCTGTATATGAAAGTACCTTGCACGGCTGTTGTGAGGACTGAAGGAAGCACATGTGTGATGTGTGCTGTGTGCAGAGGCTGCTCCAAAGCACACCTCCCCCCACCTACTTGCAGGACCTTCCAGTTCCTCCACCCCTCGCTCCTAGGCAGGGGTACCCACACCCCCTCGTTTGCTCAGGACCGGCCCAGTTGAAATAGTGAAAGCCCATGATCAGGACCCACCGATCCTGCCAGTCCTGACAACTGGGACCAAGACCCTCCCCCCTGGGGACAGGCCTGCTGAGGCCAGGACTCCTTCTGCCGCCTTCCAGACCCTTTACGGAGAGACGTTCCAAAAGCACAATGTTTCAGTGGCTGAGAGAGCTTAGATTTCATCGTCTTCTAAATTCCAAGACAAATTTTAATTTTCAACTTGTTTTTCTTTATGTACTTTATATACCACCATCTTTTAAAACTCATTTTCAGAAACTAAACGTGGGAGTTCTGTGAAGGCAGCTGAAGAGAACTCTCAGCGCCGAGTTCTCAGACGACGGCCGAGGAGGCACCTCTCACCCAGTGAGGCCTGCGAGGCTCTGGGAGGGTCCAGGCTCAAGAGGGATCCAGTGTTAAGGGTCATGTCATCCAGACAGCTATCTGAACTGCGGTCTATGATACATTAACCCCCCAAATTCCCCGCTGCATTCTCGAAAACAATCGGTTTAGGACTTGCTTTGCTAAAGTTGTCACATATGTTCTGCAAGTGTTTGGACTGAGGAAATGTCTGACGCGGCTGTGACACCGTGCGCCCTTGGAAAGGACCAGGGTTACCGTGCGACAGGCAGGAGCGAGGCGGGCTCGGTCATCTGGCTGCACTCGTCCAGCACCACCACTGGGAACCGGAGGCCGTCCATGCACGGGAAAGGGCAGGCCGCACAAGTGGCTCCGACCACGCGGACCTGCGGGACAGAGGGAATGCTGTCACCATCGACTACCTAAAAAATGAGAGGCTGCCCTGGCTGGTGTAGCTCAGTGGACTGAGGGCAGGCCTGGGAACCAGAGGATGGCGGTTCGATTCCCAGTCAGGGCACATGCCTGGGTTGCAGGCCAGTTCCCAGCAGGGGATGCATGAGAGGCAACCACACATTGATGTTTCTCTCCTTCCCTTCCCCTCTAAAGATAAATAAATAAATAAGAGGCTGTATTTTCCAAAGATTTGTAGTGAGATTAGAACTTGTCAGTGGTGATGACTGGTGATCAGAAACCACAAGTCACTATGGCCACACGGTCACCACCTCCACGTAAGAAATGGAAATCACAGGACACAACTACTTACGCCACAGCCTGTTAATAAGGATGAAAGGCCCATTTTTACACCCAGGACTTTAAAGATCTCAAGCACAACATACCTCATCTGTCTTCCTCAATGAGGCTGAAACAGAGCACAACACAACGTTCTGCGCAAAGTGCACTAGACATGCTGACCAACAGCCGTGGCCTAGCTCTCTAGCGTGCTCATGACTTAGAGGTATATTCACCGCACTAGTACCACAGCTGGAAGTTTATCTGAACCTTACAGACTTAAATACTACACCAGAACAGCATTATTCTCAAGGCAAAAAAGCCTGATAAAAGCTAATATTTAATCTCTGGAATGAAATATATAAGAGAAAAATCAATGACCATATGTTTTATCAACATATGCGACTGACAAAAATATGCTTCACAATTAGACACTCTCCCCAGAGATCGTGTGAATGAAACAGGAAAATGTTACAAACACTTTGTTTTCTTTAATGATAAATAACATTCACTACATACAATAGACCTCTGTCAGGTTAGGTTTTCCTTCTTTACAAAACAAAAATCCTAAAGCCATTTTTATATTAGAACCTCTGGTTTTAAACATTCGGTTCCTCTAAAGTGACCAAGCAGAGTCTGGGTGTGGCTCAATGTCATCCTGCAGAGCGGAGTCACCAGTTCGATTCCCAGTCAGGGCACATGCCTGGGTTGTGGGTTCGGCTCCAACAGGACACGTGAGAGAGGCGACTGATCCTCACATTGATGTTTCCCTCCCTTTCTTGCTCACTTCCTTCCCTTCTGTCTAAAATGAAATAAAATCTTAAAAAAAAAGTTTTTTCTTTAAAAAATTATATTATTTGTATCTTTTAATTTATTATATTGCTGAGACTCTGACAGCAAAAGGTTTTATTATCGAGCTAGGAAGCCATCAAGTACGAAGCATTTTAGAAAATTAGTTTTTCTGTAAAGATGTCATTTTAGTAATGCATCAGGCCTAAATGCATAACTGGAAATTTGTTAAGCTTTTTAAAAAAATGTTACTCTGAAAAAGTTTTCACTTGTGAACAGGCGAGACCAGAGGGTGACACATCACAGTAACGCAGATCCCCCGTAGAAGCAGCCTCAGAGAACACCCTTCTTACAGTCCACAGGACGGGAGCGGTGGTCAGCAAGTCCTTGGGGACTGAGCACAGCCCTCTGAACCCAAAGCTGGGCAGCCGGCTGTGAGTCCCCGCCCACTGCCCACGGCTCTGCAGTGCCTGCCACTGCCCCCGCCCCTCGGCCAGGGAAGAGGGGTCGGGCAGGGCCCTGAGCCAGGAGGCTGGTGGGGTGGCGAAGATGCCCTCTGCCACCCTGTCAGGGGACCATCCACCAGAAGAACAACCTCAGAACAAGTCCTGCCCACTGGCCCACAGAGGCTTCACTCTGTCGTCCTATAGGACGGAGTTTTATTTGTTAAGCAGCGTTATTTCAGCCACTGTTGACCAATACAGGGGCAGAAGCAGCCTGATTTCCCCACGTGTCTTGCAGACAGTGACCAACAGCCACATGGTCCAACAGCCCACAGCCCTTTTGTTCCCTGCGCCCCCGGTTTCCCCCAAGTTCCCTGTGACTGCTGTCTCCTTCCAGCTGGCCCCAGGCTGCCTTGCACCAGAACTGGACAAAGTACAGCCCCACGGGCCCCGTTGTGACTCCCGACACCTAGACCATGATCTGGGCGTCAGGACTTTTGGGCGCAGACGGACCCTTGAGAGCGGCTTTTGAGGGAACACCAAAGACAAATGTCACTTGGACATACTGCCCAGGGTCAGACCTTCTCTCCCTCTATTTCTACTAAAAAAAAAAATCAAATTTCACTTAACTTGCCAGGGGTATATTCCCACCTCTTCGCTTTCCCCTTTATGACTAAAAAAAGATAAATAGGGAGAAAGAGAAAAGGAGACTCAGTGATGGTGAGCTGGACAAATTCCCACCTCAGTGACATTTAAGCTATGGTGGCCGACTGTGTCCTTCACAGGGAATATTCCCCATCAGCAGGAAGAAGAGAATCCAAACGATTTCTGTAAATTAAGAGGCAGGGGGCTGGGTCTCCTCACCTGCCTCAGCAGGGTCCTGTTGGTACCCAGCTTATGCTGCTCGATGCTCTTCCTCACGTGGACTCTGTCCACAGGGGTCAGGTCTTCTTTCATCAGCGCATACAGTTCTCTCAGCTGCTCGTCTGCATTTCCTGAGCCAGCGTGCAAGCTAAAAAAGGATGACACAAAAGAGTAGCCCTCTTGATTCTATCTTTGTAACATTCCAAAACGTTAAATACAGATTTTCTGAGTTAACCAAGAAACTTTCTCTACTCCTCCTCAAAAACCTAATTTAAGGTCAAAGTTCTGTCACGTCATTATACTTCTGTGAACTTCTGGAATCCAGCATTCTCACCTATAAGGTAAAATTGGCTTGGCAATCTTCCTAATGCTCCCGACTCTGACAAATTTTTCGAATCCAAGACTGAGAAGCCTGTAAACAAAACATAATAAAATAGATTCCAATTATTTAGAAAGTAGAATATAAAACAGTTTCATGTAATACTTACGTTATTAAAGTTAATGTTGTGTAACAATATACTTTACAGGTATATAATTCAATGTGAAATGCTGAAACTCAAAGTAAATGCTCATTGGCTAAGTTTCCACTATGATGCATTTCATAGAGAATTTTAAAACGCACATTATCTTCCACGGAGGGCTCATTAAGTGTTGGGACCCTGCACCCTGGCAGAACCTTTCTGAAGGGCAGGCTTGCAAAGTATGTTGCTGTCATTTATTCTAGGCCAGGGACATTTTCCTAAGAAAAAATCAGAAGCGGAGATAAAGATTTATGTTTAAGGATCTTTTTGTCACAATATTATTTATAATGGGGAGAATTTAGAAAGAACTGACTGATCAAATATTGCTTAAAATATGGTATGAGCAAATCATTGCATATAATAGAGCTACAAAAATTATTTGTAGATTTAAAAGCAGAACACAAAGCAATATATATTGTTTATACCAAGTTTCGAAAACAAAATGTATAAAAAATGTAAAGAAATATAATATCTGTACAAACTGCATATTTTCTACCATAAGCATTAACTTATGTAATGATAAAAGTTAGTTTTAAAAAGCCTACACTTATACATAAAAAGTTATTTCTCCTAATCAAACTGTGTCATTTATGTTGACATTGAGATCATTAATAATTTCAGGACTATATAAATATAACTACTCCTCAACTGTTAAGGATTTGAAATTACATTCGGCCCTTCGAAGGCAACCTCGAGGCTGGTGTGGCCCCTGGTGAAAATGAGTTTGACAACCCTGCACTAGAATATTGGTAAAGTCCTACGTAACATCTCCTTTGCATTTTAAATGTGATTTTTAAAATCCACGAAAACTTTGTACCTGCAGAGCAGCTCATGTTACTGCCTGCAGAGCCCCCTTATTAAAACCAAACCCTAATTCAGCTGTTTTACCATCATGGGCCCCTGCACCTGCGCCTCCGCTCCTTCTCCGTAAGAGACCCAGAGACAAGGGCTTCTGCTCACGGCACTGGGGCCAGCCAGAGACCCCATCTACACTGGTTCCCTGGGTCCCCAAGTCTGGCGGGGGCGGGGCAGGGTCCAGAGGGAGCCTGTATATGAGCTGTACAAGGAACACTGAGCTGGGGGGACCTTGGCTCAAGCAGTGAGCAAGGCTCTTTGTCCCAGGAGACACCAGCCAATCAGTCAAGGCTGCCGGCTGCGCACACGACCCTGGGGCCTGTCCCGGAGAAGGGCTGTCCGGGCCCCGCATCCTCAGCATCCCAGTGGGGTACACCTCTTAGACCTGTGTGTCCCTGGCTGAATTCTGATTTTTTTTTACACAGGCATCCTTTCCTTGTGCCAAAATTGTCGGGTTTGACGTTTGAGTTTCTCCAACTTCAGACGAGTAAGTAAACCTGTTACTGTCTCCTGGCTATTGCTCAAGTTGGGGACAAACACTCTGCATTTCCGGCACATCCAGCACTCAGGGCCCCAGGCAGAGAGTGCCTCTCTCAACAGTAACCCTAAAGCAGGAGCCTTAAACACATGTGTTATACCCACCCAAGCAGTACTCTGTCAACAGCTACATTAGTGGAAGAAGAAACTAGAAGTTTCCATGGTCTTGCATTTCCAACTGGAGGAGCTTCATTCTTTTCAAACAGTTGCACAAAAAACAAAATCACCACTGCCAACAAATAGCTCTTTCCTGCTCCAAAAACACCTAATTATTTGGAAGCAAGAGAAAAAAATAAAGGGAATATTGTAAGCAAATTTCTGAAAGCACAAGAAAATCATTTATCTTCTTTAATTTATTAAAAAAAAATTAACACAGTGCCCAGTATGTGCTTAGCACAGGGATAAATAACCAAAAGACCTCTTAGTGAGACCACTGTGCACTCAGGAAGACAGACCAGGAAAGGAACAACAATAAAACCACGTGGTTGGGAGGGAGCAGCGGGCAAAGCGGGTCAAAGGCGTGTGACGGAAGGAAACCAGACTCCGGGAGGCGAGCACGCAGCACAGCACACAGGTGTCAAGGGATAGTCGTGTATACCTGAAACTTATAGAATGCTATCAACGTTACCCCAGTAAATTTAGTAAGAATTAACATGCTAGGAAACGTGATTGTATGTATCAGAGAAAGCACTTCTCTCTGATTTGGTGGGGGTGGCAATGCTTCTGAAAAACAGGAAGTAGCAGAACTTAGTCTCCCAGAGTAAGACATCCACACCCAGAAAGAAAGGGTCCCTCTAGGCAGAGGCTGACGAGGTAGACAAGGGGGCAAGTCAGAAGAGTTCTGCTTGATATGGCTAAAAAATGAAAATTTGCCCTGAAGGCCAGGGGAAGTTACTGAAGGATCTTAAGCAGTGGAATTGATTTAATCAGAGCATGTTTTGGAACCACCAGTTTTTCAGATTGTTTTAGAAATATAAAGTGTGAACCCTGAGAAGGAAGGCAACTATAAGGGAACCTGGTGCTAACTGGGCCCCAGTGAAAAAACCAGAGCCCCACAGCTGTCTGCACATGGGCCCCGCCACACACTGCACAGCAAGGAGCATCAGGCAGTGTTCCTGCCCTGGGAGCAGCCCTTACGGAGGAGCTCCCAGAATCCTGTTTCAACCAATGGAACTGAGGCTTTCCCTGTCTATTCGGAGCTGTGCGGCCATAACCGACCAATCATAGCGGCTCTATTCTGCCAATTAGGATAGTGCCTGTTTGGACCAAACCGCAAGAATTTGGAGCCCTCATTTGCATGAGGATGGCTCAATCAGGGGTCAGGGGCAGGGACCTCAATCTATATAAGTCAGTTCCCCTCTGGCTGTGGAAGTAAGTAGAGGATTGGATTGAGGGAACTGGAGAGAATCACCACCATGAAGGACGGAAACGAGGAAGTGACACATCTTAGTGACTCATCTGATGGGGCAGCAGATGAACAGGATGGGGAGGAGGGGGATTAAAGAGAAAGGCACTTCATCTAGCTAGAAAGACTAAGTTAGGATGAATCCTTGATGTCTAGCTTGGTCAACAGGACAAAAAGTCAGATCTGCTTCAGGGTGGACATCTGAGAGAGGAAAGATGCTAAAGAGGGGACAGAACCAGATGGAGAGGTAGCTCTGAGGGGAAAGCAAAGCTCCTTCATGGGCACAGAATCCGGGGGGCAGGAACAGAAAATGCAGGTGTGGTGGATGCTGTTTTGATCTGCATCTTCCTGTGTTGGAGGCAAGATCAATTTCAGGGCATAGGGCAGGGGCCAGCTCAGCTACAAAAAGAAGGAAGGTTTGGGACAGCTGTGGGGATGCCGGGGGAGTGAGTCGACCAGGAGTTAGTAAAGGCCTTGCTCATCAGAGGCGATGTCCACCATGACAGCAACACGCAGACATCTGGATACTCTAGTGAGGGGTGCACAGCGCTTCTCATCCCTCCTGTGCTTATAGCTACTAAAGCGGCTTCGAAGCATCTTGTTGGAGTTCTTCTGGAATCGTGCTTGACTAGGAAGTGCCAGGGGAGCAGACTAAGTTACAGAGGCTGGCACACAATCGGGGGCTGTGCAGGAGACTGGGCCACAGCGCGTTAAGTACAGCCAGGTGTGGGCGGCCCTCCCTCTCCTCACCGTGGATGATGGTGATGGGGAGGGTGCAGGTGTGTAGCCCTTTCTCTTCCTCGGCACATCCCCGAGACACCACCATTCGAGCTATCTGGGTGAGAGCTGTAGCTTGATCCTCGTTTAACTCATGCGCCTTGATTAATTCGTTAGCTAACTGCAGTGCGGCTTCTAGGTTGGGCAGGTCACAACTTGTGTTGGTGTTTGAGAAGGCTGGAGGGATAAACTTTCTTCTGTCCACTCTCTTGTTGCTAACTGCAGTTGACGATGACCTAATAAAAGGGCAGCAAATAAAATCAGAGGTAAATGAGGGGCTTTTGAAATAGGTGAGTTCACTTTACAAACATCACAAAGGACCCTTTTTGTGGGCACAGATGTGTGTACACTCCAATTTGGAGGAGGGCAGGAGAGACAGGAACTCACATTTGTAGAATACCTACTACGTGCAGACACTATGCTAAGCGTTGCATATATTATTTGTTGTAATCTACACAACACTAGGAAGTAGTTAATTTACCCCAACAGAGATGCAGAAAATATTACATGTTCTTCCCAAAAGCACACAGCTACTTAAGTGTTATACCAACATTGAAGCCCATGTTTTTTTTATGCAAGCTGGCTTAGATAATTAATACAGCCTCTGTTTCTTTTCAGGGCTTGGCTTTGCTTTGCTTTTCTTTTCTTTCTTTCTTTCTTTTTTTTTGAGAGAGAGGAAGGGAAGGAGTGAGGTAAGGAGAGAGAAACATAGATTTGTTATTTTATTTAATTGGTTCACTCCTGTATGTGCCCTGACTGGGGATCAAACCCACAACCTTGCTGTATCTAGATGGTGCTCTAAACAACTGAGCAAGGGCCAATATAGCCTCTATTTCAAGTAAAACTGTCAAGAAATAAATTGGCTTTAGTTCTATAAAGACTGAATTTATTTCAAAGTAGGAAAAACACACATTAGAATTACGTGGATTTTTTTCTTACATAGGACTTCAGTGAGGTGAGAAAAATGAAACAGCACCAAACAGACCACACCATTCCAAATCTGAAACTAGCTTTTTGTCATTTTAATTAACTCAATAAAATATCACTTTTAATTTTTTTAAAGGGGGTATGGTGCTTGAGAATTTAAAAGTGAGATATAGGTTATATTGAGAATAAAACTGGCACCAATATACAAACCGGAATCAAGCTGTAAAATTACTCAAGTATTTTTAATTGAATAAATCTGATATATAACACTAAATTTTAAGTACACAACATGGTACTTTGATACTGTAAAGTTATTCTTTTAAGTGTTAAACAATCTGTGGCATAAAGTACAGATGAGTAAAAACCCCACACTCTTGCTCCTTAAGGCAAACGGAACAGATCTGCAGTCACATTCATTAGCCCGACCAGTCAACAGCCAGATGGGCGAATGGGCGGTTGATGGGAAACAAGGCTTATTTTCCTTTCTCTTTTAATTTCCAACTACTGCCAGACAGTAACCTCATAGTCTCTGAAAGACAATTAAAATTCTGTTGGCAACATTTACGGGATGTGCTTTGACTGCATTTTCATGTTCCCACTGAATCATGGCCTCATGGAGAATGACTTACATCGCTAACAGGTGCTGCGTGAGAGGCAGCGTGGCTGGATTAAAGTAGTCCTGGATGTTTTTCAAGGTGGTCAGCTCCGTGCTGGCATTACACACCAGCAGGGCGTGGACCAGCGCTGTGGAGAGGACAGAGAATGAACACTCAGTGTGAGGAAAAGGGACCGCGAGACCCCCTTGAGGATCCACATAACCCAGAGAATGACACCCACGACTGCAAGGCCCCAGCACAGGCACTGCTGCATGTGGGTCCCAGGCCATACGGAGGACACAGCACCCTGCACAGCCATGCAGCTGTGGTGACAGTCAGCAGCCTGCCCTATGTGTGCTCTTTGGGCATTTTGCTGCATTTCTTCCTTAATTATTTCATAGAAATACATGGAAAGCAGGAAATTAGATGCTGATATTGGTGAGAAAACAAATGCAACAAACGTGAACAGATGTGTGAAAAGTGACAAATGTCCCCTTCACGAGGCAAGTCAGTTATAACAGAAAATACCAGAAGTTTAAAGCGTGTGTCTTTAACCGGTCACAGCCCACATCCCCCATCAGGGATTGGCCTGGGCTCCCAACACAGGGACAGACGGGGTCCGCTGGCAGCCGTGTCACCCAGGACTCCCAGGACAGGAGATCACTCGCCCTCCCACCCAGCTGCTCTCAGGGTCTCCTCAAAATCTGGGAACTTCTCTGTGCAAAAATAAACAATTTCTTTACTGACTGTACCCTATTAGAATAACAAGCCATGGAAATTAAAGAAACTAAAAGAATTAGAATTTGACATAGGAAATTATTTGACAAACTTCTTATTTAAGTATCAGGCACACGCTGTGTAAATACAACTTCAAAAAAATACACTTGAGTGAGGGCCCCAGATCCTATTGCACTGATGCCTCTGGAACTGGAACTGTGGAGACGTTTGTACAGTTGATTGTCACCAGGTGGCATCATGGTCATGGTGCGTCACATGGCTCCTCTTTTTCACTGCAGATTAAGGCGGGCACGGTGACACTTACTGTCCGTGGGCCAGCGGGAGGGGAAGTAGCCTTTCAACGGTAGCAGCTCCACCTCGTTGGCAGACGACGGCCCAAAGAAAGCACTGCACGCGATGAAAGTGTCCAACTCAAAGTCCAGGGTTTTGGAAACCACCCACAGGTCGTCTGAAAAAGACACTTTTTAAAGGACTCAGAACTATGCTCAATCCAAAGCTGTTTTGGATTTCTTAGATGCTTAGCTCTACATTATTTCTCAAAAAAACCCCAAAATTGGTTATTGTCATACGTGAGCTTCCACCCAAACTAGGACCCGAACATACAACACTTCATTTCCACGTTTTTAACTAGATTACTTTTATTTTTTAAAGTTTATCTTATAATTATAAAAAACAGTGCAAATAAAGCAAAGACTTCTAACTCATCTTTCTCTTCTAAAACAGCTCTATATCTGCATCAGACTTTTCCAACACAGACTATTAGCCTTGGACAGTGGTTTTCTACCATTTTTATCTGGTGGCACAACAAAAAATACATTTTTTGCCAATCTGACAAAAAAAGTCGGTATAATTTTAATTCATTCATACCACAAGGCTATTGTTGTTGGCTGTAAATTTTGTTTTATTCGACAATCTAAGGGAAAAGAGGTCAGTGCTCCTGACCAAACAGTCAAGTACTGCATGTTTTAAAAGTTCTTGTGACACACGAGTTGAAAATCGCTGGTCTTACAGAGAGCACATAGTGGTTTCCATGCTCCAATAAGGCTAGCGGTTCGTGGATGGAACGCAGGTTCTTAACAGACCTGGAGTAATGGACCTCCAGCTGCGTCTCTGGAGTAATGAACGGTCTGCGTTCCCTCTGTCGAAGCTGCCCACCCGCCTCCACCGCACGCCGCACACCAGCAGCCAGGCCACTGTCTAGAACGCCTGCGCAGGGTTTCTACCAGCAGCAGAGCTGACACTACAAAGAGTCAACTGTGTTCTAAAATTTATTTATACCAGCTGTATTTGTCGTTACAACTGTATAACTTAATCATATATTATTTGAACCACTATGAGTATGAAGAAAAAATTGCTTTAAGAAAACTTAAGCAAACAATTTAGAAAAACAAAAAGATTCGCTAAACAAAGGGGTCAAAACAAAAAACTGCTTCTGACTCAAGTACAGATGAGATAAATGCAAAACATTAGAAAAAGGAGTGGAAAAATTAAAATCATTCTCCACTCAGATTGCTCCAGAAGTGTCTAAGTTCTTGCTCCATATTTAATGACTCAGAATGGTATGTTCGTGGGTTAGTTCATATAGGAAAGATGGAAAGGATCTCCAGTTAGAAAACCTACATTCTGAACAGAAGCCTTGACTGTTTTTCAAAAGATCATTAAATAAAAATATATTTACATTTTAAGATTTCATGTTTGATGTTCATATGCATTATTTTAAAAGAAAGTGACCAACTACGAGTCTCAACCGCGCCCCACCTTGAAATGTCTGATGCACACCAACAAAGGCTCTAAAAAATCTTGCATTGAGGTGATGTGCTTAATACAATGATATCCACATTTATTTAGCCACATAACATATTTTCTTTAAATTAACTCTTACAATGCCCCCCAGGACTATTGTTTTAGTAAATATGTTTAGGAAACCACTTTAGAAAAAGCTGACCTATATATCATGGTTATTTTATACCTAATTTATTTAAATGTATTTGTCAATTCAGGTAACGCATATTTAAACAACTTATTCCCAGCTGCTAATGTCGACTCTATTTAACATTTGCCACAACTTGTAACAAGACATCTAATTCAAGGCAGCTGACAGGAACAGTCCTGTGCCCCGTGGAAATGATGGTGCAGCCCCAGCACAGTGCGTGAGGTCAGGGCTGGGAAAGCTACACCGACTTCGGAAGTGATCCTTATGGGAGCCACAGGAAATGAAAAAGAGAATGATGAAATCCTAAAGGCTGGAAAATTACTAGTCCTTACCAATGATAGAAAGAAAATCTGGGAAAGAAGAATTTTCCCAGTGGACTCCCAGCAAAACCCCAACCTTGGCAGCCCCAAGAAGAGGTGCCTCGGGGGTGCGAGGAAGGACGGTGGAGCAACCCGAGACTGCAGGGTCTGTCCTGAGGCTGAACCTGCGCCGGTCACCCTCTCAGACACAGGCTACCAGGGCGGACTGTGGGCGGGCACCATGGGATGGCTCTTAGTGGGGGAGGGGCAGCAACCTGCGTGACTGCTGGGCACCAATGACTGGTGACCAGATCCAAGTCCCATGGCAGGTTATAGATCTATGGGGATTTTCCTATTGGTAAAACACAATAACCTGTGTTATGTTCCAGATCAATAGACATTCTAAATGTCAGATAGGCATTATTATTGTTCTCTGGACAGTGAAGTTAAACAAATTACCCACAGACAGGGGCCCGGAAATGGCAGAGCTGGGACTGAGTCCAACTTCCTGAGCCTGGGTTGCCCCCCTCTCCCCCTGCTCCCCCCACATCGCTGGAAAGAACAGCTGATGCATCAGGGGAAAATCAGTTTATAGGGCAAAATAATGAGACATTTAAGGGGCACAAAGACTTCAAGAGAAAAACACACTGGACTAGAGTCCTTCAGAAAAGGAGACGCCAGAACAGACGGAGAAGGGATTTCAAGGGAGGCTGGTAGAGAGACAAAAAGGAAGGGGATGTAGCAGCAACATGAAATGAGAGCAAGAAACTGAGAGAAAGACATGACCAAAAATATCGGTTTGGAAACACATGGTCGCTGAAGTGAAGTAGTAATCGAAGGGATAAAAAGCAGAATAGATGCATCTAAAAAATAAGCAATTTAGAAGGAAAACAGGACAAAACCCGGAATACAGAAGAAATGGGAAGAGAAGAGGGCAGATTCCAAAGGTCTAACATCTGAATAATAAGAGTCCCGGAGAGAGAAATAAAAATCAGAGGGAGATAATGTGAAGAAATGATGGAGACCAACTCCCTGGAACTAAACACGAACCCCTTCCAGGTAAGCACACGTCGATCAAACGCCCGTAATGTTCGTGCCCAGCGCGCACAGTGAGCTGCACAAGGACCAGGAGGTGAAGCCAGCGGAGGAGGCAGGAGGACACAGCCCTCTGCACATCTTACTATCAGTGGTCTGTGGACACAGACGTGAGATTTCAAAGATCCAGAGAGTGCCCACGAGGAGAACATGGTCTTTCAGAAATGGTTTATTATACAGTAATTCACAATATATACTATATTAAACAATCCCTTTAAAAACTCTCTTTAATAGAAAGAGTTTCTGGGCAGGGACACGGGCACCACAGGGCAGGCACAGTTCATGGCTGGAACCGTGGGTCCTCTCCCTAGATCCGAGGTGTCAAACTCATTTTTTCTGGGGGCCACATCAGCCTCACGGTTGCCTTCAAAGGGCCGAACGTAATTTCAGGACTGTATAAGTGCAACTCCTCCTTAACCAGGGGCAAGGAGCTCGGTGCTGCCCACAGGTAGAAACAAGGTGCTGGGCTGGATAACAAGGTGGAGGCCAGATTTCGCCCTCGGGCCTTGTGTTTGCCACCTGCGCCCTGGATCTTCGGAAGCTCAGTGTGGGGCTCTGAACATCAATAATGAGAAGAGGAAAAGAAGGGAAGAGAATTCCAGTTCTGGTTATCTGAAAACCTGTCAGGGGAGTTCGACTTCAGAGCGGCAGACTGAAGTCAAACGAGGGTCCTCAAGATTCACTGTTCAGAAACCAAAGATGTGCATGAGGTCGCCTGAGGAAATTCACGTCACAAAGGAACTGAAATCTGATTAGTAACTAGATCTGCTCTTGGTAATGATACCAACTTTGAAAAAAATTGCAAAAAGCCTGATTTCACTGCAACTGAAAGAGCAATGCCCGCTTCTGAAGAAAAAGGTGGATGTGCTAAAAGCTGCTGTCAACGCCTTTTAAGACCAAGACAAAATGACACTGCCATGAAGTCATCAAAGATGCTTCAGAAGAACATCATCCAAAGACACTTCATGCCATTAAGTTACAGCAGCCAGGAACTATTACCAGTGGGCAAAACCACAAAGAAGCCGAATACTGGCAAGGAAGCCAGTGAGTGTTTCAAAAGGAAAAGCAGCCTAGATGGAATGTGGAGCCGGAGCAGCAGCTCGGCAAATCCTCAGGCACAGCCTTCTGAAGGGGATGCCGTGTTCCCCCGGACCCAGGAGACACCTGCTGACCCAAAACAGAAATGTTACATCAGACCAAGGAAAAAGGAGTCCAACAGCTCCCTGGGGTAACAGCAATGGAGAACACATGGAGAAGGGCAGCACTTTGACGACTTGCAGAAGGAAGGTGTCAGAGTCCTGCAGCCTGAGCTCAGTGACAGAGTGAGACCGCTTCCTGGACAGGCCGCAGACAAACGCAGCAGAAGGGAAGTAGTTGCCATTCTTCGGTTTGGAACAAAAATGCCCCCAAAAGTATTCCCTGAAGGAGACGTACTCAAAACCCATCAGGGTTAAGAAATGAAAGAAACAAACCAAGCCCAGAAGCAAGGAAGTGTGAGCCCATGTTCCCCGTTCTGAATGAGGGTCTGAAGGCTCTGGAGGAAACTACAGGCTCCAAGAGCAACACCCCAAGTTTTCAGCACACAAGCCTCTGCTGGAGGGTCAGGTCACTCAGAGTGCACAGCGGGGGAGGGGGGAGCTGGCCTACACTGTGGAACCAGCAGCCACGGCTGCCCCTGCCTGGGTCCTGCAAGGGAGCAAGTGGGAGAAGAAGAGCAGTCATTGAGAACGGCTGCATTTCACAGGGAAAAAAACCACATTGGACACTGGAACTTGTCCATCTAAAACTTCCTTTTCTTTCTGCTTGTTTTTTTAACCAGCCCATTACTTAAATTTGTATTTGAATAAGTAAGTCTATTTGGAGGGAGTACAAAAATAAGCTTGTTCTTGTCTTTATTTCTCTTTTTTAAGTGTTCAAGTTATATTTATATAAACATTTCATTAATGAACTACATACACTGATTTTTAAAAATATGCCTAGACTGGTCACTTTATAAAAGAATTTTGAGATTATAGCTCTCAGATTTCCACATTTGTGCTTATCATGAAGTGGATTAGGTCTATGTTTCTTTGCCTTGAAAATAAATTGTTGAGATATATTTAAAATAGTAATGAAAAAATTTAAGGAAATTGTAGATATTTAAAACAGATTACTTTTGCCAAAAGTTATTCTTGTTAGCCAAACTAAGATTAAGATAGCAATTTTTTTAAGGGTTTATTCATTTTATTTTTAGACAGGGAAAGAGAGGAAGAAAGACAGAGAGAAAGAAACATTTATGTATGGTTCCCTCTTGTGCACCCCCTACTGGAGACCTGGCCCACAACCCAGGCATGTGCCCTGACTGGGAATCAAACAGGTGACCCTTTGGTTTGCAGGCTGGTGCTCAATCCACTGAACCACAGCAGCCAGGGCTAAGATAGTAATATTTATTATAGATATACAGATAATATATTATACTAGTAAATACTGACTTTTATTATAGTTTTGTTAGTGGTTTTGTCCTTTTTGACTGTTTTAGTTTTCCAGGACAATTTTGGATTTCTGAACTACATATATTTCAATTATTCAGGCAACACACATCATTTAAATGTAGTGATACAACCAAAAATTAGTTTTATATTTCACTGCATATAAATATTTCTGTTACATCCAGAATGTACAACACCTAATTACACGGCCATGAGCTCTTACAGAAACATGTTGGGAGGAATCGTGGGTTGGCATTTACGTGAACAAACTGGGAAGGAGACACGGCTGAAGGAGCATTTCCACTGAGAGCTGAAGACGCAGATTATGGGACAACTCACGGAGAAAGGGACCACCCTGTACATCATAGTATTGTCATTAAAAGGAAAACAGGATTTTAAAAATCCCTTCAAAAGCTGTACTTTTGCTGCTCTGGGAGAAATGAAAGGTTCCCGGCTAACTAAATAAAAGCAATCAAATTTTGAAAAAATGTATACATAGCCATAAGGAGTCTCCAGAGCTGTGTGCAGCTGAGATGCACCAGCATGATGCCTCAACTGACCTTTGCTGTAAGTTGAAGAACTTTCCTTCCGACTCAGCTTAAGATAAAGTTTGCTTTTAGGTTCATTATAAAATTCAGGATTTATAGTTGTAAACTTCTTTAGTTTGCCATGCTGTTTCCTTTGAAAATCAAATCCTTTTCTGCAAAATGAGTAAGAAACAAAAATGAATTTGAATATTAAGGTACACATTTGCTCTTAATTGAGGTAAGATTGGCATATACATTATATCAGCTCCAGGTGGACAACATAGTAATTCTATATATAGTGAAATGATGACTACGGTAAGTCTAGTGAACATACATCACCACACATAGTTACAAATGTTTTTCTTGTGATGAGAACTGTTCAGGTTTCCTCTGTGTGCGGCTTTCGAATGCACTAAATACAGCATCGCCGACCAGTCAGCGTGCCTCCACGACACTCCCAGGACTGACCCATAGTTTTACAGCTGGAAGTTTGAAGGTACAATGGTTGGAAAAAACCTTATTTTAAAATACAGTGTGAAAAGAACCAGGATGTATATATGTATATACTCTTTCCTACATCCACACAAAATAAAAACACTGTCAAAGGAAGAGAAGAGCAGCCTGCACGGAACGATCCTGTCTTAAAGAGACCGAGATGGAGAAAGCATCTGGAACACCTCCGCAACGGAGGAGCTGCGGGAACTGTGAAACGGGAGTGAAAAGCCAGCCCCACGGTGTCCACGCCTTCCGGGTCTTGAAGACGACTGACCAGGACACGTGAGTGCGAGGGGGAGTGCCCGGCACACAGAGGCCCCAGCACATGTTGTTATTTTTACATTATCAAGCGAATGCTCATTACATTTACTTTTTGGGCGATCCCACTTCTATGAGACGTGTTTCCAAAATGCGCCGGCTTATTACCCTGAATGCCAGGCCATTTGGCTCTCGAAAAGAGCCGCCTGCCATCCTGCCCCGATGAAAGCCGTGCTGCAGGGTGTCCCTGGGGACCGTGAGTGCCTATCCAAACGGTGAGAGGAGTCCCGTTCCTGCAGCAGCCCTGGGACTGCTGGGACTGCCTGTGGTTCAGAGGTCAGCCCCTCCGGTCAGAAACACTGAGGGCCTCTGTTTTTTAGAGACTTCGCTGATCTCAACCTCTTTTAAAACTGATGATAGTTCTGTGATGTTACTATTTCCTGATATAATTGGAGGCAATGATTCGTCATCATAAACATACCTCACCAAAAGCTGGCATTCCTCATAGAGGGGCACCTTCTGACTTCGCAAGTACAAGCCAATGCTCTTCACGTCCCTCAGCACGATGGCGGGCGGGGACTCCTCCCTTGTTGAATGTCCTGAGCTCACTTCCTCAAGCCACTTAAAAAACTTACATCGGTCAGCTTTGGGTGCATCACACGCATAAAAAAGACGGCCCTGAGGGAAGAGGATACTAAAATTCAGTGAGAGAAATGGTTCTACTTTTTACTGTTTTTGTATTGCTTAAGACTTTTACAAAGATTGCTTGCAATTAATGTACTCCAGGAAATTAGTCACTATACAACTTAATCTTTTCATTAATTTAAAACCATGTAGTTTTCCTTCTGCTTTCTCCTTATCAAAGAGTTACATTATTCTGACAATATAAGCTCATTTGAAAAATAAAGGTTTTTTAAATTTGAAATGATCACTAGAGACCACCTGCAAGCTGCCTAGAATCAGCTATGCATCGGGCGCCCTTAGGTCCAGCCTTCCCTCTCACTGAAGTGTCCGCACAAGGATACACTTGGGTAAACTGTTTCCGTTTTAAGTAAGACCGAGGGAACGATACATTTTCTACTCTAAAACTCCATTTGTACAGCCAACAATATACTGTGAGTATAACAACCATGTCAACAAATAATCTTTTAAAAATTTTTAGTGGCTCTATAACACTACTCTGTGGTTCTAAGATTACTTATCAACTCTTACTTCTGACAACCACAGTTAATGCAAGTTCACATACTCAATATGCAGACAGCAGAGGAAAACTCTTCCTGTGTTTTACAACGAGGACCAACCGCCTGTCAATGCACAAACATTTTACCAACTCCTCCCAGTCCGTACTCAGCAAAATCCATCTGCCAGGGTGCTTTTCTGTGTCCTGGCCTCCTGTGGTTTTAGCACAGGGTCACCCCTTTAGGGCTCATCGGCTCCGCACGCACAGGCCCTTGGCTCTCTCTGGAACTTGGGCGTGTCCCTCCGCCCTTACCAGACACAAAGGTATTGTTTCCTTTTGTTTCTCTCCACCCACTACTGTGCAGTGAGTTCCTAAGCTCCCAGAAGACTGGTCTTCACTCATTTGTTTGTGTCCCTGCACACAAATCATCGTTCCCTGAAAATGTACTGAGAGTTTGTTAGCTACCAACGCCTCAGGCCGAGGGCTCCGCGTCAAGACTTAACTTCTGCCAGGCTTGTAGGAAAGCAACAGGCACACACACCGTCTGTGAGACAAGTGTTAGCAGACAGCAGGATGGGAAGAGGGAGCAAGACCTTGTTTGGACCTTCCTTTTGAACCATGACAAGTTTTGCTGGTTGACGGTGATGGCAGGATGGCACCCGATTTTCTACGGTTTTCAGTTTTTCTCCGCTTGACGTGTAAAACGACATGTCAACTGCTGACAGAGCTTTGTGCAGCCGCTGTGCCAACCCGAAAAGCAATATATTCAGATGCTCTGCAAAAAAGACATAGGTGAAAACTGAACAAAGTAGTTTTGTCTTTGTGTCACATATGTGCTGTTTGTTAAATTTGAAGGAACCCTTTAACAGAGTAAAATATAACAATACTAACACCCACTTTTAAAGCCAAGTTTTGCCCTTGTACAACAAAACAAGCTATCAAACCATTCGTCATACTTAAAATTTCCTATTAACAAAAGCAATTGTAACACTTCAAGTATAAAAGAAAGTAAAAACCTGTAACTTAAAAAAGATAATGTTGTCACTTCCCATTTTTAAAACTCAGTTTTGATCGGACATCACACTGGAGTGAATATGGAAAACGACAAGTCTCGGGGAGCAGATGTAGCATGGACGGTCCCAGCGTGCACTGGCACCTCCTCACAGCCACACCCTTTGCACGAGGCCGCCACCCGCTGTCATGACACGGAAAGGCGGTGCCATACCTCGGAGGCAGGACGCAAAGACCTGCTTGTAATGCGAGGGAGACTGAAACACGGCCGGTATGTGAGTCTGCCTTCGGGGCACAGACGCGCAGTTTACTTTTTGCCAGTTTGGGAAGCACAGCTCAGAGACACCTACCTCCTAAAATGGAATAATGCAAGTTACTATAACAACCACAGAAATTGCTATTTACTAATGAGTAAATTACTTTCTATACAGTATATGTTTAAGACAATAAGTAAATTTTAAAAAATTTTCCAGAACCCTTGAAAATAGTATTCGAAGTTTAAATGAGAAGCCCATATCTCAAGAATGGCTACACGTGACACTTTCAAAAAAGACTAAATTTTCTTTCTTTAAAGATTTTTATTTATTTATCTTTAGAGAGGAAGGGAAGGAGAGAGGGAGAGAAATATCAGTGTGTGTTTGCCTCTTGTGCATCCCCTGCTGGGACCTGGCCTGTAACCCAGGCATGTGCTCTAACCGGGAATTGAACTGGTATCTTTTAGTTTGCAGGCCTGCGCTCAATCCATTGAGCTATACCAGTCAGGGCAAGACTAACTTTTCTTTTCAGCCCCTTAATGAGCTTTAAATAGTTTTGCTAGGAAAAACAGTCAACTGATGAGAATGGATCGTCATGCATCTCCCTCTCTGATTACAACTATCAACGGGTCATGAGATGCACCTTTACTGGAAGACAACTGATCGGCACAGGGAGCTGACGGTGTGAAATAAGGAGCCATGGTCACGGCAGTAATGGAGTGGGGTGGGAACAGTAGGAGCTGTGACTGAGGACCGACTGGGTGCCAAACACCACACCTGCCACTTCCAAATGTGTCACTTCAGTTAATGCTCGCAAAACACTAGGAAAGATCTTACATCAAAGAAGAGGGGGCTGTAGCTAGTGTTATGGAAAACTCAAAATCAAACAGCCATCAGCTCCCAGAGTGACATCACTCACGCAACAGCTACTGGAGAAAGTGCGCCGAGACCGCCCCTCACCTGTGGATGCATCGCGCCGCGGCTGCAGAACGCAGAGCCTCCCGACTCGCTCTGGACTTCCTCCATCTCTGAAGTCGGCTTTGAACTCAGAGAAAGGGCTTTGTTTCTGCAAACACAGTCCTGGGGGCCAGCACCTGGCTGCTGCCCGCGGAGCGCGCAGCTCAGCACGTGCAGGCGAGTGGAGTCTCCCCCCGGGAGACTGTCCTCCTCGGCACGGAGGTTCCCCTCGGCAGCACCGTGGTGCATCCCACAAACTGCCCCAGCAAAGCTGGCTGAGGCACTCGGCTGAGCTCTGCTTGGAGTGGGCAGGCTACCCCGGGCTGTGTTCTGGTATTTCAGCCACTTGCTTTGTGCAGGCGTTCCGTGGAGACGTGAAGCAGCCCCAGAGGTCACTTCCCTGGAAGCCTGGCACAAGGAGGCTTCACTCTGGTCCTCTGGCCTGGAGCGTAGAGGACCCACCATGGGCTCTGCACACCTGCCGGGCAGGGGTCCTGGAGCTGCGGGCACCATGACCAGGGGAACGCAGGTTCTACTTACTACAGGGTGCCTTGGAAGGTCATGACTCTCTGGGGAACTGAATTTTTTCATTTCTGGAAGAAATAGCCGATTAAATAAAAATGTATCAAGGTCATCGCCTAGGCTCTGGACACCCATGGGTTAAGCAAAAACATACCAACTTGCCTTGAAAATAAAATCACATAATTTTATTTCCTTTAAAAAAATAATTTAATGGTTTCAGTCTCAAAAACATTTTAAAAGATAAATTAGTACTCTGAATTAAGGTGGATGAACTTGAACCTTTTTCTTACCCCCTTAGCTAAGGACCCTCCCCCCCACTACACTCTACATTTACATTGCACTGAAATCTTCAGCCAAGAACAGAATCACCCCCCATTTCACAGACGGGACAACCTAGTCCTAGGGCAACACATCCAATGAGAGCCCAGAGCTAGCCTGTTCTCAACCTTATATTCTCTCTCCAGAGACTGAAGTTCACGGTTGATCTGTGTCATTATACCTCCCTCTACATTTTTATTACAACCATGGATTGATATGCTGACCTTCAGGGTGAAGATGTTTAGCTTTAGTTTGAGCTATTAGTATGAGAGAAGAGTTCATGATTTGCACTAACTCATGTTTTGGCAGATTTTGGCTGTCAGTAATAGATATATTCCTAAAAATGTAAAAAGCAATATTTGTTGAATAAATAAATTAACAAATAATGCTGCATGAGAACTATATAAGTGTAAAGATTTTATCAGATGGTGCTATGTTTCCTATTTTATAATAATGTACCTTCTTGACAGTTTCTATTCTTTTGGAAATAAACTGCAGATCACTTGAGATGCCAGCAGAGCAGTAGGTGAGCCAACAATACTTCTAACAAGTGATCGACCAGCAGGGACAGAGAGGTCAGAACCCCAGCAAAGAGCAGATCCTCCAGTGTGACTGTGGAGGCACCTGTCACTGCACCACCCCCTCACCTGTCTCAGACACCCCACCGCCCACACCAACGCTTCCCGAGCTGTTTCGTCTACCAACCACCCCACAACCTGCTCCAGCCCAAACACCCATGCATGTGGGTTTCATATCATCCACTCGGGACAAAATAACTGCCTATGATGCTACTCCTCATCCAATCTAACTTCAGAATCAGGGGAGACACACTGACAATCACAGGGACAGAGAGGAAAGCGTCAATGGCAAGATCCTACAGGAAAGAGAGTCATCAAGAAGCAGAAAGTTGCCCACAGAGAAGCAGGAACCAGAGACCGACACACAGCTGGGGTAGCAGCAGTAGGAGAGCTTGCTGATACTACCAGGACCCCAGAGCTGGAAAGGGGAAACAAGGGTTTTGTTGGTCAACCGATGGTGTGGACCAGATACCCCCTGGGAAGGAGGGGCCACAGGGGGCCCAGCTCGGGGTTCACCTTGGAGAGCAGAGGAGCTGGGAGGGGGAACCAGAGCCAGAGGGAGAGCTATCGCTACAATAAAAAATTTCACACCAACATTAGAGAAACAAGGAACAACTCTCCAAGTGAAGAAGGTGATGCTTACCTGGTAAAGTCCTGGCTTTCAGGGACTCCTCAGAAAATTCTAGATCAAAGTCTTCACCTTGCAAGTCCAAAGAAAAAGTAGACACAGGGCTTAATGTTGAGACCTTTTGCTCTGGTGACATCACCTGTCCAGAAGAAGAAACTAAGTCACAGACCAAAATCTACTTACTGCACTTTCCCCATTTTGAATGAGTTCTAGTAATCTATGCTGTAAAAATAACGCCTTCAATAAGATGAGGTAGAGCCATAGTGGGCAAAGAGTCTCCCAAAAGTAACAGGATAAATTCACCAACATCAACAATAGTGGAGACTTCTGCGGGACCAGGTGAGAAAGGCCCCCAAGTCCCAGGAACCCTAAAACCATGGATCACCTGTTCTTGCTCTGAGACACTCTTAATGTTTTTTTTCTGGAAGCTCTGCAACAACCCAACAAGGAGTGCACTGTGAGCAGGCCCAAGACAATGGCGGCAGAGCCTGCACAGAACATGCTTCATGGGGCTCTTGGGGAAAACCTGTCAATTCAAAGGCTGTGCTGTCAGCCCGCCTGTTGCTTCCGTGCTTCTGACGCAGGTGGTGTCATGTGTCCTGGACCAGCACCACAGTCTACAACTCAAAATTCAGGTACTGTCTTCACAGAAAATCTTGGTTGTCATTGTTATGGCATCCAAACAGGTGGCACCGTGATTGCAAAACCCCAAGTGACCCAAAATCAAGTATTTGTAAAGTCATTGGTTTGGAAGGAGACCAGATCCTCATCAACAGTCTGTCAGATTTCTTTAAAAGCCATAGTTCTGTGCCAGCAAATCACGTTTGCGAGAAGGTGACGATCGACACAATCCACACGTCCCAGGCACTATGGACCTCCTCATACAGACTAACGAGAGGACGGCTCCTTTAAGAAGACCTGCCCTGAGTGGTTCTGCATTGCTACACGACGGCCAAACAGGCCACGGACGTTCTGATGGTCACCAAGCAGCGATTCTTTTCACTTCACTACTGTCTTCTCTGCAGGGGAATTCATTATTGCCACTGAAACCATGCACTTATTTGCTATTAAAAAGAACCACATGAAATACAGAACATGAAACCTGCTAGATTCATGTGAAACACGTCAGATCCTGACTTGAATGACCTGGGCCATGGGGATTTGGTTCTGAAGATCGACCCCCAGGTTGAGGGGCTCAGGCAGAGACGTCGTGTTTGGAGCAGGAAGACCCAAGGAGCGACAGGTCTGGAGTTGATCTGTGGTTCACCTCAACTTCAGGACACTGCTCCAAAATGAGTGCCGTGTCTCGACGTGTTCCAGACCTCAACAGTCCCATTATTCACTCTTACTCTCTTTAGAAGCCTTTAATTTGGTGGCTGCTTCCAGAAACCAATAACCTTAAAAGTCTAGTATGACCGACATGCCCCCGAAATGGATGCGGAAGCCCCCGTGTCAGCACATTTGGGAACGGGGCCTTGAAGAGGTAATGAAGGCTAAACAAAGTCACGGGTGAGGGGTCCCTGATCCCTGCACACATAGGGACGGCCAGGAGAGACACAGAGAAGACAGCCAACTGTGGGCCAGAGGTCCCCATGACAGAACCACAGTCACCAGGACCTGGGTCTTGGCCTGCTGGCCCCGGGCACTGGGAGGAGCATGTCTCTGCTGTGGCACGCCGTCCTGGCAGCCAAGCTGACTGACATTCCCCTCCATCTCACCACCTGTGGACACTGCCTGGGGAGTCAGGCACCTTCCTCTCCCTTTCCTTCTCCCCTCCTTGACAACCATCCAGATACCGCCATGATTCTCCTCCAGGTCTAGCCCTCCTTGAGGCCCCTGCCACCACCCTGCTTCAGTCACTGTCATCCAGGGCTCCTCTTCGCTGGTTCCCTGCTCCCACACCCACCCCATGGGTACCGCCCTTGTCTACAGCACAGCCCTTTAGGCATGGAAACCCCACTGGTGATGACATCCGGGTGGTGCCCCCACTGCCAGGACCTGGGGCGCGTGGTCCTGCGGCTCACTTTCCCAGCCTCGGCTACCGACAGTGTTCTCTTCCACCTCCTCGCCCAGCTGGCGGGCATCTTTCCTGTTCTGGGCCCACCAGTTCTGTAACCTCAGAGCAGGCACTTCCCACAGCAGGAGTCATCTTCCTGGTCACCTAGGTCTCAGGGCTGCAGAAGCGGCCACCAGCTCAGCTTATCGGCTGGTTTGCTCCACTGACTAACACCTGTCTCCCCTGGTGGCCTTGAAGGCCGATGGCACAGCTGTCCAGTCCATCGCTCTACACCTGCATTTACAAGTTCCTGACTTGCAGAAGGTGTCCAGTAAATACTGATGAATTCCTATTTATTCGAGAATCGTATAATTCACAGTAAAATTTCAGTGTACTCCACACATCTCCCACACTTCTGATTAAGATAATGCCTAGGCTGCACATTTCCTAAAGGTCTCCTTAACTTCTCATTTTAATTATCCTAATTCTACTTCTTTCTTCTAGTTATGTATGCCTCTCATTTCACGTCACATTGCAAAAGTCGAAACATCTTCAAGTAACAAAGAAGACAGCAGTCACGGACATTCTACCCATTCCAACAGAAGTTACTCTGCTGCTTCATCACGCAAATAACGTTAGTTAGTTGTTGGTAAACTTCCTTGATCATGTTAAAAAAATCATCCACCGTTAACATTTTCATCTTTTTAGTTTTTAATAGATTCATTTTTTTATAAGACCACCAAAACTTTTTACTCCCAACTAGTAAAATGTTTTGAAATTATACCTTATTTGCTTCCCATGAAGTCCTCTCTGCTGATTTGAAATTATAATCCAAATAATGATATGAGAGTTCTGAATCTTTAGGAAGAAAATCTAAAATTGCTGCAGGGAAAGAAAAGCAAAGATCTTTACATAACCATTTGTTCAATGTCAAATAACTTTTCAATGTTACTTATATTCACAGTTACAATTTACTTACGATCATTTGCAATTGAGTCCTCATTAGACTCAGCTACCACTTGAAAATTGTCTTTAATATTAAAGATATCACCTCCTTTTGGAAAGTTTTCTTCATCTGGGAACTAGAAAACAGATTCATTTATCAGCTTATTTAGAAAGAAGAAGTGTATATACATATATCTGTACCTCTCTATATTTACGCACATACAGTTTGTGGTTATAATTTGAGACAGAAAAACAGACATGTTTCGAAGCCAACACTATGCATGGAGGGCAGCGCACAGCACATTTCATCGGTTCTCTGAACACTTCTTCCACCCTGGCACCGCAGAAACAGGAGTGCACCTTCCGCGTGACGACATGTTTGTGCCTGTAGCACAAGCAACAGTGGCAACCGCACTGTCCCCACCTGGACACGTGCAGCAACACGCGCATCAGCCAGGCTACACAGCACTCACTTCAGTATGAGCTATGCATTGCTAACAGTACATGTGAAATCATTTTGCTGATTGAATATCTTCAGAATGACTGCATTATGACTTAGCATTGAACAAAAAAGTACTGTGTTCACGGAAAGGCAGAAAACACAACCGTGTGATACACAGTAAGAACCCAAGCCCACACCCATCTAAGACTTCGTTCAATAAATGTGACTGAAAAATTTAAGTGAAAGTGGAGAGTTTGGGACACCTGTTCATCCCACTGTAAGTAAACTTCACACCACTGACTGTACTAAAAAATGGCTAAGACTATGCTTCATGACATGGTTTTTGCCACCATAAAAGACATCTAATAAAAAGGTCCGGGTCTAGGTGGTGAAGCCTGGTGTCCTGCTAGCGACAGCCCCCATCCCGGTGGTGCCCAGTGGTGCCCACTGGTGCTGCCTCAGTCCGCGACGGGAGCTGAGCACTGCATGCAGCTGCATGCAGCAATGTTTGCAAAGCTCCGAGACTGCTCTCTGCAGGAAATCTGTCACACTGATTCCAGAGACGCTCACTCTGTTGGTAGGTCCAACCATTGGGAACATTTCTTACAAACTCACAATGTAAACGTGACTATAGTGAAGTGTGGAAAACGATTAGACACAAAGCAAGTGGCCATGAATTTCTCCCCTAATACAGAGCACCTTTCTACTGTATCCTCCTCTCCAAGAACACAGAGTACGAGAAACACACGTCTTTATCTTTAAGGACAGTAAGGAACAACAGTAATCCTGAACTGCAATCCATATGAAGAGGGGGGGAGTGTGGGCTGTCGATTCAGACAAAGGTGAACCGAAGCGGGCACCGCAGGAGAGCCCAGACAGTGTCATGAAAGCGACAACAGGTGATGCTGCTGCCGATGGTGTGACCGACAGAAGCATGTCAGGTGAACCCATGTTCACCACAGCGCACACGTGTTTGCAGCAGCATCAGCTGCAGCAGCCCCAAATGTGAACGACCGAGCCCGAAGCCCGGCTCCGTTGGGGTCGGGGCGTATTCACACGATGGAACACATCCCAGCAACAGAAATGACTGCCTGCAGCCACAGGCCGCAACGGGATGAATTCCCAGACTGCCATGCTGAACGAAAGGCCCAAGAAAGTGCCAATTACTCTATTTACATACTATACACAATTTTTAGAGCAGCACTGGGCAGAGGGGCTACTTCTGGGAGTGCTGTTCCCTAAGGGTGGTTTGCGCTGTGGTAATGACTGAGCAGCATGCGGAGTCTGTATGTGCATCGTGGCTTAATCAAAAGGGAAACTTTAAAATGTCTTTAGGAGACAGTTTCAAAGATGCATGCCACTCTCTCTGCACGACTGCCATCTGGCAGCAATGAAAACAACTCGGTGTCGCACTACAGGGTGAGTGGAGGCAGTCTGGCTTCCTCACCCACGGGTCTGGGTGACTGAGGGAAGCAGTGTTCCCATAGCCTTGAGACTGGGTCCGAAAACTAGTCCCATAACAGGAAGTGGGCTCGCATGCACAGAATTATGTTAGGTTATGTAGTGTTCTGGCAGTTTTCTGGCTTTGTTCCCCTCTAGTATTTAAACAGGTAGGGATTCCCCACTGGGGGTGATGACGAGAGACACGCAAAGGGACAGGTGCCATGACGGGGAGCAGGGGCCGCAATGTGAGACATGCGGATAGACAAGTAGCTTGCAGTGTGTGTGCTTTGCCCACTCATGAATGAAGGCATACCAGACATCCCAATGGCGCTGTGCATATTTTCTGTCTGCACGAATACCATGGACCTGCCTGGCCTTGAAGGTGGCAACACACATACTCCGGGGCATAACTGAAGGGAAAAACTTTTCTGTGTTTAACCTGCCTATATACCCTGGTCATAAATTCCTGATCTTCTCTAAATTGAAAAGTAATCCTTCAAATTCCTGATCCTAAAAAAAAACAGTAAATCTTTCAAATAATATATTTTTGCCTTATTTAGTTTGATTCCAGATGTTATGGTTCTTGTCAAGTTACTGAAGTCCTTTTTAATTTACAACTGTCTAAATATTTAAACATACTCCCTGATTCCCAGTCAGGGCACATGCCTGGGCTGCAGGCCAGTTCCCAGCACGAGACGCATGAGAGGCAACCACACATTGATATTTCTCTCCCTCTCTCCTTCCCCTCCCCTCTAAAGAGAAAGAAATATTTAAATAAATAAATAAATAAATAAAAATAATCATACTCCCTTTGCAAAATTTACCATTGACATAAAGAAAATGATTTGGCAAGATGCAACTATAAAAGTATTTTACCCTCAAGAAGGCAGCCTGCGGACGAGTGCCAGGAGGACCTGCTGCTGGGAAGCACGTGCCTGCCCCGCGGCCACGCTGCTCCAGGCAGCCCGGAGCCCGGCCACAGGCCGGCTGGGAGCCGCACCCTCGGACCGTCACAGCGCTGGTGGCTGATCCTTGCACTCGATGCCCTTGAAACTCAACAGGCTGGAAGTAAATGAAATGAGCACTGCATGAGTGTAGATGAACTTACACATTCACAAATGTGCTTATGCATAGAAAAGAACACACCAGTCAGCTTCCTACCCAGTACTACTGAATGTAAATAATGAAGGGACTAAGGCTGAATCCAGGAAATACTGTTATCCTAGAACATGTCAGAGGTAACTAAAGTGCACTGATTCAACTGAGTTCTGGTTCAACAGTAGTAAATGTGAATTTTTTACTTTGAGCACAAGGACGCAGTAATAATGAGCTAATTAAGCAGGAAACTCATAGTTGTCCCCTTCCCCACACTTCAGTGTACCTTACAGATGTCCCGTCGCAGACTTGCCAGCCACCACCCTGAGAACCAGCCCCTCCGCAAGCCCCCGAGGACTGGACTGCTGCTTCCCCAGGGGACCAAGAATCATTTCACGCCCGGCAGACATGGCCCAGATGGAGAGGAAGGCACGCAGGGAGCCCTTTTCCTCCAGAGTTTAGCAAGTATCAGCCCCACTCTGACGGGTGGTGGGCTCCGGTTCCCAAAGATCTGATCCCAGTGCCTGGAAGCAAAGGCCTGTGTGAGCTCCACACAGAAGCAGCTCGGAGGGGGCTTCCCAACCCAACACAGGCAGAGGCTCCGGGATTCTGAACTGCACAGGGTGCGGAGCCCTCCCAGAACATGGGAAAATAAGACTGCTAACAGAGCCAACAGGATGTACCTAGAGGACAGATACATTTTTGATAAATGATCAAAATGGTAATAATGCTGAATAATCTGAATATCCTCTTAATTAAAATATTCTACATCACACATTTGAAAGGAAAATTAAATCTATAATGCCCCTCCACAGGACTTCTGTTGAAAACGTTATTCTGAATTTTGAAATATTTCACTGCAAACAGTCTCGCCTATCAAAGGTTGAGCATCTCCGCCTAGTTGGACGGGAAGTCGCCTCTCCACAGGCACAGGGAACCTCGTCTTCAGCAAGCCGCAGCAAGAACACCATAATGACCAAAGAAATAAAAACTCAATGTTGGTTAAACACCATTTTCACACTGCAAAAATTTCAGGAGACCTTAACAGTACTGGTGAACAGTTCTCTTCCCGAGGCCCACTGGGTTCCAGGAACAGCATCGGCTCCAGCAGCCAGGCACTGACTGGGGTGCTGCTGTCACCACCAATTTCTGATGTGGAGAAATCGTCCCCACTTGGGGACACCATGTCCGACCCAGGCTGAGAGGAACCTCCATTACCTGTGCTGCACACCCCCGCGACCAATCCCCTGGAGGTCCCGTGCACACCCTGCTCTGCTCACCAGTAACAGGGAGAAGTCTCAAGTCCAAAAACGGGGAAGGAGTCACTTGTTTCTCTTGTTTGAAAATCAGAACTCCTTACACCAGGGGTGTCAAACGCATTTTCACCAGGGGCCACATCAGCCTCCCAGTTGCCTTCAATGGGCCGAAAGTAATTTGAGGACCGTATAAATGTAACTACTCCTTAAGAGTCAAGTGAGAGCGTGGCGCTGCCGCCTGGCAGAAACAAGGGGCCGGGCCAGATAAAACAAGGTACAGGGCTGGATTTGGCCCATGGGCCTTGTGTCTGCCACCTGTGCCTTACACTCACCCACCTTCTGCCTATGAAAACTCTGATGCTTGTGTAAAAGCAGCAGGAAAACACACTGTTAGGAAATCAATGTTCTTCACAAATTTTACCTGAGGGTCCCAGGTTTCTGTTGCCATTTGTTTAGGAGTAACAGGTAGGAAAGCTGGCTCTTCTTCACTTCCCAAGGAAAAGAACTAGAATAAAATATTAGTGTGTGCATGAGTTTGATGGGAAACAACTCCAAAACTAAAAGTCAGGCTTCCCTCTGAAAACACCCCGTCTTCTCCGTCTTGCTGCGTTTTCTCCAGTCACGTGACCAGCAGCTGGCACAGAAGCCCCCCAGAAGAGGAGGCGCCGTGCGGGCTGACCTCACCCTCATCACAAAACCCTAATCCCAAACTTTAACTGAACCTTTTCACGCTAGGCAAAAATTACTGGGCACATTACAAATCACCCATTAGACCTAATGCTGATGTTAATGAGCATTATTTAATTAAAAAACCAGTATGAAATTAAGGAGGAAAAACTGTTAATTGTGTAACAGTTTATCTAAGGATGAATCATCCAGCAACTGAAAACCACAAGACATCAACAACAGCAACTAATCATTTTTAGTTCAAGGCAGTAAAAATCATTATAAAAATACAAATGTACTCCTATATTAAAGCTAAAAAGATAAAAACTTTGTTTTGAAAGGCTGTAAGATTACTGTGTGATTACAACAGATTTTATTTTAAAAATGTGACATTTGTTTTCAACGGCAGTTCATTCTGGAGGGAAATACACTGATGGTGTTTATCTGCAGGTCATACTTGGTGGTTAACTGTCCTTGGAAAAGTTAAACCCTATTTTCTTCCAGTGGAAAAAGACCCACCAAGAATGTGGTCACTGGTAAGTGAACCGGGGCAGTTGCTGCCTGCTGGACTCCATCATTATGGTGATGACTGAGCCACCCCAACAAGGGACTGCCTGTCCTGCTGTCTCGGGCAGCAGGACTGTGAGTGGGGCTGTGACCGGCAACAGCAGTTTATGGGTCAGGAGACGATTGTGAGTTTGTAAAATGGCTTTATGAAAAAAGACTGGCTACTGACCAAATCCTACAGCCCACACGGGACACTTACACAGAAAACAGCAGGTTCAGCTAACTGGTTACAAATGAATTTGAAAAATGACTATAAAATGCAAACATGAATTACAAGTCACACCCACATGCATGAATGTAACTTCCAGCTACTTTATTACACATTAAAAGTTAACTCGCCTGCAGTGGTTCACCTGCTTCAACTTCATTTCCTTTCCTTGTCCCCGGAGAACACTAACATAAGGGGAACCAAAAAGCAACAATACACTATAAAGTAACATACAAACTTCTATAGACAGAAATGCAAGAACACTATAATGACCAAAGAAATAAAAACTAAGTGTTTTTATACTGCAATGTTTTTACCATTTTCACACTGCAAAAATTTCAGACCTTAACAGTACTGGTGAGTATGAAGTGAAATAAGTACCATTTTGTAAACAGTAAGATACTTAGATTTCATAATTTATATTAAGAACCAAAGGAAGATGTTCTTAGCCTTTCAGATTAGTTAGACTTCCAAGGATCCAATCTAAGAAAATAACTTAAATGTAAACAATGATTTACGTGTAAAAACATTTATTAAGGTTTTACTTATAGAGCAAAATGCTGGAAATAATCAAAATGTCCAAAACTAGTGAACTGTCTGTCCAAAGTGTAGGGTATGCACAAGATGAAATAGTATATAACCTTTGGAAGACATTTATGAAGTTTTTAATAACGTGAGAAAACAGCGTATAACAAGGGGAAAGGACTACTTCCCCTTATGAGGTAAAATTATTTGTACACATCAATCTCACCATATTTTTAAAAATAGGCCCCCCAAAAGGTGGAAATGTAATAATTATCTGAGTGGTAGAGTTTTATCTTAATCTTTTTCTGACTTAAAAAAAGAAGAAGAAAACATCACAATTAAAAAAAAAGACAGGTAATATGGAAACCGGAGTAAGGCACAGAACAGGGGCAGACGGAACACTTCACCTTTTCTTCTCAACACACCTGCTAAAAAGAGCAGTGCCTACAATGGAAGGGCTGTCCCTCCAAAACTGCTGTGCCCCACTGAGAGGCGCTCATCTAGATGACTCATTCTAGAACTCCAATTCACCCTCATTAGTCCTGTCGTTTTTATGTAACTGCCACGGTTCCCAAGCTGCGCGGCACGGTGCTTTGGAGCTCTGCCGTCTGACGAGTCAGACCCTGACCCACTGCTAACTCAGGGCAGTGTTCTCGCCATTTCTCCCAACAGCATCGTGTCCTTTTCAGCTGGGTGTTCAGAAACGCTATATGAAAATCCATTCACCTGGGAGAATCGGCATAGATCAGAAATCTCATCTGCTCCCAGGTCTGAGAAGCTGTGTGAGGTGCGACTGCCCACATTCCACTAGTAACTGTGTTTACTTAAAAAGTAAATGCTTGTATAATCATTTCACAATGTAGATGTATATCATGCTACATTGTATTCCTTAAGTACAATGTTACATGTCAAATACATGTCAACAAAACTCAGAAAACTAAACCCTACTTCAGTTGTTCAGTACCACTAACCACTGGGCAGGTGGACCCGCTAGGTGCTTCTTTTGGCTGAAGGATGAAAACACGACTGAGATGAGAGACGAGGTCATGAAACTAGACAATGGGGGTCCTCTGTATTATTACAGCCTCAGTACAAAGTACAGAATGTTCGATATCAAAACGAAACACGCATACAGTGATAAAGTAATGTACCTGCTGAGAATCCTGGGTCAGATGAGGAGACTTTGGAACAGCTGGTGAAACTACTGTAACCAATGGTTTCCTGGCTACAATGGACAAAACCCAACGATTTTATTCACATACATCTAGCAGTGCTCTAAAAATTTTTTAAACCTATTTCTAAAACAGAATGAAATAAGGAATATAAGTTAAGTTTTAAGATGTGGCAAAATCTTGATAATTGTTGAAAAAAACCTTCCATTATTTACAAAGCTCAGTGTGCCAAGCACTGGAAAGCCAGGAAGAGTCAACCAAGGTCCCTCAAAAAGGGAGGGACACAGAAAATAAATGAACCCACTAAATTCAGACTGAGACACAAGGGTTTCAGATCAGTGAAACATGAGAGTAGTTTCAGACAGGATGCCGACCCGGCCTCTCACAGGAAGTAACGTTCCCGCAGAGACCTGCCGAGGAAAACCGCGCTGTGTGGGGCCGGGGCCAGTTGTCGGAGAAGGGACTCAGAGGCAGGGCCACGGACCCACAGAGGGAGAGTGGGGGTGGGGTGGCCGTGCCAGATCACCTCAACCGCATGTTTAAAAATTTTTTTTTCTTAAAAGTACTTATTTAGTCATCTCAATTTCTTCTAAAAAAACCGATAATTTTAAAGTAATTACTGCAAAAACATCATATCTATACCTGGTAAAAACTTTATTTTTAGCCAATTTGTTTATTTTTTGTTTCATTATTTTCCTGTTAAAAACTCCAAATGCATTCAATGAAAAAGAGTGGACTTTGGAACTTGATGTTATTTATTCAAAGAGCTGGATGAAAATTGATGTTTCTCCCTTTATTGCCTTCGCCCCGGAACAATTCTAAACTAGCACTTGTAACTTCACTCCAGACCCTAGGAGCGCGTGGACTGGCTCCGAGTCCATTTAGTGCACCCTCTGTCATAGACCTGGTGACCGGACTGCCACGTCAATGCATTGAGAATGTAAACTAAGGTGTCTTTCAATGGAAATACACACGAAACCAGGCTTTGTATTTTAGAGCCAATGAAGATGTTCTGACCAGAGGTTTGAAGGGGCCCAGCCCTGTATCTGCCCTGAAAGCCGTGGCTCCTGTCCCCCGGTCAGTGACTGTGGTGACCTGATGTAACATAATGACTAAAAATCGAGAGAATCAGCTGTAGCCCTCTTTTCCAACTTGATAAGAAAAAAAGACCAACTTCCAAAAATGAAATTCTGTAATTATTAAATCTTCTGAGTAGGAAGTTGTATACTCATAAAAGTATAAAATTACAACTACCCAAGTTGTTTGTTTTTTGCTTATTTTTAATTTTTTAGAGAATAAACTGTAACGATCATCAAATTTAACTACATTTTACAGAAACATTTTAGAAGGTACAATAATTGATCCCTAATCAGCTCCATTTCTCTTTAAGTAACAGAAATATAAATCTGAAATGCACTGATTTGCCATCTGCCAGTTCAGTGAGGCTGTGGAGGAACAGGCAGGCACACAGGGCTTGTGGGCTGAGAAAATGGTGTAATTCCTATGGAGGGAATTTTCAAGTCGTCTATAAACACACATTTACCCAGCAACCCTGCTGCTAGGTATTTGCATACCTCCAATAATAGTCAGAAAGCCCACATAATTACACAGATTTATGAGGTTACTTATCGTCACATTGTTCATAAGAGTAAAGCCTTGGAGGGCTGGTTGCAGAACTGAGGGCCCCTCTGCACAGGAGTCTTACGGAGCTGTGAACAGAGTGAGCACGGGTCCCAGGAACGAGGGGACTTCCAAAACATACGGCCGGGTGGAAAGAAGCAAGGTTCTAGCAAACGTGTAGAGCATGGTACCTTGTGTTGAACAAGGGAAAACAAGCTCTACATGGAGCTATTTTATTTTTGCAAAAGGAAACACATGTATAATTCAGAGGTTACCCACAGCAGGCAGGCAGGAACAGCGTGGGAGGCATAAGGAGGGAAGCCCAGTACGTGCCTCTACATGGCTTTGACTTTTGAACCAGGCCAATATTTTAGTCAGAAATAAAAGTAAATCGCCCTGACTGGTGTAGCTCAGTGGACTGAGCGCGGGCTGCGAACCAAAAGGGTCGCCAGTTTGATTCCCGTCAGGGCACATGCCGGGGTTGCGGGCCAGGTCCCCAGTGGGGGCAACTCAAGAGGCAACCACACATTGCAGTTTCTCTCTCTCTTTCTCCCTCCTTCCCCTCTCTCTAAAAATAAATAAAATCTAAAAAAAAAAAGAACCCATGTTGTAAATAAAAAATAAACATAAATCAACGTGGACAGCCAAAAAAGCTCTTCTTCTGACAATAAACAATGAACTTAGCTGTACTTATATTAATCACACAGAAGAGAAGTAACCCGAGCAACTTCTGAGTATAATATGCAACTCTAAATTCACAGTAGTCTAGAAACAAAGAAAAACTCTCCAAAAGATTGATGAATTCTACGAAGTTTGCCCTTTACTGGCAGTGACATTGGGGCAGCAGCCTGGAAACCACCTGGTGTGCACTGCAGCCCTGAGGCTGTGGCTGGGAAGCTGGGCCCTTTCCCACTGGGAACAAAGAAAGAAATGGGCTCCTGTATTCAAGGGGAAGGAGGAAAGAGGAGAACCGTGTGGTGCAGAGGTGCAATCAGAGATCATCACTATGAACTCATGACTTTTTTTAAAGTAGCTCCTAGCACATGCCCAAAAATGTATGGTACAATAGGAATGGACTGTAACACACACACACACACACACACACACACACACACACACGAGATAGGGGCCTTCAGGTGTATGTAGGACACTTCTGGACAGAAACTGCACTGCCTGGGGTGGGCTGAGAGCTGTGGCAGGGGGGAGACTCACTTCTCACTGCATTTTCCTGTATTAGAAGTGATCTCACGAAGTCTGTGTATTACCTACTGAAATACCATGTAATTCTCTAATGCAGCCTCCAGGGCAAGTCTCTTCTCATCCTTTGCACTCTAAAGAGAACAATCCAGAACAGACATGCAACTCTAACCTTCAGGACTGCTTGCTGGCCCATGGGTCTGCAGCATTCCTTGTGATGTATATGTAGCGTTTTTCTTTTTTAGTATTTCCAAGCCTTCTAAAGCTGTAGTATGTTCAGTCAATGACTTTAAAAGGGAAATGCTGCTTCCTAATCCAGAAGGTTCTGAAGAATTCCTGGGACTCTTCCAGTATGGTCTGTTTTCTCCAGCACTATCTCCTTTAGCATGGTCCTGGGCTAAACTTGGAATCCCTCCCTCATCTTCAGATTCAGAAACACATGTTTCTGTGTCATTGGAAATAGGCTGCTTTCTACCCAGAGGGTAAAACAAAGAAATGGAAACTTGGGGGTCTGACTTATCAAGAGAAATGCACCTGTCTGCGTGACTCTGACTGGCATTTACTAGCTGGATGCTGTTATCACTGTCAGAGGTCAATGGTAAAACCTGGTTATCGTTTTCATCTAAGTCACTTTCCATAATAAAAGGCTGGTGCTGAGTCCGTTCTGCAAATAGGTTGCTTTCAAGAGTCTGATTAGTGTCTATGCTTAAAACATGAGGAATATGTAAATTTGAGTTTATGCCTTTAGGTTTACTTGGGAGTGATGCAAAATGACAGTTACTTCTGACTTTCTGGATGGGTGTTTCAACATCTTCATTAACCATGTACACCTCCTCTGGCCACTGCAGAGCTGGGTCCCTCCACCCCTCCAAGCCGTCTCCAGTGGGTCCAGCTTTACCCCAGAACTGTGACAGCAGAGCCTCTTTGGTAGAAAACGTCCCTGTTGGTTTTCCCCCAACAGGCCTTAGGAGAGGCAGAGGTGCACTGCCACCCTCTTCACAGCGCACAGGCTCACCCCTCTTCTGCACACCTGAGCTGCAGTCTCCGGCCGAGGGGTCCTTTTCCCAGGCCCCCGGATCCTGGGGCATTCCGCTGTTTTCCCGGGATTCCTCCTCAGTATCACTGGTTTCAAAATTACTCAGATTAAAATTGACCTCCAAAACGGGTTGTGTTACATTCCTTATGGGTTCTTGAATATTAAGACTTTCACAATCAGCACTCCTTCTAGAAAACATGTCAGTAATGGCATCGGAGATCCTAGAACTGCCACTTAGCGAAGATTCCATTTGTAGACAGTACGATTCTGGAAGGGAAGACACTGTTTGTTCACGCTCCTTTTCTGGTACTCCACGTGTACTTATTTCCTGAACATTTTCTCTAATGAGTGATCCTTTTGTACACATCCAATCATTTTGATTGACTGGTATGTTATTATTTTCTTGAGCATCAGATTTTGATACTAAGCCATCATTTTCCACATTGCCACAGGTAACAGGTAAGCTGTTTTCACAGAATGAATCAGTATTGTCTACTAGCTTGTCTTCATCATAGTTTTTCCTATTTTTAGCATCTGTTTCAAAGAACTGTATCCTTTTTTGTACCAAAAGGTCTCTCAAATTTACATTTATGTTATCTCCCAGAGCCACGGGTTTCCTTTCTAGGTCATTTCCATCTACAGCAGAAGAATGAACAGGTGAGCTCTGTGAGGATAAATATGTGGCCCACCGGCTCTTATTTCTCACGGTGTTTTCTGATGGTTGCTGGTACTGTAAGCTTCCTGTGCTCTCCTCAGCACACTCTTCCTGATCAGTTAAGCACTTGGGTTTAGTAGGAATTCTTAAACCTCCTTGTGGCTGCACCCCAGTGAAATGTCCTGCTGTGACACAACTTATTTCCTTGCACGTACTAGTTGGTCTGGACCGCAGAAGAGCCAGGATCTGTGCTTTGCTCCTGACATTCTGTGCAGCTCCCGAACAGTGAGATGACAAACTACTTCTTTCCGTGGGCTCATTGCCCAGTACAGAGATGGAGTGCTCCCCTCCCCACAGCACCTGTAGGTCACCCCTGGAGGACTGGGCTGAGCCAACTGAAGAGAGAGGCGGGCCATTTCTCCCTCCGTCCTTGGAGAGGACAGTGTCCTCAGGGTCTGCCACCACACTGTTTACGTCTTTCTTGCCAGTAACAGAAAAAGGAGGGACCCTCAAGAATGGAGAAAGAAAAACAGGGCCAGGGTTTGCAGCCTCCAGTGACACAGTGGATTCACCATTTTCCATAGTAACCATTTTCTTTGGCATTTGACGTGGTCCTTGAAAACCCTAAAAATATTAAAACAATCATCAGCTATTCTATTGCCTATAAAGAAAATGTGAAATGAATAGGCTAAAAAGGAATGTGTATGTTTTATAAGGTAAAGTAATAATTAAGACATAAGGTTTGCAGAGTTAAAATATAAACTTATTTTTATTAAGAGTTTTTCTAATCAGGTTTTACTTTCTACCTAAGCATCTACTATGAAGTGCCATGTCAGTGAGACTACAACCACTTCCAAATTCACTGCTTCCTGCCCAGGTGCACACCGAGCCAGTACTTTCCCAGAGAACTCACAGTGAACTTCCTTTTCAAGCCAGCAGGCTGGCCTCTGAGGGACCGGCCAGAGGACATCAACTGCCTTGGACAGAGCGAGGACGCCTCTTGGTCAACCTTCTGGTGAACAGCTCTGCTTCCAGCAACTCGAACCTCCTCCACTGTGATCAAGTACCGATCACTTTCTAAGTCATCTCCAGGGTTCACCTAGATGTTAAAGAACAAATGTCAAAATCACATACATCTAATTATTTGATGGCTTATGTGTTCTTATAAGCTTACTAGCACTAGTAAGACATAATGGGTAGTATCTAAATTCTTTATTTATTATCATGTACTAGTTAAGCACCAACATGCACAAAAAAGGATAATAATAAAACAATACTGTGACGAATGTGTTTATGCAACTCTACACCAGGAACCCACAGGAGGCCCTTTGTGACGGGCTGCAGGTACAAAGAGAAGCAAGGAAGGTATGGCTCCTCTCAAGTTCACGCAGAATCCATACGACTAACTGTAATTTTTAAAACTAGAGCTATTAACTATCAAATATATATCTGTATCACAAGCATTATAAATTATTAGTTGCTTTAGCCATATTACAAAAAAGCATTTTAATCACCAAAGAAAACAAAGTATAACATTTGCCACCATTTCTGATTGTAGCATAAAAATAAAATTATTAAGCTAGTTGATAAAATCTGTGTACTATCACAGATAATGTGCTTAATTAGTAAACTGATTCTAAATGAAATAACAGGAGTTACCACTAATGAAGCACCAATTAAAACAGTGCTTCTGTACCCTCTTTTGGCAGAAATATCATAAGCACTATTAGTGTCATAAAATTTAAAAGTCCATTAAACACAATGACTAGATTTGTTTGAACACCTTTATAGTCCCTGCCCTGAACTGCGCTTTCCCCAGGTGCAGCCGGCCAGCGGTCTGTCCACACTGGCCCGCCCCAGCAAGGGGCGTCAGGCGTGCACGCTGAGCTGCAGGCGGATCTGAGAGTGGGGAATGACCAGGAACACGCAGCCCATCGTCTCAAGTCTTCACGTTCAACCTGCCTTCGGTTCCCTTCCCTTCCTCGTCCAATAGGAAACACACAGAACCAATGTATGAGACGAGATTTTAAAAAGGAGTAACTCCACAAAGAGTTCCTACTGTCATTCTCTGCCTGACAAAACCGTGTCACAGAATCAGACTAGAGTCACTGCTGGGCCCACAGCCCGGCCCCACCACGGCCACGCTAACGTGGACAAGTTACCAGCTTCCCGCGCTGTACTCCTAATCCGCAATCACAGGGCTGTGGGAGCACCACATCCAACAACATCTAAAAGCTTCTAGTACAGAGTCTGGCTAATAATAAATGCTCAATAAACACTAGCCAAAATGATCAGTATTAGTACCTTAACTGTATTATTTACCAACATTCATAGAAGAAATATTTAAAGATTTTTAAACCCTACATAGAAATAAGATCAACACATTACAATACCTCAAGACACTTCAGAAATAAACTCTCCAAACATTGTCCTTTGTCATCATATAAAATTGCCTATATTAAAACAAAATTAATGTTAAAATGGGACACAATACAATTCTGCTTTTCTTAAAAATCGTCAACAGCAAATCTAAAATTGTTCTGTCAGTAAATCATGCTGGGAAAGGATCACCCACTTTGTTGACTTGGATTAGGAAACACGTCTGTCTTCAACGCCACTTACTCTGTGACAGGAGCAGAGGTACGCACATAACTCCATCCCCTTCCTGACTGGTGAGCCAACCAGCAATGTCTGGTGAATGACAACCCAGTTCATGGAAGACAGCAAGAATTTGCATGGGCAGAGAAGAGGCCTTACTAGCGCAGAGGAATAGTGTGAGCAGTGGCTGAGGACACAGTGATACTATTAAGTATCACTCAATAGTGGAATCATGGAAAACCTCTGGGGCTAATCTGAATTTACCGTACTTTTAGGACTGTAAGTCACACCTAGGTTTTAGAGGAAAATAGAATGTGGAAAATATTCAATAACTTGTGACCTCACCCCACCACCACCGCCCCCCCCAGATCTGCAAGCCAGGTACACTACATTCAGACTCTAAGACGCACCCCCATTTTCCTCCCAAATTTGGGAGGCGTGGATCTTATAGTCCAAAAAATACAGTATCTTGTGCTCCTGTAATCCACCAGTGTGAGGTGTATAAGGGAGACATAAACACATGAGGCAATAAAAGTTGGAAACCACTGTGAACCAGAGGATCACGGTTCAATTCCCAGTCAGGGCACATGCCTGGGTTGCAGGCCGGTTCCCTGCAGGCCAGTTCCCAGCAGGGGGCACACGAAAGGCAACCACACATTGATGTTTCTCTCCCTCTCTCCTTCCCCTCTAAAGTTAAATAAAATCTTTAAAAAAAAAAGTTGGAAACCACTAGCTTGACCTTAATATTATGATTTGGCATCACAAGAAGACATGAAGGAGAGGCAGGATCCAGTCGGATGTCTTTTTAACGTAACACGAATTCTGTATGATTTTAAAGACTTGGTTCTAACCAAATTGAAAGAATATAAAAGAAAAACTACACAGAGTAACACTGAACAGTGAATGAATTAATTAAAGACAAGTGACTAAAAAATATATAAATGGGTCCCTGACTGAGTGACTCAGTTGGAGCACTGTCCCCATACACCAAAGAGGCTGTGGTTCGATTCTCCGTCAGGGCACAGATGGGAGGCAAGTAACTGCTGTTTCGCTCCCACACTGATGTCCCCCCACCCCTGTCTCTTCCTCCTTTCTATAAAATCAAAATATATCCTCAGGTGAGGAAGTAAAAATATAGATATAGATAGATAGGTAGATGGAGACAGGCTAAACATTCATCTATTCAAATCAGAAGAATTAACCAATGTTACCCCAATAAATAAAAAAGAAAAAAAGCGATAATGACGCACGCGCCCTGAACACAGAAAGATCCTGAGACCAGCCCTCTCCAAAGGACATGACCTCATACGGACTGCAGTTACTGAAACTAGACACGGAGCTCCTGACGCCTGCCATCCAGGGCTTTGCACTTACTTTGTTTCCTAAGTGAGTGATCTTCAGAATGCCATCTTGCCACACTTTTGATTTCTTCATCTTTTGATGAGTATATAGTACCTTACATCAAAAAGCACAAAGAAATGGTATCTATTTATAAACATTAAATGCCCTATATTTTATACCCCTCTATAAACAAAATATATTTAAGACATCTTTTATCAAAATAAAAGCACAGACATCATAACAATAATAAAAAATCAATTCAAAAAAGAAAATACAGCCCTGGCTGGAGTGGCTCAGTGGGTTGGGTGTTGTCTTGCAAACTGAAAGGTCACCAATTCGATTCTTGGTCAAGACACATGTCTAGGTTGCAGATTGGGTCCCTGCTTCGAAGCGTGCAAGACAATCGATCAATGTTTCTCTTGCATACTGATGTTTCTCTCCCTCTCTTCCTCTTGCTCTAAAAATAAATATTTTTTGTAAAGATTTTATTTACTTATTTTCAGAGAGAGTGGGAGGGAGAAAGAGAGGGAGACAAACATTGATGTGTGAGGGACGTTTATCAGCTAGAAACATCAGTTGGTTGCCTCTCACATGCCCCCAACTGGGAACTAGCCTGCAACCTAGGCACATGCTGTGACTGGGAATCGAACCACTGACCCTTTGGTTTGCAGGCTGGCACTCAATCCACGGAGCTACACTAGCCAGGGCAATAAATGAAATCCTTTTTAAAAACTTTTAAAAAGAAACTAGGTAGTAAAGAGTAAGGGAGGGGAGAAAACAGAAGTAAAACCTAAGTAAAAATTGAAGTTAACTGAGTAACAAAAGTAATTTTGAGCTTCTCAGTCATGGTGGGAAGGGAAAATGTGTTGGGTTGCACAGTATTCCTGATCTGTGAATTCCCAAAGTGCAGTCAGTCCAGAGACTCTTGCAGGTCCCCAAGACTTCTCTGGGGTCTGTGAGGTCCAAACTAATTTCAGGAACACTTGCCTCTCATTCCTTAGGGAGAGCACAGTGCTGTCATGTATAGGTTATTCATGGGCAACACTGTAAGATTCAGTTTCAGACTGGATGCAGAAGCAGATCTGAGAATTAAGTCAATTGTTAAGTGGAGAGCTATGCAAAAACTGTATAGCAATACTACACTTGTCAATGTTTCTTTGTTATTGCAATTGTTTTAGAAACATAGCCATTTTTACATAATGTAATTTATGTGAAATGTAATAAGTTTATTGTTTTTAATAAGTATTACTAAAATTTATCTTATCATTTCTAATATAAAAAACACCAGTAGAGCCCTGGCTGGTGTAGCTCAGTGGATTGAGTGCAGGCCTGCGAACCAGACAATGGTGGTTCAATTCCCAGTCAGGGCACATGCCTGGGTTGCAGGCCGGTTCCCTGCAGGCCGGTTCCCAGCAGGGTATGCACAAAAGGCAACCATACATTGATGTTTCTCTCCCTCTCTCCTTCCCTTCCCCTCTAAAGATAAATAAATAAAATCTTAAAAAAAAAATACCAGTAGATATAAGCCCCATAATCAAAAATTCTTTGGGGTCTTCAATAATTTCAAGAGTAGAAAAGGGTCCTGAGACCAAACAGTTTAAGACCACAGGTTTAGACAGAAAAGGAGCACCAGTCCTACAAGAGAAGTGAATTACCTCCTGATCCCGAAGCTTCCCAAGATGTTGTTCTAAAGGACTTTGTAACAGAAATGTGCAAAGTAGACAAGAGAAAGGGCTGCCAGTTAAACTATTGGGCAATATTTGAAACACAAACACTTATACTACAAAAGTCTTTACAGTTTGTCTGATATGCAAACTTAACTAAGAGTCCTGCTTTTAAACTTCAGGATTTTTTTCCTGCTAAATATGAAAACTCTAGCAACATTTTTGAAATGTGGAAGAAAAAGAATAGCTGTAAGACTTACAATAAATTCTTGGCTTTCCATTGTTTCTTCTGAAGTTATAAGCCATAAAGGACCAGAAAATAATCAGTGGTTATTCAACTATTTATAACACCTAAAATGAAAAATGACAAAGAATACTCAACCCTGAAGAAAAAACTAAGTATCAAGTGTAATTTTCCCCACAAACTCTTGACTCGTGAGGAGTCAGAGAGTTACCAAGGTAAACCCAGGTTCTGTCCAATTACTTGCCCCAGGGGACACAATGAGAGTGCTATCACTCTCATTTGTCAGGTAAGAAAACAAAGTAAAATAAGTAAATGATTAGTAGTCTGCAAAAATTCTTCCAGGTGCCAAAACATGTATCCCTCTGCCCCCAGGTTGGGTTCCTTATATAGAGCTTCGATTTTTCAAGTTTTGTGAATTGCTATTGTCACCACAAGAGGGCCCCCTTGTGTTTGACATTTTTCTTTTTACATCTTAAAAGTCAATATACCACACTATCTCATGCCAGATATATATAATTTCTCTGCAAGGAAAAAATCTTTCAATATTGTTGCAGCAAGCTCTGTAGTTATTCTATGTCACTGGATAAAATTGGCATTGTGGACAAATCTGGACATGTAAAATCACTTCTGGTGAAGACGCCAAGATGCCAAAGAAAATTATTTTTTTCCTAAAGCCTTGGTTCCAATGATAAGACCCCTGGACCAACAGCATCAGTATCACCTGCGAGCTAGTTAGAAATTCAAATTCTTGGGTTCCACCCCTGACCTATGAAATCATGAAGTGTGGGGCCAGGGCCCAGCAGTGTTTCAACAAACCCTGCAGGTGACACTGAGTCAGGGTTGGGTTTGCACACCCAACCTCAAGACCAGGGTGGGGGTGTTTCAATAAAGCTGTACTGTGTAATTCTGGATTCCATTTCTCATTTATGCATATAAAACAGGTCTCTACAAATTACTTTTAAATTACACATACTTATTTAGTACTTAACTACCTGACAGACTAAAATGAACAAAACACTATTCTTAACCTCAAGAAATTTTCAGGATTGCAGTGATGAACAGTAATTACAATAAAATGTGACAGGAATGAGCATGGAGGAGACAGCCAGCTCACCAAACAAGGCTTCTGAAGAACGCAATGTCTAGCTGTAGGCTAAAATACCATTAACCATGGAAGATGCCAGGGAAGGTACTTCCAAAGAGGAATCAATATATATGTAGACAGGCCTGTGGAAATCAGCAAGGCATGATCAGGGGACTTGGAGTAGTGCAATTAAGGCATCAAGTGTAAGAGACTGATAAAGTCAGCAACAATAACAGGATTCAGAGGCTCTTCCTCTTATGCGAGTGGTTTTGACTTTGTCTAAAGACAAAAGGAGGCCAGCACAGGATTTTCGCAAGATGACAGCATGACCTGGGACTTACAAAGACTGCTCTGGGGTGGACTGATGCAGCGTGAGTACTTGCTCCATGACACAGGTCACAAGACAGGGCGCAGACCCAGAGAGGCATCACACTGCTTTTCAGAAACACAACTCCCACATCCTACATCCCTCTAGCCCACTGCAGTTGCTAATGCCAAGGGTGACCAGAAGGTCCAGAGAAACAAGGCATTCACTGCCAATTCGGGAGCAACCAGACCCCAGCCACGGGGCAGGGTGCACATTTTGCAGATGCCCATGAGATGGCCCACCAGTGTCAGGCACATGGCAGGGGCTAACAGCAGCTCTTTAACAACAGCTACCATTTATTCAGTGCAATCACGGGCCAGACACCGGCAAAATGCTTGCAACCTTGCAGGTGTAGACACTATTTTTTTATGTTCATTTTACAAAAAAAAAGGAAACTGTAGTACATAGTAGGTAAAGAACTTGCTAAGTTGCTTATGCAACTTGTAAGACCCGACTAAGTAAAAGGCAGGTTCAGATTTCAAAACTATGCAGTCAGGACTCTGGTGCTAGTGCCCACAGTTGCCGCTCCGTGGCTGAGACCACCCACTCTTTGGGGCGGGACTAGACGGGACACTCATGGTCCATCGCCCAGAACATATACAGACAGCGTGGTCACCACAACCTACAGATCACGATGGCTCGGATCAGAGGCTATTCAGGACCTGCCAGTACAATACCTTGTTTTCCTAATTTAGAGGCTTTACTTGTGGGAGTTATAACCTAAAAGAAATTGAAAGGGTCAAAACTCTCCTAAGTGGCAAGTTAGATGGCAAGGATCAAACCTCGAAAACAAAGGCTGATTGGATGTTAAAATATTTACAAGAGCCTCGTTTTCTACATTCAAAAGAGAGGCAACACCCCTTCCTTACCATTTAACGGAGAAAAGATATTTAAGAGAGGTATCAGGACATTCCCAGAAAGTCCCCATCCGTCCACGTGTCAAACGACTGCGCTGTCAACCCACCGCTACGAGACAGTTTACATGCACAGAAGTTTCCAAGGGGGGTGGGACGGCCACCAAAGCGCAGAGCCGCCGGCACGAAAACACGACGTGCTGTCAACCACACCCCGTGGAACTTTCGGCGCTCTCCCCACGTCCGGACCACCGTTCCCGGGAAGTGCCACACGATTTTGGTCTTCCTTCCGAATCCCTAATTGGGATCGTTTCTTAAGAACGTGCTGTTAACGAGCAGCCCCATTGCTCCGGCCGAGCCCTGTATCACCAGTGAAGAGGGGGCCCGGTACCCGGGCCCCGCCCCCGCCGGGACTCGTCTGCGAGGGCTGCACCCCGGGACTACCCGGCCTGCACGGCATCCTCACCGTCCGCTCTGGGCTCGCCTCTTCTGTCTCTTCCCCCGAGTCGGTGACACCGCCTCAGCTCTCACGCCCTCAGTGCCTGGAAGCTGGGACGCGCGCACGTCTCCCATCTGAGGCACAGACCCACTTCCAATTTTCCCGCCAATAACCCTACATCACTACCACGGAGCCGACCCAACGCTCTGACTGCGCAGCCGTCTCCATCCACCAATCAAACTTAGCCTCAAGCTCGGACGCCCCGCCCCTGAGCTGCACGCCTGGGACGTAGTGACGGCACTACGCTTCTGAGCGTCTTTCTGAAGCGTCCGGGGGACCGTGTCGCGTTCTGAGGTGTCGCGGATCCTATGACGCGGTCGCAACCGCAGCTGTGAGACTCGGGAGACGGAAAGGGCTCCAGGACTCTTCACTGGCCTGTATTTTGAGATCTGAACAGAGTAAGTTCCCACTGGGCCTGAAGCGGCTCAGGTGGGGATACAGGTCAGTGCGTCCCGTTGTCTGTCTCCCCGCCACGCCCCCCCGGCCTCGTCAGTGCGCACGCGCGGGGCTGGTGGGCGGAGGCGGGCTGCAGCGTCGCTGCCTTGGACCCAGTGGCCAGGGCGGGAGTCAGGGGAAGATGGGCCGTGTCACAGGTTTCAGCTTTGGTGGCCCAAGGAGATCGGAAATGAGGTCCTGAATCTTCCCTCTAAGTCACTTTCTTTGTCAGGACTTGAGCCCTTGCGTAAGGGACCAAACCCCGTGTGCTGAGTGCGGGGTAGGGTGGGGGTGGCGGCGGCGAGGCCGGAACCCAGGGCTGAGGCCAGTCGGCTACGCCAGCGCCACTGCTGTCAGCCCTTTGGACGCACTGTGTTCCTTAGAAACCATGCACAGGCTTTCCCGGGGAAATGCGTGCAAGTGTCAAAACACGTGCATGTAGCTTGCCAGGAGAGATTGTGAGCTTTCGAAGTGGCGGAGAAGGGGAACTACTGGGTGTCTTGTCTAGCATTCTTCCTTTTCTCGGTGTCCTTCGCAGTCAGCGGGCTGCTTTGCAGCTGGGTAACTGGCAGAGAACCGTAACAGTGGAAATTGGTCTTGCAGCTCATACATCGTGCAATTGTTGCCCTGACCAGTTTTGCATCTATTAACCAATTTATTTCAGTCTTCCTCAATGCTTATATTGGGTTAGCCAAAAAGCCTGTTAGGTTTTTTCCAAAAAATACACGTTTTTCGCTTTCACCAATAACGTTATTGAGGTGGATAATTGAGTCTGTCGGCTCTCTCCCACTATTGGCTTCCAGTGGGCAGAGGGCAGAGGTGCTGCTAAACACCTTCCAATGCGTGAGATGGTCCCACAGCAAAGGATTATCTGGCCAAAATGTCAGCAGTACCAGGAAACTTCACAGACCACTTCTGACACGTGTGGTCAGTCACATAGCACCTTCTCCATACACTGCAGGAATCACTTTCTTGTGTTTCGATCTGTCTTGAAATAAAGCATAATATGCCCAAAATGTGTATTTTCTTCGATCTTCAGTTTTAAAATGGCTGCACAAAAATTCAATTTTGAAAAGTTTTTTTAATGCACACCGATATGAGTGTCACAATACAATCTAACAAAATTGTTTTGAATGACGTTAAAGATGTCTAATCACTATTAGGGCCATCTTACAGAAAAAATGCTATGGACTTTTTGGCCAACCCAATATGTGTGTGTGTGATTTTTTAATTTGCCTTTGGTTTTTAAAAGTACTATTTCCCTGATTAATAACTGAAAAATCTTTTTGTACAAGACTCATAATTTTACCTTTCCGTTGAAATTTATCATTTAACAATTTCATGAGCTTCACAAGAATTTCTGACACCCACTTCAAATTCCATGTACTCAGGTTAAGAGGTCCTGAGTCAACACAGAATGGATGCCTGGGGACAGGGGGCAACTGGGGTCGCGTTACCTGAGCTCACTGAGCTTTGTCCATGTCACTGAACCATTGAGCCTCTGTAAAAAGAAATTGGAAAAAAGCACCTCCTGGGGTTGTGAGGATTTAAAACAATGTGTGCAAACTGGTTGTTACACAGTAACTTATCCTTTGTTTAAAACTTCTCTTTAGAAGCTAGTTAGATGTTACTGGTTCATTTAAGTTTTTGAAAAATACATACTCTGTTACATGATGGTGCTAAGAAAATTCTAATGAGTTTTAGCATCAGTCACAAAATCAGATGTGTTTTAGTTACACAGCTTCTGTGAAGAGTGGAGGACTGTTAGGACTGTTTATAGACTGTCCGCATGTTATAGTGACAGTGGTTGTGGAGAACACCAGATGGAGATAAGAGCCTTTCTGGACATCGAATTGCTAGGATTTGGGGACAGATTTGGTAAACAGTAAATGATAATGGTTACATGTGTGTGCTACATAGTAGCCATTTCAAGGGTTTTCTGTACATTATTTTGATTAATCTTCACAAAATCCTATTGTGTACATATGATTTTTATCCACATTATGTAAAGCCCCCACAGAGAGATGAGGTAACTTGGTAAAAATCCCCACAGCTAAGTAAATAGCTTGGTCGATTAGTTCAGGGGAATATGGATCCTTAAATAAGATGAGAATGGTACGAAGAACAAGCCAGGGTGGGAAAGACAGTCATCTGGAATGATGAGGTGGCTACACAGCTGTGTGTTATCACTGGACAGTGAGAAGGCCGACTGGGCAGCTTCCTGTCCTCAGCCATTGTGCAGAGAAGCTGAATTGTACCAGGTCTTGATGCCTTCTGTTTAATCCGTAACTTCCTCTAAAATCAAGGTATATTCTGTTTACCTACAGAGAATAGTTTTTAAATCAAAACTGCAGGTGTGTATTTTGAACCTGGGCGAGAGTTTCTGACTTAATTCTCTGAGCCACAAAAGTAATTCTTAAGAGAAGCAGTGAAGGAAATTCTCTGGGCTGATATAAGGATGATGGGAAACTTTGGTCTCCTGGAGAATTGTGGCTCGTGTGCCGCTGTTGCTGTATCTTCAAATGGTGACTTTGACCAGCAGAGGATTGGAGAGCTGGTAATCTGCCCTCTATAATTTCTAGGTTTTTGTTTTTTTTTTTCAGAAAGGAAAGTTAGTAGTGGATCCTGTTATACTGCTAATCATAGTACACATTTGAATTTTATTTATAATCCCACCCCCTTACAAAAGAACTTGAAATGCTTAACACTTCACAGTTCATAAGACTCTTTAAACTACATTAGTCAATTATTCAACAGATGTAGAGTTTGTGACCAAGCTGCAGTCCCTGCCCTCACGGTGCCTACATTCTGTGGGCAGACAGACAAAACCCTAATTCCAGGTGGTGCTAAGAGGAGACAGAGTGAGAGTGGGGGCTGGGGGTGTGTGGGGTGTGGTTAGCAGGGAGCGAACAGCTTAGTTCTAGTCGGAGAGAAAGCCTCTGAGCAAGGGACCCTTGCAGGGACCCGAATGAAGTAGTAAGTAATGGCTAAGGATGGAAAGGCTCTGAGGTGAGAAGGGCCTTCGCCTGCTGAGGGGACAGAAAGGTGGTGGGTCCTGGTTGCAGTGAGCTGCTGTCAAGGACTGAGCAGGGTCAGTGAGGCATCCCCAGGCCAGGGGAGGAGGACTTGGGACTTAACTCTGAGTACGGTAAGAAATCTTCGGAGGATTTTGTGCAAGAGGGTGACCGGATCTCATTTACATACTTAGGTATTTGTTGTCTGGTGACTGGACGCTGGCGGAAGGTCAGCAGAAGCTGGCTGAAGTGTGAAGACCCCGCAGAGGCGGTGCTGCCTCGGACCAGGTGCTTGTGATGCTGATGATGGCCCCGGGTTGGGGGGGGGAGGCGGGGAGTGAGAAGAATGGGACGACTCGAGCGTTCGCCCTCTCTTGCAGTTCTGTAATTGGTATTTTCTGAGGTGTGGAAAGCTAGGCAAAACAAGTTTGTTAAAATTTGGGAGTTTAAATTTTCCCACTTTAAATTAAATATACTTCAGATAAACAAGTAGAGATGTCACATAGGTGGCTGAATATTGGAATGGGGAGCTAAGGGGAGAAGTCAGGGCTGGAGAATTGAGATTTGTGAACCATCAGCCTAGAGCCCAGTGGCTTAAACCGTAAACTTCTGAAAGGATGTGTGTGGGTCTGAAGACAGCCCAGGACCAAGGCTAGGCAGCATCAGAGTGGAGCAGGCAGAGCAGGTTGGGGGCAGGGGTCCAGAAAAGGAGGTTGGGAGGAAAAGTCTGGAGCCCCATGAAGAACGTGTTTTTCGGGAAGTTCTCACCTCAGATGCTGCTGAGAGGTCAGAGGGTGAAACTGCTGCTGGTCTTCAGCCTCACCAGAGCCGTGGGAGGGTTGGGCTCAGGTGAGAGTATCAGGAGAAGGGTGTGGCTGCTGCCCTGAAGACACCAGATTGTTTTCTGAGACTACTTCTGACCTGTAGCTCCATTCTATGTGTTATGTGGCAACATTTAAATACTTCCTTACATGTCTGTTTTAAAAATGCACACTGGGCTGATCAGCTGACGCTTGTTCTAAGGGTCCTCTTGCTGACTGGAGATTTGAAGGGGGCTTTGTGCCCTCTGCCACTGAGCGCAGCATCTGCTGCAGAGACAGGTTCTCAGTGAGAGTCTCACTGAGTAGGCTTCATCCAGTGCTGTGTACTGAGCTTTACAGGAGGATACGGAAGGCAGCAGGTGGAGTAAGTAGGGACAGCATTTTCCTGTCCTCTGGAGGCCTGCCCTAGCACTTGCCCAGATCCAGCACTTAACTGAGATCTGCTGCCCCTTACCTGCCACAGACATGTGCAGCTTCCCACAGAGATGGACACCCCGGTATGGGAAAGTTTCATCTCCCTTTGCCCTCCAGTCTGTTAGGTTGTCTGGTCAAGTGGGCCCAAGGCCGGCATACCAGCTGATAGGGGCCAGAGGCAGATCCAACTCCCCCCGTGTGCCTGAACCCTCCTGTTTCCAAGACCATCGTGAGACTGGACCTTTCCTCAGGCAGGCTTGCATCAGCCCAGGCCCAATGTTAAGACTTTGCTCTGCTCGGGTATTCTTTTTGTGTATGTACCGCTCGTGGTTTAATTAAAATGACAAAATTCATTCCACAAATGTTTGACTAACCCCTGTGTGCCAGGGACTGGGAATGGGTGTATC